TTTGGCCTAAAAATTTTCTGATTTCGGTTGAAGAGAAGTAGCAAGTTAATATATTACGGATAATTTAACAGCGTAATATTCGGAACCATACGAATGTTTTAAGTTTGATTCAGTCTCCCGTGGATATCTCCAATATAGAGTCGACAAAGAGTTTTTATATATATAACTGTACCACGAAAATCTCATATTTAAGCCTCGTAAACAAGCTGACTTGTGGCTCAGCCTTTTTAAAGGCATAAGAATACCATAAAAATGGCACAGCAGTTTTAATAAAACGACGGAGTCAATTGTACATGGAGTCACGCCGGCTGAGTTGTTTGGCGACTGTGATATTACAATCTACACCTACATAACGTTATAGTATGACCTATATAAAAATATACACATGTAAACTTCATGGGTACACAATTTTCATTGTCCTGAAGTTTACATTAGAAAAAAATTATCAAAGTATATTCCTATAGTTGATTATTCCATAGGTTTTAAAACTATTTTGTGGTCTTCGGACCAATGAGTCAAATGCTATTGAATATTGTAATACTGTATGAAATTCTTCCCAGTTTGAAATCCTCTTTCGTCGTTTACAAGTAACTCTAAAAGAAAAGATGGGAAATGTTTGTGAAAGATAGGCATGAAGGTATCGAATGTTGATGATTTGTTTGAGAGATTCATTCGTGCTCGGCCTTAGCATTGGTTGCCTAAACACAAATAAAATTGGGTATGGTTACCAATTTTAACCGTGCCGTGCCAATAAATTAAATGTGGTGTAAATAGGGCTATATATAGACTCATCAGTTTTCCAAACTTATACTATATCATGTTTTTTAACTTTGAAACAAGTTACTTTAAGCCTGGATGGCATCTGAACCGTTTATGGTAAACGCATGATTATGACTGAAGAAGGTTACAGATTAGGTACAAGAGATTTTAATACAAAGCAATACAAACATTTGAGAGGCATAGAACAACACACTTGCACGTTGACATGAAACGGCAGTAATACAATTTAAGTCAGCCCTTCAGATTGTAGTTCATTATGATCTGGGTGTTATTTAGTATGGTTAATAGAAAATAATGCTTGGAGTCTTGGAATTTTCTTTTATTACATAATTTAAACAATGCACACCACAGTGAATCTCAGTTTAAATATACATATTCAAATTTAACCACTGATACATTAAAACTGAAAAATTTAAAAAGTTTATAATAGCTACCATGATTCATTTCCGCTTAAAGTTTTTATTCACTAAATGCAATCTACATTAAACTATTTTTATCAATTGAAGTTATATAATTTTAATACTTAAGTAATTTACAATGTACAGTTAAAGTATAAAACTCTAGTTGTAGTATTAATAAGTTTTAATATATTAATAAGTTTTTATAATTTATTAGTGATCTAATTAGTGATAAATTTAATTTTCTTAGTTATGATTTAATATAGCATTTATTAAAATATATTAAATATAGGTTAATAATTAGTAAAGCAACTCTGATTAACTATTACACATTTGGCTAATTCCATTGGTTATTTTTACTCAATACTCGCTTCCATTCCTCAAAATCAACCGCAGACTTTGGACGTTCGCCGCGAGACCGCTGACTTCTGGTACCTCGTGCTTGCTTATCCCCGCTGTTAGCGCGCTTGTGAGAGTTTTTATTTACACCCGGCATATTGAACATCTGAATGAGTTTACTGACCTTCTTATCCTGGGAGCTCTGTCTGGTCCTGGATTCACTGGAATCTTGTCGAGGCACCCTCGCATACGAAGCGGTCGTGATCACCATACGCTTTCCCTCCCCTCCACTTGCTGGGCTAGATTCGACCTGTTCAGACGAGGCAATTCTCGTACGACCCGAAGGCATGTCTTCGGTCACATATTTCACATTACTTTTTCCCTGGCGCACTTCTCGTGTACGAGCTAAATCCTCTCGCAACGACTCCAGCTCGGCTTCTATATCTTCCAAACGATATTCTTCTTCTGAGGTCTGTTTCCCGTAGGAAACCTTGGCACTTCCGGAGAAAGTATCTCGGGTGTTACTACCCTCAGATAACCCCTCCCGGGCATTAGTACCGTACGATTTTCCTGGACTACCGGACGTCGTATCCATTGTAGTATTTCGGCCATATTGGTCATTTCTACCTCCAGAGTCTCTACGATGCGAAGGACTCGCTAGTTCTCTATGGGCATCTTCCAACACACGGTGTACATCATGATCCTCAAGAGACATCTGGCGTCTTCTTGATGATATAACAGATTCCTGTACAAGCTGTTTTGGCCTCTCCGGGATGCTTTGCACGTTCACTTGGCTGCTCTTAACTATGGTGGTTTCCCCTCGTCTGCCATCAATGGAGTCTGCTTGTATCTTCAATTTCAATCTCTGGTTTGCTTCTCTCAGTTCTTCAATTTTCTTCGTAAATTCGTCCTTGCTTTCTGCGATTTCGGAGTTCTTCGTTGCGACTTCTCGTTCCAGTTTTAGAATTCGGTCATCTCTAAGAGCAATCGTTCTTTTGAGCTCTGCTATCTCTTTTTCTTGTTCGTCAAAACGTTGTTGCAACTAAAAATATAAATCATAGCATGTGAAATCTTTTTCTACGACACCTAACAAACTATTTCACAAATCTTTTTCATAAATTTTCTACTGATAGAAGTAATATTTCTAAAGTTTTAAAGGAAAAATTTCAGAAGCACATTAACTAAAATACTGGGTTAAAATTTAAGGGTTAGTGCTAACCTAGCTTTGAACAACTGGCCCCTGTAGGCTATCAGTTGTAGGTAGTTTACCGAGTTTTAATCTAACAGCTTTTCAATTTTTTACCTTCCGATATTTTGCATCATCTACACTGGAATGAACTTCTTCTACCACACTCTTTGAGATGGCTGTCGTAGGCGAGCCGGCGTGATTGACATCATTTGAGACGGACATTGCCCCTCTTGAAAGCTGCTTTTCAAACTTTGCTGGTTTGTTGAACATGCTAAATTATGACAATATAGAAGGTAATATATTACAAGTTCTGGCCCAACAAATATGTTAACCAAAATATTAGCACATTTTAGTTAAGGCATCCTTCGAGCGGGATGAAAACGCGACAGAATCTCCGTTTTTCAGTGTATTTGAGGAAAAAACATACTTATTGTATTTATCGGCGGACGATGGAGAAGTCGGTGACGATGCTCCAGCATCAAGACGGAGGCCATCTTTGAAAGAAATTAAATTGGGATTTCTATCGATGCCGCTTATCCATTCATCTGCTGTGAGCGCCGGTTGCATGCTGGGGCTAGGTGGATACAGGTCGTCTTGGAACTCATCGGACTAAACACATGAAAAAATGTGTTAACATTCCTTTATGGTTAAAATCTTATAAATTTTGCGCAGTAAAAAACTAGGCTTGTTTTAAAGACTAAAATTCAGCAATAACTTCCACTAATCAGAGCTAGAAAAGAAATAAAAATAGAAACGCCTCCACTCTGGAAAAAATAACTCTGTGCAATATCTGATTGGACGTAGGATTTTTCCACTGATGACGAAATAGTCATTCTCGATTTTGATTGGACGAACGATTTTCCTTTCCGGATTTCGGCGGGAATTTATTTATATGTTTTTCAAGATGGCGTCAAAATATATAGGCAGTCCTAAAAGAGAATTCCTAAATTTTGGCAAATTTGTTTGTACATGGAATAAAATCTTTCGGAGTAAACTCAAAGCATTGCCTTGCATTGTCTTGAGAAAAATATCAAAGTAAATGAACGGTAACGAATATGTTTTAATATAGAAATTTGCGATTTCGTTTGCTAACTGTATTTTAATCTTTGGCTTTGTATTTTTAGAAGCGTATATTTATTAGTTTCATTTGTATCTACTTCATTTGTTGTATTCAATTTTGCTTTTAACGTATTGTAAAAAAGTCGGGTTATGCCTGGAAGCTGTGCGGTGTAACATGAATGCTAGTAAAACCTTAGAACTCTTCTTCGATAAGGCTTCTTCTTATCCTGAAAAACAGGTGGCAAATGCTTACCCGTCTTGGACACAACATTGGTAATGGTTCAATCCAGTTGCTGGGATGAAGTTTGTAGAATCTGAATAACTCACAACGGTTAAAATCCAGACCTCGTTTGCTCATCTTTCCCAAACTTTTCTGAGGAGAGGCATGTCTGTACTCAGATAATCTGATTAATAAAGGTTCCTCTCTTCTAATCTCATAATATCGAATCATACCGTCACCCTAAATGGAAAGAAATGGAATGGTTATAGGATATGTTCAAAATTGAGGATGAATTTCTTATTAAGAACTTTACATACCTTTCCAGCAACATAAGCGACTTTAATGTCCATATCATAATGCAACATCAATATGCTTGAAGAATTATCAACGATGTCATTCTTAACTGGAGAAGATGTTTTGTTCTGAAAACAATAAACAGGTTTTTACTGTCATTGATGGAATACACAGTGCAGAGGTGGATATGTTAAAAGTTTGAGCTACCAATAAGATGTAGGATAACTAAGGAAATTGATACTCAGGCTGCAAGATTTTGTAATTGGTTCTAATCCTAGCAATGGTCAAATTGAAAATATTTTTCATGGTAGTATTATGAAAACTAAATACCAAGTCCCATAATGATATCTCTCTAGATCCTCCAGTTGTAAAACCACTTGACACAACAAAGTCACTGTGTTCATCTGTGAATGCAACATGAGAAGTCTTCGGACTTTCGTGACCAGCAAATTGCTAAAAAGAAGTCATAGGAGTTTGTGTTCATAATGCAAGTGTGGAGAGAGGCTGGCTTGGGTCATTAAAGCCAATAAGAAATAGTGAACTAATCAGGTGAAATTTGTTAATCTGAACATGTGTATGTATGAGGATACATCTAGCCATCCCTAACATTGCATCCAAGTCCTACCTGTAAAATTTTACCAGTGCGAGCATGAATGATACGTATCTTCTTATCTTTGCTGGTGGTTGCCAACTTACTGCCATCATAATTGAAGGCCAAATCAAATATAGTGTCCCTATGGCAGTCGATGGTACACAGAGACTTTGCTTTCAAAGCATTCCATATTATCACTTTAAAATCAAAAGCAGCACTAGCAATTATCCCATTGGCTGTCGGATGCCATCTGATAAGGCCAACTTTCCGCTGGTGTCCTCGCAAGTCAACCAATGGTTCAAGAAGATCCTCTGTTAATCCACCTGAAGGTATTCGCCATATTTTGACAGTGGTGTCCTCAGAAGCTGAGGCTATGATGTGATCATTGAATGGATTCCATTGGATGTCAAGAATTTCACGTTGGTGTCCCACAATACGGGGATTGTCTAACTTTTGGTGACCAACCTGTAAGAAAGGGCTATATGTCACTTTTGTGGGTACCATGAAGGCATGAACTCCTCTGCTAAATGCCATTTTCTCATCTACTTGTTTATCAAATTTCACTTATTTTTAAGTTGGCGTAAAATATCAACCTATCGGGATCATCAGAGGATTCTTATTTCTATATGTTTACTGGAGTAGTTAACAACTAGAATGGGGTAACCAATCACTATTTTTCTACAAAAAAGAAGTTGGTTGTATGAATCACAAATGGAATTCAAGCGGACTCAATCAGAGAATCAAACAAGATTGTGTCATGTTAAACCATTATGCAGTGCAATGTATTTTAAAGAACTCAACACGTAATAGAATGCGAGAGATTTCAGATATTTAATGACTTAATAGTCTCTATGTTTAAAAAAGTGGTTAATTCATATTCATGCCTTAACAAGTTACCAGATAATCACCTTTGTTGATATGATTTCAAAGCCTACTTTTCAAAGTTCAACACTTTTATTCATGGTATAACAATTTACAAACAAAAAAAATACGTGGCTACATGAAATTTGTTTGTAAGCTGGTGAAAAAATCAGGGAGGAATATTTCAAGTGGAACCCGTGGGCGTGAAACATACTTACCATGTTTGGTCTGAATATATCCGCCTAAATTGGCAGATTTGGTATTTAATACGGTGTTCTTGCGTTTCAAAAACAAACATTTTAAGCGGTATTTGTATTTTCTTTAAATATTTGTTGATGTTTTTCGCCGAAAATTTACAAATATACGGCAGAATTCACGATTCATTATATAGCAGCTATACGCGAATTTGACAGGTCCTTTCGACTTGTTCCGGCCAAGTCTTGTTCTCTCTTTGTATAAATCCTTGTTAAACACGTCTTGTTTTATCATCAAATACGATAAACTTTAGATAAAGATAGACAAATCTTTCCTGCACAGGGCGTTAGGAAATACCTTATTAAGGCGATTTAAATATTCTGTGTACACAAGGCTATGCCTAGGCGAGTTTTGGATTTTCCCCGCAGTAAAATATATCAAGCGCTATATGAAGTGACATTCATTTATTACACGATATTTCAACTTATTATTTGTAAAAATGGTAGTCAATGTTAATATATTAAAAGAAAATCAATTAAAATGCGGCAGTATGTGGCAAAATGGTGTTTGAAACAATAGCCAAAGCATCTGGTTTAAACATTTCTCGACTCCTAGACTATGCTCAATACTCAATTACGAGGTTTAGCGCTTTTGACAAAACATGTTTGTTTTTCCATACCTTTTCTAACGGTATGACGAGGAATGCACCACCAGCACCGCTTGTATCCATTACAACAGCGAGAAATTTTGGATTAACAGCGCAATAAGTGCCATCCCAGGCGTTCTTCGTAAATCTGACATTCTCATAGCACTTGTCCTTGCGATACGGCTCTCCGTAAACATTCCGGAATTTCGAATGCGTCGCAATTCCTTTTCGCCAAGACATCGTGATGTTTTTTAACCTTGCATATAGTACATTGCACGCTACGTTTGGGCTTGATGTCCTCGCAGAACGAGGTATATTTTTGTACAGAACCCCTACAGATGTTCAATGAAAGATGTCGATCCCGACGCCGCCATCTTTTTGTAAATTATCACCAAGACACCTCACCCACGGCTTCCCTATTCTCGTTTTCCAATTGGTCAATTTGCTCTCGTTACCAGTGTTCTAATCGCAATTCAGACGCTAATTAGTTTATGGAATTCCAAGGAACCAGACGGAATGTTGCAAATTACAAAAGTATTCATTGTAAGAGGGGACCTTAATATACCGGTAATTCTTTACAATATACACGTTCGCAATATCAAATTGATATTATTCATTTTATTTGTGTTACGTTCATGTTATATTTAGTAAATATTTAAAATTGCCCAATGTTATACTCTAAAAATTGCTTGGTTTCATAAAGCATTTTGAATTTTTGATCATTCATATAAGCCTGCTCCCAGACCGAATTATATGTTTCGACGTTTATGCAGCGCAGTACGAAATGTACTACGAAACCAATAGAGTAAAGAACTGACTCAATAAGTGTCCATTTCAAGTTGACTAGAAGTCTAGAACTGATCTGGAAACTATAATGTTGCATGAAACGCAGGAATTGTGAGTATTTTTTATAATAATATTTAGTCGACTTTAAAAGAATATAGATATGTTTAAATACAAAATGTGCAATAAGTTATATGATAAAATATATAAATGCATTGTAAGTTTCACAGCATGAAAGTCCCAACTGTTAAACTTGCCAGCAATCCAGTATGCCAATATGCACAATCTTAAGTCAAAATAAGAAACTATGTAAGTTCTTATATATTTCATTTATGGATTATTTTAGCACAGGCTATCAAGGATAAGATTTACTTTCACAATTTTACCTTCTTTATTTGTTAACAATGCCATTGCTCATTTGGTAATTTCACCCTTCTCACTGTAGAATGTGACTGGACATTGGAAAGCCTTCCCCGTCCGTTGATCAAAGGATTGCGCCATGTCAAATGGTGGCGAATACAAATGGAGTGAAGCAGCTCCATTTGAATGGCTTTCATTCTCAATTCTGTGAAGACCTATTTGATCTATTAAGCAATTTAATTCAAAATTAATAATGGTAATAGAACGAATAGGAGTGCAATTAATGCCAAAATCATACGAGTGATTACAAAATCAACCGACCGCGCAGCGGGAGGTTGATTTGTTAAGCACGAGTATGATTTGGCATTAATTGCACGACTTAATTCGTTCTATTACTTATTAATTATCCATCTTTTGTAATCAAAAATTCTGGTCATTTTCTTCAGCAAATATATCATTTAAAAGGTCAAAATTTTCATAATCATTGTCAAATTCCTCCATTTTTAAAAATTTCACGCCCCAAAAGAAAACAAATTCTTATTTTGTATCCTGAATGCTGATTGGCTACTTGTAAAGCTATGCTGAATTTCATTGGCTGTGAACAAGAGTGGGATTATAGCTCACCAAGAGTGCGAATAATGATTAATCGCACTCCTGTAAACCAATCAAATTGAAGTATTTGACAGTGATTACAGAAGATGGATAATTATTACATTTATTTGACAGTATGATTAATTTGCTCAGAATAAAAAACAAAATTTATTTGAATATATTTCATATAACGCTGCTATACAAACATAGTCCAGAAACCTTACCACAAATGTATGTAACTTCGTTGTTTTTATAAACATTTGTATTGGTGACAGCAAGTGGTTCTTCTACATTAGGATCACGAGGCCAAGCATACAAGGTCTCTTTCAGTTGTCCATCCATTATTTTCATAAAACAATGCGAATTTGAGTGGTCATGAACACCGCTAAACATAAAGATTATGTATATATATAAGTCAGTCAAAATAAAACCCTAAATTATTCTACTGCTAAAAAATTTTAACTAGTCTACCAACTAAATTAGGAAAATGGTTTAATGTGGACTTAGCTGTTTTTATGGTACTAATATTAAGAACATGTGCAAATGGGAACATGTGTTGTAAGAAACCTTTAACCCGTAATTGTGGCTAATAATGTGATATATACATGTCTATTCATTGGTCACGCATCCACTAGGTTATGTAATCAGCCGGCTAAATGCAATATTCACCTGGTACAGACAAATACAGAGTAAAAATATTTTGCTGTGGTCAGACAGACCTACTTCAAAATCATAAAGAGAATATGTCTTGAATCATCAAATTCTCTTCATACCTTTATATATTAGATTGTCTATTTAATAGGGTAAAAAAGCTCCCTTTACAATTGGGCGTCATGGAATAAATCAGGAATAAATTCAATTCATTTAAGCCATATGGAAATTAAATTTTTAAAAGGTGTAAAAAAATGAATAAATTAATTCAAATAAATTAACTCTGTAACCAGGAAATTTTTTATTAGCTAACAGGAAAGGGATTGAGTCTCCAGACTGATAATCTTCGATCACTGAACCTTACCCATAAAGCTATTTTTATCCTGAAAACTACTACAGAATACGTGTCTGTACGTGTCAACGTTTGTCATGGGATACGCATTGCCTCGAAGGGCGTTCTGATTGATGCGATGTTTTTAATTAAAAGTTCCAATTGATTCTTAAACGTACAGATTACGAGATAATTTTTCAGACGTCTGAACGTCTACAAAGGTTTTACATCGCCCAGGATCAGCACGAGTGTACACAGCAGAATAATTTTATGCCATCATTCGACATCACCTGAGGGTAGTTTGCTGCGGTTTGCTGAAGATCGGCCACTACAGTGATGATTTTATTTATTTACCTCCCTTGTCCTTCGCCCCAACACAATAAAATCAGGTTGAACTTGCCATTTCCTCTGTCAACTAAGTTACGAGTGTACCTAGAAATATATGTTGAATTACTTAAATATTTAGACAACGGAATACTCCATAAACAATCAGAATTTATTCAAAATAATATAAAAAGAAAACAATACACACACGAACAAGCATTTGTGGTTTGCTTCTATACCTGTGTGGACTGAAATGTGCATATTTTTTCCAATCCTCCGGGTTACTGTTATACGATTCCATTACATGTTTCACCAGATCAATATTTACTTCATCGCCGGCGAACAGTTCATGTAATTGCGTGATTAGTTCTTTAAATTGCATAATCTTCCTTCTATTCCGCTATACCTGTTTGTTATCGTATATAATTAGTAGAAATCAGTAAAAACAGGTTAAAATAAACCTTTTTAAAAGGTTTTCTGGTCTTGTATTTATATTGTTACGTTTACTCTTTTGGTTTCTTCTTTTTTTTCACGCAAAACCGTGTCACGTCCGTGTGATTATGCACGCTTATTAAAATCTCGCGTGACCAACCCTTGAGCGCGCACGTTTAACGCGCGCGGCAAACGATTTACGCGCGTGTGTCACACGATATCTCCACGCGGGATTTTCCGTGATCAGCAATTGCCACGCGGGACTCCACGATTTTTGCTGTTTCAAGTGTTTCAATTTTCAAACCCAGTTTTTAGGATTAAAATATTTCGCTCGGAATTGCATATGGCGACCGTTGCTTCCTAAAATTAGAGATTGTTGGAAAGTCTGAACCTTTCAAGCTTTTGGAAACCTTTTAAGTTTATACGCTACCATGGCTACCTTAGAAGAACGTCTGGCGGAATACGAAGTATTATTTGCAGATCGCTACACAGAAAGAGATGTGGATTATCAAAAACATATTGCCGCTCCAGTGAAACTTCCACCAGTTGTAACCGATTGGAATACTAGTAACTATGACAGGTTAGTGTTCCGACCCTAAAGGCCCGTTTACACTTCGTGATTTTCGATTTTTGCTGCGATTTTCGTCTTTTGATAGATGTGAATGAGTGAATTAGTTACGGATGCTCAAATAGGAGCTCGTACACATCAGAGCATTCGTAACTTATTACTCGTTCACATCTATCGAAAGAATGCGTGCCTTAGCCTTAATGAAGCATTCTCAGGCTCTCGTATATTTCGTTCCCTTAAAGTTAGAATTATTTCCAATATTTACCCTATTAGCTGACAACTTGCCAACTTTGGCTGACCTCAGAGGATTTCTCTAGTTCATGAGAGAAACAGTCTGCAAGTTAAAAGGTTAATAACGTGCAGTAATTGTTACTTTAGACGGCGAGATAACCGAGGTCAAGGTGGTCGAGATGGAAGAGGATGGGATGCAAGACACAACATGTATGATAAGAAATAATAAACTTAGTTTCATGTCAATTTGATAAAGGTTGCCAAGAGTATTGACATAAATATACTTGTTAGCCTTTACAATAAGTTTCTGTTATTAGGCGTGACAACCGGGATAACCGAGGTTATGGTGGCCGGCAAGATTATCGTGATCGGGGCCCTAGGGACAACCGATACCAAACAGAATACAAGTCGAGTGGTTACTATGAAATGTACTATTGACATGAATATGACATTGTATTTTGTGTTCATTTTTGTTAATAGTCTATCTAAATGGGAGTATGATCTAGATTACAAGAACATAGTTTTATATATTTATTTGGTTTGTTTTTTATATAAATATAAAAGTAAAAAAGGTTACATTAACTTTTAAAGCAAGTGGCTATCTATTCAGAAAGAAGACAAACATTCATTGTAAAACTAATCCAAGTTTGAATAAACAACAAATCAATATAGCATTTTATAATGTAAATGAGGACCATCTAATATTCTATATATCGTAATAGTTTATATATGCTTCTTCCAATGAAAGGTCAAAAATTAAGGCCAGAATAAGTTGCAAGAAAAAAGAGTTTCATCTGCTAAGTGCTAAAAAAATTTTGGATTACCATGAATATTTTACTTTAAATGCTTACCGTATTTCAGCGAGATTGTAATAGCCTGTGTGTTTGAAGGCAAGGCCCATAGAGAAAGAATTTTTGAGGGCCCCTCTCCCCACGAACACTGTTCTTCCTCATCTTCACCTTTGTACCTGCCTTCCCCCTTCAGGGGCCTTGGGCCTCTTTCCCCCTACGAAAAGCTCTGGTTTTAACCCGGCACTATTGTTATATGTTTGTAGTTGTTGATCGTCTAGCTTAGTGTAGTCTTGAGGCTTACTGATGGTCTCCGTGGTATTGGCTGAAGTTTCGACCTGTTCTCTGTAGTCCTCTTTAGAATCAAATAAGACATCTGACCACCGCTCAGGGAGTCGAAACGTTGGTCACTCGGTCCTCCAGCAGGAATTAATACATACGTATGTGAAACTTCGCTTTCTCCAATAACACTCTTGGCAGCTCAATGGTAAGAAAACTACCTCGAAATCACTGAAACACGACATATGCTCGACTGATTCCCGCCTGCTATATTCTCACTTTTGGTCTTATTAATCCTATGTTTATGCCTTCAGTTCTTCCTCTTAAAAATCCACTAACATTCAATTTACCTTCTAATATTACGAAGAAAGTGGAAAACCTAATCCCTGAGCCTAGAATATGGAGAAATTTCCTCCCTTTGAAAAAATCTATCGGTCCAGTTTCGCAAAAGAATGCGTTCAGTGTATGCGTTCACACTAAAGGCTGTTTTCAACGTAAAAGTCTAAATCCTTGTACATGTCACCTTTGAAAAAACCAAGTGAATAAATCGAAGGAACTTAGTTTTCTGCATATTTTAGTATGCATTAGTTGACCTAGATATTAAATAATAAAAATTTAAAAGCATTTAAAATGTTCCGTACGTGTACGTGCGTATAAAAAACGCGTAAGTGGAAAGCAGCCTAAAGTGTTTTTCCCGCTAATTTTTAATCGTAGAATGACCCTTCTTCGATGGACAACGATTTAAACCAATGCTGACGCTGCTGTCAGCATAAAGCCTTAATAGAATTATGGGAAGAAAATCCAGACGAAACATCCGCTCGACGAATCAGCGAAGAAGAAAATTCAGACACTTTGGAGTTTGGGGAACGAAGTGAAGCAGACACTTGTTGCCATTTTCGAACACGGGGCCATGGGATTTAAACACAACACCTTTTCATGCAATTTCATCCAGTTCAAACTAGTGTCTCATGACCTTCATCTATATTCTTGTGTTTGGAACAGAAAGTCAACGTCACGTCCGGTCAACGTGCTTGTGGGTTTGACAACCTGCAGCCTGTGCGGCGTAACGTAATTAAAACCCCCAACTAGTGACACAGACTTATTGCACGCACTTGCACCTCGCTGTCAGCACTCGCCGTTGCACAGCACCACAACCTGGTCGAAGCAACAAGCAAGCACTTGTAGTATAACATTTGTCGAGCACTCTCCGAGCCATGGAAGACCAGAGCTCTGTCGACCCTAACAACAATAACGGTGTCGAACCAGACGAAGTGAGTACAGTCTTACCATAAATACTTAAATGCCGTTTAGAGTCAACATTGCCTGTCTTGTCACAATACAATACGACTATTTATCGGCCTTGGTTAATACCTTTAATTGTTTGTTTTTGGATTTAGGTTCGAACCTTGTTTGTAAGTGGTTTACCGGCCAATGTTAGATCCCGAGAGATCTATCTGTTATTCCGTGCTTACAAGGTAAAGCATTTTTCATTATAATTGTATCCGAGTGTCAGTATAGCGTTTTGAAAGTAACGAAGTTACCACAGGGGTCTTCGGACTTGAAGTTTTCGCGTAACGTTGCGTCTTACATCCCATCTGTGTAGTGAAGTCAACTTTCCTATTTGTCGAGTTGTAAACAGTGTTTCTATTTCTATCGACTTCACCCAAAACCTCGTACCGTATTACAATATTACCGCATTGAAATATATGCCGCTAAAAGTGTTCAGAGCCGCAGGAATATCTGGCTTTTGTGACACCATCACAACGTATGTTTTCAAGATGACATCGACACTGGTTATTTTCACTTTTATTACGTATTTGTATGTTATCTAATGTGATTGTAAAGCAATAAAGCGCCATGTAATTCTTTAAGTATATATTATTAGCAAGAAAAGTTGACTCTCAACGTTTCCATTTATGTTTGTTTGACGTAGCGGATGAGTAATCGCCTTTTAAAAACCGTTATGGGGACATTTCTTAGGCGTCATCTTACCTACTTCTATAGGAGCTTCGAAAATAAGTTTGTAAATGATTAGCTTAATATGTCATGGTTAGGCCATCTGAGCGGAACATAATATCAAATTCCTTTCTTTATGTTCGCCTTTCTTCGCGATTTGCATAATCATTGTTTCATTTCCGAAATGTTGCAAAAAGGCGTCGCGAAAATGACTCGAATTTCGCTGAAGTGATTTGCGGGAAGTAAAATCCAGCCGGTAAATTGGGAAGAAATATCACTTCCTAAAGTAAACCTCTTCAGAATTAGCTGTCGTTTCATGTAGAACGGGAGTTCGAAAGAAACATTAAAAGACGTGTTCACTGTGAGTGTTAAAACAAGCTGTTTTGCAGCGAATAAATTAAAAATCCATTAGGCCGCTAAATACTCACAAACCCCTAGAATCAAGTTGTTTGTGTACCTGGAACGCGTTTAAGAAACCTCTGTTTGTGAACCTAAGTTCTCAGTTCCGTTTTATATTAAGACTTTCTCGAAAACTCGCAGACAAATGTTTAATTTTGTCCGGGTAACCGTGGAAACCTGAAGAATGTCTGTGTTTCAGCGTGTTTGGAAAGATCGCCACATGACTCCGACATTGCGAAGGCAAATATTATGAATCCTAACGACAGAGCCAAAGGAATCTAGTTTGGGGGCTGCTGTTCGGCTGAGGTGGCTTTTTTGTTTCGAAATAGGCCTTACACAATTATCCGACTTCGCTGGGTTTTCAATAAGTCAATTTTCGCTTGGCAACCAAGAAGTGAGCCTAATTACCATGTAAAGTACTTGTTTGGCTAAAACACTGGTAATGAATTTATAACTAAGTGTATCACTTGTAAGTAAAGACAAAGTCAAGGAGCCCCAAAGCACTTTCGGACAGATATGGCCTTCCATATTTTAAGCATTTTTCGTCTTGTGCGGTTAACAATTCCGTTTGCATGCATGGTTTTTAGACGCCGTTAGTGGTCCTTGGAATACAGGTAGTTTATAGTTTGTGGGTAAATGTTCTGGTGGTGTGGTTTTGTATTTGCGCGGAATGTATGACAGTTGAGTCAGTAGTTCTAACCGATCACAACACTAGAGACTTACGAGCCATTAGTTTCAGGTCGAGTATAGCGTCAATATTTATTCAGGATAAAATTATAGAAAATGTCAAAACGATTGTGATCATTATTATTTAACGACATGTAAAATCCAAGATAACGCGCATGTTAAATAGATGGCGTTAGTGAACAGCATATTGACTGTTGTTGTTTCATTTTGAGAGAAGGCTCGCCCTGTGTAGCACTGCGAACTGAAGATAGAAATAGGGACTCTGAATGGGTAATATGTGAGAGGGGCGACCCTTTCCTGACTAAAATCGTCTGCCGAAAGGACCAAAAATGGTTCACAGAAAATATCCATGATTCCATGATTCCACATCATACAAAGATCGACACGAATCCTCCCAAAATACCACTGTCATATTAAGCATTCCTTCGATTCATCATCTTTCCGTAGTTCCTTTTTCAAACACACCTCCTGCCAGCTAAAGAATTTCCTAAAAAATATCCGCGCCGCTGTGCCTGATGGAGTACAAAGACTGTGGAACGCAGTGGACGCTAGAAATCCGCATAACAAGGCAACAAAAATATGATTTCAATTCATTTGAAACAAAACAAAAACTTTACAGCTACCTTAATTGCCAAAAGCTGCAATCATCTGGCAAACTCACACGTGAGCTTTCACGTGAACTTATCCGTTTGTCTGCAAATTAATGCACTTACTACGCGGGAACACATATTAGGCATTTTAATTTTAACGTTAGTGGTCAAGGGCCGTTTGCAGAAACGATTTTCTTCTTTCAATTGATACGAACGAGTGGAGAGTCGTGAATGCATAGGCTCATTTAGACATCCCTGGCTTCTCGATTCGTTAAAATCTCCCAGAATAAGAAAATCGCACAAAAAATACGGCAGAAAAATCGTTCGTGCGGCCATTTAACTCAGCAGCATATTCGTAACACTGAAAAACCTTTGGACCTTTAGCAAACCTAAACCTTTAGCATATTTGCAACACTGAAAAACCTTTAAAGAGCAATCGCCAGACGAACAAAAGTTTTGCGATATAAAAAAAGGAGAAATGTTCCGAGTTGAGGCTTGAAAACTGTTTAGTTTGGTTTAATATGATGCTTTATTCTTTAGGGCTATGAAGGATTTCAACTGAAGCTTACAGATAAACTGGTAAGTGATTTCTGAACCTGAAAAATCACTATCTTACTAGTTACTGGACCAACTTTATTCCATCAAATGTATATTTCTGACTTTGAATCTCGCTTATTTCGTTCCAGGGGAAGCCATCGGTAAGCATTGCACTTTTCAACTTTCGTTCCATCTTTGGACAATGAAATGAAGAAATAGGCCAATTTTTCGTTAAATTAAGTTTGCAGCATATTTCTGTTTAGCCAGTAGCGTTTGTGACATTTCTGGAAAGAGAAGATGCAGAGGAATGCAAGAGCGATCTACAGGTTAGCGGATAACTTTGGTGATAGTTTAGCCTCGAAATGTAGCCATTTACTTAGGGCCTAGTTTACTTAAAAACTTTCTTGAATATTCCCCCGGAAAGTGCGTGAATATAATTTTTATTGAGAAGCAGAATTCCCGTCGGTGTAAAAAACTTGGCTCATTGAAATGATGACCGACTTCATTTGTGTCCCCACAGGGCGTCCGTTTTGATCCTGAAGTCAGTCAAGCTTTGAGAATCGAATTTGCCAAGACAAACACAAAAGTCAGCAAGATGGCATACAGGAATGGTGCCGTAAAGATGGCTTCGCCCACGGAAGCTTTAACGCCACGTAAGAAAAACGTTTCCGAAATCAATGATAGTCGGATATCCTGTTGTGGATATTCGCTTCGCGTGCAAGGACTGCCTTTGCAAGTCCTTAAGTTTTTCACTCCAGTTAGGTTAATATATCGATGCCGATGCATTCATTCTTTGCGGTGATGTCACTGAATCTAGTTCAAAACAGAAATTTAGGTTATAATAATTGCTCTTTTCTTTAATTACAGTGGATCTCACAGGCCTTAGCTTTTTTGCCGCATCGGAACCAGTATCATGGCATCCTGCTAGGTAAGTTAAAAATGATGCGTGCAAATGAAATATACAATCAGGGACTCAAGGTATACAGAAGAAAGATGGGGGAAAAAGGACAGTTTCTTTGTTCCTGTGATTTTTGTTCAGGAGTATCTCAGTTGGTTAATAACCATTTTCTCCCGAAACTTCGACCTTTCACGAAGGTTTCTAACACCTATTTTCATTTTTAGAATTTCATACGCGGATAGCCCCACCTCACCGTTACCCTCACCCATACACTCACCTGTTATCAATCACTTTCAACACACTTTACAGGTTTGTATATCTACCTTATGAATCCGCCAAAATATTCTCTCACGATCAGCAATGAAAACTTTTTTGGACTAAACACCTTTTGAATAACTGATCGTTGCTAATTGAGATTATGTATGTGCGCTTTAGAAACACCTATTGCCGCATTCTTTTTTTTTGCTAGAGTTTTTTTCAATGTTTTTTTCTATTTTTTTTAGCACCACCCACTATATCAACCAGTCAACATGCAATCTAGCACCTTCTCTTTGCGACCCCCTGCAATGGTAACCAATGACAACCCTGTGTGTTCCACTTTGTTTGTGGCTAATTTAGGACAGTCGTGTACGGAGACGGAATTACATAATTTTTTCGCGAGGTAACGAGGAACATGAGATCTGTTGTTTAAAAAATTAAGTGATTAAAAAAATCACGATTGCCACTGAGTAAAATGCAAAACAATGGATACTGACTGAAAACAGTTAAATGCTGGGTAGTTTGTTATGAGCAAAGAGTATGCTTGGAGCGGCCTTAACAAGATTTTTATTATTTTGCATATTTTACATGCAAATATGTGCATGTTAGTCAAAACGCCTAGCCATTTTCGGAGTGTCCTTTGATTTGTACAAAGATCGATGAGATTGAGGCAGAAATAGAAAAACACGAGTCGCACATTTCGAGACTGCGCTTCCGTTTTGGCCTAAAATAGTGGTAGCTATTCTAAAATCATCCTTTCTCTTGTCCTACCAGCTATGAAAACTTTTTGAAATTCCATATAATCCTCATAAATTCCAAATAAAACTTAACTATCTCGTGATGTTACGTACATTCTCTGATCAGGAGACCAATTGGAAACCCAATGGAGTGATATAAAGTCCGTGCTCTACACAATGCATTCATGTCCCCCCCTTTTTTTAATATTCTATTGCAGAACTCTTGGTTTCAAGAGAATAAAAATGCTAAACAAAGGGAATGCTCCGTGCTGCTTTGTAGAGTACCAGGTATGAAAACAAATGGATTTTATTTACCATTACTTTCACAATGAAACATTGCCATATTAGCACATACTAATAATGATGTTATCTTTTTAATAAGGATGTTTATCATGCGTCGGTGGCCATGAATATGTTACAGGGGTAGGCAATATAATTATTTATATTGTTCACACATAGGAATGCGTTTTATTACGATACGAAAGGGATTAAACCATTTACATGTATATAGAGAGTTGCAACAAATGTGGTTGATTTTGTTATCGTGTTGTTTTTGCTTTTATTTTTTTCTTGTTGTTGTTTAACTTGTTTTTCTATTTCCTATTGCTGCCGTCACGGCTTTGTTGCTGCAGCCTGCATGGGGCCTGTCGTTGTTGAAATGTGAAATTTCTTTTTCTGTATTATATTATAATTCCTTTTATTTCAACATCTTTAGGCATGCGATGCCTTCTTCGGAAGGTGTAAGAGGTGGAATTAGAATTGAATATGCAAGATCAAGAATGGGAGAGGTGAGATAAAGCAATGATTGTATTGGGTTCCCTAGATGGTATGCAAAGAAGCTTGATATATCTTTACCCTTTGATGCTGCTTATCCACTAAGCCAAGCGAAGGTTGCTAAAGGCTTTGTTAGCAATCACTGTATATATAGCTGACAATGCGCCAATTAGCCATTTCCCAATCAAGCAAGGCACTGGGTCTAGTCGCCAACCGCAAAGCATCTATGGACTGTTTGGAGGGACAGGAAATATAAGTCTGAAATGATTTGTCCCTCCAAACAGTCCATAGATAGATGCTTTGCAGTTCGCGACTAGACCCAGCACCCTGCTCGATTGGGAAAGGGCTAATTACTTTTGAATCGGCTGGGAAAGTCCACTGTGAAAGTCTCATGAACTTAACTTTAATATACTTAGTGGTTCGTCTCTCTTTCTTAGCGTCGATATTCTGTAAATGGCGAGACAGTGATCACAAGTCACCCTACCAGTCCCGTGGGACCCATCAGTATCTCTAGCTACAGTTGAGTAGCCGTACATGAAGTCTTAAAGAATGTTATATACGTCCAATTTTTTATAATGTATATTTACTTGAGTGACGAGTTAACTTTTATACTATTTATAAAAAAAAAGATTTTAAAGGGTTTATGTACAAATAATTCATCGTGATTTAAAATTATACAAATTGACATGGTGGGAATTTTAAACTTAATTTTATATCACGAAAAGCTGTGATCATTCTTACGTCATAATCAGGCATTATATACTCCATTTATATGATTGGAAACATAACTGAACAATCACGACAAATTAACGGTATCAGTAAAGCCATTCCTGCTTTTGACATATGTGATTTTATAAGTTTGCTAAAAAGAAGTATGCCTATTGGTTCATACTTGTGAAATTTGCGATTGTTGCACAGTATCAAACTAAATCACCCACGTCCGACCCGATAGTCTCATCTGAAAGTTTGTAGCCATTGGCATTATAATAATTATTACTGTCATTTCTATTAATATATTTGTAAAATGTGATTATTACTTGATCGTCTAAGATCTTAGATAATTTATTTATTTATTTTTAATGATGACCAATTGGTCAATATTTGCTTATTAAATAAAATTGATTGATCAGAAATACAGTTGCTTAAAAGTTGTCATTTTCATGGTGGTTACATGAAGAATGTTAATTTCTTGCATTTCACATTCATATTTGGAACCCGATGTGAAAGATCAAGATGCTGGTTACCCTATTATGTCACGATTAATCCTACCACCTCATCTCTTACTCAACAATATCATTGTCTGTATCTGATTATCAACGGTTATTCCGATAACACCCCAGCTCAAAGGCAATTTCGTCATAATCATATTAAAAAAAAATTGTATCACGTATTCACGCACGAGAAGAGTAAAGACCCTGGGTACGAGGTTGGTATTCACGTTCAAAGTTCATAGTACACAGGCACCGGCCTGATTTCTAGCACGTAGCAAATTATTTCAAAACACACACAATGGCCGGTAAGTTTTATGTATTTCATTTACTGTATGGACTCAAAACCGTTTCCTTAACAAGTTTATATATCATAGGTGACAATCCATTCTCGAAACACCTTAAAACCGTCGAGGTTAACGGCGAAAATCTTCGATTTTTTGATCTCACAAGCTTAGAAGACGAACGCTATGGTATGTAAGTCGAATACGGCGAACGAATCAACGAAACGTATTTAAATATACGATTCGCAATTGCCGTGATCTTCCACGATTCTCGTTTCGCATAAAACATTTCTAGTTAAATTTGTAAAGTTTTTAAAATGTTGTTTTCGTGCAAGAAGATTAATGAATGAACGGTTTGTTTATAAATAATTCCCCTGAGGGTGAAATTTACATGATTGTAACACGTTGTTTTCATTTATGCGACACACGAATTGTTCTATTTCAATTATTTGGTTGTAAAAAACTGAATAAATATGTTAGTTGTATCCCTTTAAATGATGTAAGGCAATTATATAACATGTGTAATTAGTATTCTCCTTCGTTTGGCCAAGAATAGCCACGAGACAATTTTATAAATAATGGGAAGAAAATCATTGTCCATTTCACTGAGTTTGTAAAAAGCGTTCTAAATTCGGAACGGTTTTTTTCATTTTGTTAACGGTTTGTGGGGGGGTCTTTTGATTTGAAATTTCAGAACTTTATAATTTAGTTTGGTTTTTGTAAAGGGTGAAACATAATTTATTTCAGTAAAAGAACCTTGGGTTGGGGGCAGTTGAAGCCTTGTAGGGGGTGGGCTGAGTACACAACAATCGCAACTCCCAACTAATGAGGAAAAGTGCGCTTTCTTGCCAAATGCTCTGGTTTGCCTAGGTCCCCAACTTTAGGTAGGAACCTAACAGTCATTGTAAAATTTTCTGTATAGTGTGTATTCTATGCCCTTTCGTCAACATCAAATTCGACTATATTTACACAGTATTTGCCTAGCGTTCACTCACTCATATTTTTAAGGAATTATTCTATCATTGCTTTAAAAATATATTAATCATTAAATTGGTGACATCTTGTTGCTGAGTTACATGTATTTTACACAAAATATGTTTGTTCAAGATTTGAAGTGAGGTTAATGTATATAAGAAATATCCCTGTCCACATAGATTTTCAGAGCAAAATGAATCAGTTTTTAAGATTTTTTGAGAATTTTTGAGCATATGTGCCATTTTCAGACAAGCTTCCATATTCAATTCGTATCCTGTTGGAATCTGCTGTACGAAATTGTGATGGTTTTCAAATCAAGTTAGAAGATGTTGAGAAAATATTAAATTGGGAAAAAAGTCAGCATGATGCGGTGGAAATCCCATTCAGACCAGCTCGGGTCATACTGCAAGATTTCACGTAATTATTATTTCTTATTATTTCATTCATTGTTGGGATTAAAGTTGAATATTGGAGTTGGATTAGTGTTGCCTAGTCAGTGTTTCCATGAGGTTAAAGAATAGTCATGTAATTTTGTAGTGGTGTGCCTGCAGTTGTTGATTTTGCTGCCATGCGAGATGCTGTCAAGAGATTGGGAGGTGATCCAGCTTCCATAAACCCACTTTGTCCTGTAGATCTGGTTATTGACCATTCGGTACAAGTTGATGTCACTAGAAAGTGAGTCATAGCCATAATATACAATTTTATCATAATCTGATAATAATCTTTTATCAATCATCTGACCTTTAAGTAATCCGCCTTACACCAAATATAAGGGCGCTGTGCGGTAAAAACGAACAGACCGGCCCTGTTGCATTTTAGTAGAGACCGATTACTGCTATTTACATCTGGCTAGCGCGAAAAATGCTGTTTTACTGTCTATATTCGTAACGAAATACTCTATTTTAATTCAATTAAAAATGTAAACTGTTTGCCGACCACTTTGGCGGTTTGGCCGCAAAAAATAAAAATAAAGCCCCTGGGTTAAAAACAGTATATTCCTTGAATGAGCATAGTAAAATAAGTATTAGTTGTAAAATATTGTAAAACAACGAAAGCATAGATTCTCAAATTAATATAGCCTTTGTATAACGTGCGGGAGTTGTTTTCAACTTTGAACATACACCTGGGTCTGGGACGAAATTGTACACGAAACTGAAATGTACAAAATATGTAAATTTCGGCAGGCAAACGTTTCGCATCTTGGAATATTTTGCAACGAAACTGTGAAGTTTTGCTTATTTTTGTGTACTTTTTTTGGCTGGGGTGATTTATTTGTGTCCTTGTCTTGTTCGAACTTGGTCAAACACAAGTAGCTCTTGTAAAAAATTGTAGCATTGAATGTAGGAATGGTTTTGCTTTGAAATGTTTAAAGTTATTCTCGAAAACCTTTATAGTAAAGAAGCAGTCGCGAGGAATCAGGATTTAGAATTTGAAAGAAACAAAGAAAGATTTCAGTTTTTGAGGGTAATTTGTAAACAATTTGTGATATCACGTTTGAATATGGTATGAATATCAATAGAATCTTTGACTTATTGTTTAGTGGGGCTCGAAAGCTTTCAAGAATGTCACAATCGTTCCCCCGGGCTCAGGAATTGTTCATCAGGTAATATATTTGATATCCCCACAGCTTTCCCAAGGGAGAGAGAGGATACACTATCTGTCTTTAGATGAATTTCTCTGGGTTTTTTCAAAGCCAAGGTTTGATAGATATATATTTTTTGATGTTAAGGTAAACTTAGAGTATCTTGGTCGCGTGGTGTTTAATACGGATGGATTACTCTATCCAGACAGTTTGGTTGGGACAGACTCCCACACAACCATGATCAATGGTCTTGGTATATTAGGCTGGGGTAAGAAATGTTCATTTTAATACCTAAATATAAGATGCGACCGATGTAAAACATATCTCCTTGCTCCTTCTAATTATCATACCCTGCCTCCTCTCATTTACTGTCGTATTACTTCATGTAATGGTAAATTTTCCTTCCGTGCCCTTTGACTAACTATCAGTGTCGCAACAGTTGTGTGAATCCCCCCCTCCACATTTAGGTGTAGGTGGCATTGAGGCAGAAGCGGTAATGCTTGGTCAGGCGGTGAGTATGATTCTGCCCAAAGTTGTTGGCTACAAGCTAACAGGCCAACTCAACGGTCTGGCCACGTCGACGGACGTCGTTCTGACCATCACCAAACATCTCCGAAAGATCGGAGTCGTAGGAAAATTCGTGGAATTCTTCGGCCCGGGATTGTCGCAATTGTCGATCGCAGACCGGGCGACTATCGCTAACATGTGTCCGGAATATGGGGCCACTGTAGGATTCTTTGCCGTGGACGAGATGAGTATGAAATACTTGAGACAAACTGGCCGAGATGAAGAAAAAATTCGCGTCACCGAGAAGTACCTAAAAGCAAACAAAATGTTTCGACATTTCGAGGATTCCGATGAAGATCCTGTTTTTTCTGAGGTAAAGCATTTTTGTTTTTGTGTTATTTCTGAAATGGATTAAAAAATATAGTAATTTGTCCATTCTCGAAAGGTTGCTTCGCCACTATTGACCACCAGACAACTGTCAATTTTTTAACAGCTTATTTTTTGGCGGTAGAGTAGTCTTAAGCCTAGTTTCCACTGCATTAATTTGTTCACACAAAGCGAAAACAAAAATTCAGCAACGTGATTGGTCAGATTGGCTTCCACTAGCCAATCACGTTGCCGAATATTTCGCGCGAAAAATTCGCCAGGTAAAAAACAAGATTAAGATGTCTTCGAATTTAAAGTTGTATTTTGTAATTGATCTTTACCATACAAAATACATTTGCAGACTTGTTTTTAGGTGTTTTCTTTAGCAGTTTACAGCCCGTGCATACACTTCCTTCCTTCGTGTCTGAGTTTGTCAGTGCATGTGTTACACGCCTGCATTCGAAGTTATTAAGATGGTCTTTATGTTCGTCCATAGGTCGTTGAGTTGGATCTCAGCACGGTTGTGTCATGTGTTTCCGGACCGAAACGACCGCATGACAAAGTTGCTGTGGCTGAAATGCGGAAAGATTTCAAAGAATGCCTGAATAATAAGGTTGGCTTTAAAGGTTTCGGTCTGTCGGAAGAAAAACAAAAGTCTGAAAGTGTGATGGACTTTGAGAGTCAAAATTTCATTTTAAAACATGGTAAGTTGGTTGATAAAACGGTTCAAATTTCAGCTATTTTTATGGATTAAGGAAAAGTTAACAAAAAAAAAGAAATACGAGTTTGTTTGTTTTTAATTGTTTTTTTCCCGCCAGGTGCGGTTGTCATAGCAGCAATCACGAGTTGTACGAACACCAGTAATCCCTCAGTGATGCTGGGAGCAGGGTTGCTGGCCAAGAAAGCTGTGGAATGTGGGCTCAAAGTGCGGCCGTATATAAAGACCAGTTTGTCTCCAGGATCTGGAGTCGTCACGTACTATTTACAAGAAAGTGGAGTCATACCAGATTTGCAAGAATTAGGGTACGCTGCTACAAATGCAAGACGTGCATGCTACAAAAATAAAGCAAAAGTTTAAGTAAATAAAAGCACTAAGCACCAGAGGCCTGTTGCACGAAACTCGTTTAGCTGAAACGATGAATAAGCCAAAAATAGGTAACACTTTCACACAAGTCGTGAACCGTGAACCTGAATCTGATATGCTATATGTGTAGTTGTAAACAACATTGTTGTATTTATGTCGAAACACTTTTTCCAAGATAAATCTGCAGTCATGTAGGCACCATTGTAAAAGTGTCAGTAAAGCATTTCATCTAGATCTAGGGTATATAAAAATTATGTTGTATTAATCTGGAGATTTCCTAGGTTTGATATTGTTGGATATGGTTGTATGACTTGTATTGGTAACAGTGGTCCGTTACCTGAGCCTGTTGGAAAAGCCATTGAGCAGGTGAGTGGGTCTCGTGTACTTTTGTATTGCGAGAATTTTAGCTGAATTGATTTTCAAATGCATCTAACATGCAATCAACACAGTTTAATAAGAGAAAGCACTTCAGTAATTTTTTTTCAAAATAAAACGAGGCTTTTTCACGTAATTTAGCTATTTCATCTAAATTTTCACCTTCTTTGTCTGTTTGTTTCAGCGTGCTTGCCTATTTTCCTGTTTACCGAACAAACAAACTAATAAACAGACAGAAAAACAAGATGTATACGTTTAATTGTATCAATATTTGCCATATTTCAGGGTGATTTGGTTGCGGTTGGTGTTTTGTCTGGCAATAGAAATTTTGAAGGACGCATTCACCCCCTAACCCGCGCTAACTATCTGGCCTCCCCACCTTTGGTCATAGCATATGCCATCGCAGGAACTGTCGATATCGACTTCGAGAAGGAACCTCTGGGTAAGTGGAAAATTGTTGTAAACAATTGAATATGAACAATAAATGATTGTAAACAAATTGCCTTCTTGCTAATCCTAACGACCATCTTCTTTGGAAACAGGTATTAGCAAGGACGGCAAAGAAATATTCTTAAGAGATATTTGGCCAAGTCGTGAAGAAATTCAGGTAGACAAAGAGACTATTTAAAACAATACAGTATACAGTACTTTGTCCAAAATAACATACCATGTACCAGTACCAAGTACCATAGCAGTACCATACCGTACCATACCACAGCATGCCATACCATACATACCATACCATACCATAACATTTCATACCATACCATACCATACCATACCATACCATACCATACCATACCATACCATACCATACCATACCATACCATACCATACCATACCATACCATACCATAGCAACAGTGAGTGACCTATACCATACTATGTACCACGATGTACTACATTGACCTGTACGTTACATACAGTAGAAAACTATAGCATGCCTTATGCACCTGTTCTTCAGGAGGTCGAGAGAAAGTTTGTTATCCCGGCTATGTTTAAGGAAGTCTATTCCAAAATCACGGTTAGTTGATTTTGAATTACTTTTCAACTGCACAAATTAATGTCGTTGCGTTCTTTTACGGGGAAATTACAGAACTCTAAATCACAGGACTCTAAATCGGTTTCTAAATCAGAGTATCACTTATTTTGACTTCAGGATGGTAATTCAAAGTGGAATTCGCTGGAGGTTTCAGAAAGCTTACTTTATCCTTGGGATGCAAAATCTACCTACATAAAAAGTCCCCCTTTCTTTGACGAAATGGTAAGACCCTTATTTTGCAAGGCGCTATTCACTTTGTTAAAATCAAGCTCCTGGTATAGTTGTTAATTACGTCGCGTAGAACAGACGTTTTTAACGATCCTAAAATGTTTGTGTGTCGAATGACGCATTTTGTCATCATGTGTCATTTTATTACAGGCGGCAAATCTTCCAGAAATTAAGAACATCGAGCGTGCGGCAGTGTTGCTGAACCTTGGTGATTCCGTGACAACAGATCACATCTCTCCAGCGGGTAGCATCTCTAGAACCAGTCCAGCCGCTCGGTATTTGTCGGCGAAGGGGTAAGGAAACTGGGCACGAAATCTTGCTCATCAGCTGACCAAATCTCCCGAGCCCGCGATTGTAACTGCTTCTTTTCCTCTAGGTTAGTTCCACGTCAGTTCAATTCGTATGGTTCGCGAAGAGGTAATGACGCGGTCATGGCACGTGGTACATTTGCTAACATACGATTGGTCAATAAGTTCATAGGAAAGGCTGGACCAAAGACGATACATATTCCGTCGAATGAGCAGGTACAGTCCGTAAGGTTTTTGACGAAGGTATTCATGGGCCGACTCAATGAGTTAAGTGTACGACTTCTAGATGTCGGTTTTTGACGCGGCCGAGAAGTATCATTCAGAAAGTCGCTCGTTAATCATCTTGGCTGGAAAGGATTATGGATCTGGTTCATCACGTGACTGGGCCGCTAAAGGACCATGGATGTTGGTAAGATAAATGCTATCCCATCTACGACGTGATTAAAATAAACATAAAGATATCATAGCTAGACTCAAAATAATGGTATCTCCGGTTAGAGTGATCGGTCAGTTATTGAATGTTCACTAATGCACATAATTTTCAAAAATCAATATGACGGAATCAAGGACCAAATCATGTGTTTTGAGCCACACTGATTCTCCTGCGGGCGGTGAATTTGTACTCGCAAGGTGTAATTCTTTCAATGCGCGATTTCAGGGTATCAAAGCAGTGATAGCAGAAAGCTATGAAAGAATTCATCGCAGTAATTTGGTCGGTATGGGCGTCATACCGCTTCAATACCTGCCCGAGCAAAATGCCGAGAGCCTGGGCCTAACTGGAAAGGAGAGCTTCAGCATTGACATACCGAGTGATCTAAAGACTGGCCAGACTTTGAAAGTTGAGGTAAAACGGTTTAGCTGCATGGAACTGGATATTTTAATAGCCAATATCTCAGTATTGAGAAACGATTTGGAAGCTATATGAAATATATTATTATTGTAACTCAATTTTCTGACCAGATCAGTCCGAATTAAAAAATGGTTTGGGCTCATTTGGGCGAGAATACTACATAACTGCACGAGTCTATCAATTTTGCTTGTTTCATGGAAAAATCTCATCCAAATTTCGGGTTCTGTTCTCAAAAACTGAATCGTATATCCTCTGCTTTTTTTCACTTTCTCATCATCAGTAAACTGATTTTTGGCTGCAAATTCCTTATATAGTTGGATAATAACAAAAGCTTTGAAGTAAAAGTCCGCTTCGATACAGATTTGGAGCTGACGTTCTTCAAAAATGGTGGAATATTGAACTACATGATAAGAAGAATGGCTTGCAGTTGAGAAGGTGTAGGTCACTTAGGTCGATTTGAACCTTCATAGCAATTCTCGAGTCCCGAATGCATAAAAATCGATAGATAATGGTCGATAATCTATTTGTCAAAAGAATCCATTCGGCGCATGAGATTTGCGCTCTCTCAGTTGCTGGTTAGTGGTAATGATTGCAATTAGATGAATGGTCGCATATAAATAACACTGTGCCTTTTTCAGATCGTAATGCTTCGTTTTAAAAGGCCCTGTTACACGGTGCAATTTTTCTTGCAACTTGCAATGTAATTCTACTTCTAAGAGATGTAAATGAGCGAGGAGTCTTGCAGAAGAAAAGTGCATGAAGTGTAATGAAAACAAAAGTTTCCTTGTTCCCAAATATACATCTCTCAATAGTAGAATTGCAAGAAAAATTGTACTGTGTAACAGGGTCTTTACTCTAACTTCTAGACGAAAACATTTGCTCAGAACGTCGAGTATTTGGTTTGTATTTTCTCTAATCAATATTGTATGCGACCGTTCATATTTATTGAAGAGATAGAGGTCAACTGGTTTTACCAGAATGGTTAACTTATATTAAATATATTTTTCTTACGGTATATGATAGTCTGAATCAGAATGAAATATTGTCTTGACTGTTGTGGTTCAGAAGAATGAAAAAGAAATTAAAAAACACCAAAATATTTTTCGAAGCGTAGGATGCACTAAAATCCTGATGCATTTAAAGTTGTCAAATACGAACATTTCTTACGTCCTGCTAACGTTTTCTTGGCATTTCGAACACAAACAATTTAGCATCCCTCAAAATTATATTTGCATTGCAAGTTGCAAGGAAAGTTGCAACACTGCCTCGTTCGTTGTGGATTCCAACGAGGCAGTATTTTACAATGGAATAAAATTTTTCAGTCGATTTACTTTTCAATTGTCAAGAGGACCCTGCTTCGGTTGACTTATCGCAATTAAAAAGGGAATTGAGCGAAAATTCGAAGATGACAGCTATTAGCTTCGGACGATCTCGAATATTTGGATTATCAGATACTTTTTCACTGTTGGCAGAGAAACAGAACAGCCAATTTGAGGACACAAATGAAGAATAATTATGATCTGAATAAATTAATAAAATATAAATTACGCATACCTGTATATAATTTCACCTTGTTCTGAATGAATTAGAACATCGAACAACCAATCAGTGGCCACCTGCAATCTGCATAACTGCATTCTTTGTATATATCGTGTGAAAAATTCGTTGATGTTCACACATATATATTTTGGAATATTTGTGTATCGCGAATTCGAATTTATCTTGTTATGTTTACGAGTGATCTGATGCTCTAATTTCTATCCTAAAAGCACATACAGGCCAATATTTACGAGGATAATAATATAGAAAGGTATGTAGCCTAGTATATTAAATTGCGCACAACGCCGAAAACAAGCACTTGAAGTCTGATATTGGGTCGCCTTTTATAATATTATTGTGTGGTTGTAACGAATAACTCGTGCCGGTTTAGAAAACAGCACGAATGTATAAACAATGAATTAAAAGCAGTTTGTGGCCTTTGTTGATAATGACACCTTGCTGCGATTTCTGCTTTTTTAATACGAGAATATTGTAAATCGATGTCGACTGACTCGGCATTTTTGAAGTGTCGATAAAGCTAAACGAGCCTTTCCTACATTTATTTAAGTGTTTTAAACGTTTAACCGCCCTTCTGTCTGGTTTGTAGTTGAATTTGAATTAACGGAAGCCGATTTTTATTGTCTGAATATTTTCAGAGTTGCTAATTGATGATTTAAAGCGAGTATCATTTGAATTAAGAGTGTCATTGCATGTATTTAGATAAAATATTTGTGCCTTGTTGTTTAGACTGATATAAATACTTTACTCAATATAACATACAAACCCCCTATTAGGGTTTATAGATTTTTAATTGTAGCACTTGAGTCTGGTTTGAAATGTGTTTCATCTTTATTAAAGAATATAAAATATTGCATGAAAATATCTGAAAAGGTTTTAATGCCTGCTCTTCCTGTTTACACTATAGAATGTTGCGAGCATTTTAGTGACGCCAAAGTAGTTCACATGTTTTTATTACATTTGTAAAATAAACCCTAGAATGGTAAAATGCTATAGAAATGTATGTTTAAAAGATATAAATCTGTTTAAACTTTGAGATTAGACAAAACAATGACATTTAGGTGTTGATGGTAATCTTTGTCCTGTGTATAATGCTGATGAACCATTGAAATTATTTTGTTTATGAGCCAAACACTTGAAATGAATTAATTTTTAATAAAAAGTTTAAGAAAGGTAAATTATCTGCCATTCCAATCCTGCTATTATCAGCTTGCATTGATTGATCTCATATTTCTTCTCTATAATAGTTTTTTTCTAAAGGTTAAAAGAAATGTATTTCTTGAAGTTGTTAGTGATGTTCAGTATGGTTTGCTTGTGTAAGTATTGACTTTTTCGGTGCAATACAAGAAGTTTGATGCATAATTCCAACTAGTTTGTTAATTCTAAGCTTATTAAGCAAAAATTGAGAATTTAAATGACTCGTATTTAGATGAAAATTCTAGCATACAGGACACCTTGAAAATATAGCAAAATAGGAACATTCAATATCAGTAAATGTTTTTGTCTTTAAAATCTGTAGGTAATGCTGCTCTAAAGTGTTACACCTGCAATGGATTGGAACTAGAGACGTGTATGAAAACGGCATTAAAATGTAAACCAGAACAAAATAGATGTTTATCATTCTTGTTAGAAGGTCATAAAGACCGTGGAAAGATATACTACAAGAGGTGTGCGAAGAAGCTTGAATGTTATGGTTATAAACTACAAAGTGGGTGCGATGCCAAAGCAACCATTCATAGCTATTCATCTTGCCGACCTGCTTGCTGTGAGACGGATAAATGTAACCATAGCAACAGAGTAACATTGTCATGGCTTTCGCTGGTTGCTGTCATTTCTTATTCAATAAAACTTATTATTTGGTGACTGTTGGAGATTCAAAACTAATTCTACATTTATTTCATCTTTTTCAAAATTTGCTTCATTGAAAACACATTGTATAAAGCATTAAATGAGACTGAGTGCATTATGGCTGAAGCTTTGCTAGAAAAAGGGGTGCTCTTGATAAATGTCCTGGAAACTCTAGGGCCTAACAAGAGGGCATAGGAGCCTGGTCCATGCAGTTACATCATACTATCTCAGTATCTTATATAGTATGACATACGTACATTGACCAGGCTGCCTATGAGTAAGGTTGTTTATTTTCATATATTAAAATATCTTTCCAGTTCTGTTAATCCATTATCATGACAAAACTATTTTCATATTCTTGTATTCACAATTTTTCTTTGTTTACTGTGAAATATCTTTTAAGATTTGTTAAAAATATTGTACGTATTTATATCACGTAAATATACTGTATGTAAGGTGTTATTGCCGTAGGGTATCAATCTCGTATTAGTGAAACTTAGTCGGTTTTTCTATGGTAAATAAACGAAAATAGTAGTTTCTAATAATGCTATTAATATACATGAAAGTGCATGAAGTGTAATAAACACAAACATTTCGTTGTTCCCAAATATACATCTCTTAAAAGTAGGACTGCATTGCAAATTGCAAGAAAAATTGCACCGTGTAACATGGCCTGAATAAGCAATGTACTAGAAGTAATTAAATCACTAAAATATATGTCAGGTGTTACAATATTTGATTCAATCTGGGTGTAAATAGTTTTCAGTATAAAGACTTAACTTTCCGGGAGAATTTTTGGCCGTAGGGACTAGTCGGGAGGCCAACGGGGTCCACGTCCCCCCCCCGTCCCACATTTAAAAGTCGCTGGAAAGGGGTCTTCGCTTCGAGGTAACTTGTCCTTTTTCTTTAATCATGTTTCTCAAATTTTGCGCGTATTTTTATTTATTTATTTGTTTTTTTTCGAATATTTTTAGTCCCGGAGAGAACCAATTTTGTATCGACAATATTTTCCGACTAATGACAACTTGGAGAAGATTTGGTTTGAAAAAGCAAGTGATAAAATATCTCGATAGTTTTATTTCAAGCGCATTCTTATAGTGATTTGTCTTTCTCAGGGATTTTTTATATTGTAAAACAGTTGCAAATAGTATAACAGTAATTCCTCAATGTTACGGAATACATAATGACGGTTGAAAAAATGTGCAATGTACAATTATTAGTACGTTAAAAATTGGGAGGAAATTTCATCAATTGCAGCAACAACAAAAAAGGAACAAAAGCTTCGAGTAATCTGTTCTCCAGACAATTGTCTAAAGAAAAGTTGCAATTTTGTAAAATAAAGGTATATCACCAATACATATGTCTTGACATTCTTTATACAGTTAGATTACAATGGAACTTTGGAAAAATAGTTTCTCGTTTTACTAAGATTATTGCAGTCTCACTCTGGTACCAATATACTCTCTTCAGAGCCAACGTTATGCTTTGGAGGCTGTGGGAAAATGCAAGGACACGTGACCTTGCTCATGTAGTACATCCACGACTGGTGAATGAAATATCCACTGAAGCCTTTGCGGTACCAACCACGCCAACCACTGGATACACCTGGCACTAGAAATACGTACACAATCCGTGTTAACAGTCAACACATGCAGTTGTATGATGACACGGACTATTTGCTCAGCTAAAATGCTACTCAAACCCGCTTTTCATGCAGGGAAATTATCCCCCAGACCGTATCGGGCAGAAGAAAGGTTTCTTTTATCCGTTTCTTTTAATTTTCTTCAACGCGAAAGAAACCATATATTTCGATCCGGTCCGGAGGATAATTCTCCTGACTGGAAACCAGCCGTGATTCCTCTGCCTTAATACCAGGTAATTTGACTGCTCAGAGATGCCAGTTAATGGGTGAAAACCCGAGAAGGCCGAAAACTTTATCTTTAGACGGCAAATTTGAAGGACGAGAGGAAGTCTGCAAATTGGCTTCAAAATTGAGGCCGCATAACCGCCAATTATCACTGAATAAACTAACAGTTATTTTTGACTAATTGCCAATGTATTGCTATTATTTTTTTTAGTTTCATTGTTCAGAATACCTGAAACTGGCACTAAAATAGCACCTTGATTTAACTTACCGTAGCATAGTTTTCTGGAGTGGTAGCAAAAATATGATGGTGGTTGCGAGGTGGTGAAGGATATGGGAAGGTACATTCCTCTCTTCACCATGCTTTCCCGCGTGTAGTTGGAAGATATTGCGCATGCTTGGAGCAGCAGCAACAAGACACACACGAGATGATATCTCATCTAAATAAAAAGCAAATTTTGTTATTTAAAGACCATGTGAATTGATGGGATTTTTCTACAGCAAAAATCATCACCAGACACTTGGAAAGAATTCTGTCATTTCTGTCTGACCCTTGTGAGGCGAGTATAATTTGAGAAATCATATATTCTAATTGTTGAAATGGCACATTCTGTACTAGAATTGTTTGTTTATTCCAATATTCGGTTGGTATCTACGTTTTTTTCATAACATCATGCATACCTAAAGTTTACTATTAAGTATTCATTTCAGGCAACCTAAACGATTAATGACCACTTTTCTGGTAATTTTGGATGCAACCACAAACAGCTGGACTGCAATTAAATAAAAACCGCAAATGTACTGTATTATTCATCTGTCAACGTTGTATCCAAGTCAAAATTCTCAAACATTGTAAGTATTATATAATAGACATAATTTAAATTATTTTAATTAAATGAACTTTAAAGAGCACAAATATCGCTGGGCCTGAAGTGGTCTTGCAAACAAAGAGGTATTTATTTATATGAATTGTAGTATTAATAAAATTCCTCGCATTTTGCGCTGGTTATAATAGCCATGCATCCCTGGGTTTTTAATTCAATACAAAAGAGTTCTTGTGAGTAATCTGTAATCACACATCCTAAATGTTTCTTGCATATTATACATAAGCAGAGATAAAGCAACAGTGTACTTTTAAAACGCACTCCAAGAATGGTTCATGAATGAGCTGAACACGCTGAGGTCGCCACACACCAAAATAGAATGATAAATGCTTTTAAGTTTATATTTTCTCGAATAATAAGTGCATCTGTTGAACACTGATCATTATATATGAACCACAAAATTATTTTTGCTTTAACCTGTTTGCTTTGCCTCAATACTTAGACATTCTTTCCTGGAGTACTTTACAATAACATAATCAGATCTTTCGCTTTTCTTACAAACCATCCACAAATAATTCTAGTCTTCATAAATAACACAATGAAACATGTTGGAAAACAGTGTTTATCAAAATTTGCAAAGATGCAGTAATTACATTTGAGATAAATTTTCTCTATCATTGAAGCCTTGAACGCCGCATACATATTCAAAAATAAGACCTCATAACATAAGTTCCAGAACGCAAAAGCATTAGGATAAGAACACCTTCGCAGCCTAAAGAGTCCATCCCTGTTCCCGTTACTAGAGCGTTATCCTAAGTTTGTAACGCTATAAATTGTAATTCAAAATCCATCTTGCGCATATGGTGTTAATCATCACAGCGCGCTTTTCAACATAAGTTCGCAAAGGATACTTATAAAAAAAGACAACAGAGACGCATAAACGACGCAAGGGCTCGAACAAATCTTTCGTACTTTGCTTCTACACAATGCTATATAGACGTCTCATCTGTAAGCCTATGTTGTCAGTGTTTGTTTCGAACACCGATGATAATCATGATATGCGCTCGCTATAATGGCAACATATATAATTGCTCCTAAATCGACGATTTTCGTCAGATATTCTGCGCAACGTTTAAATATTGTAAGAAGTAATTGTATACTTACTTTAGGGTTTGTATTTTGGCCAAGTAGCGAATCTCTTTGCCTGTTTTGGTTAAATACAAGAGGGAATCAAAACAATGTCTCATTGACTCAGAATGGAAACAATTTTAGGACGAGGGAAGTATCATATGACCGTAAGACGATACTTTGAAAGTAGGTTGCAAAACGGAAACTAGGGTGAAAATCCGAAAACCCTTACCAGCCGAAAACCCAGGGAATATAATGTAAACAGTAAACCTAAAAATGAGAGCATCTTAAAAGCACATGATAATTAAGATTTATAAGAGCTAATGAAGGACCTGAGATTTGAATGGTTATATTTCGATCCTGCCTCATCAAATAGATTACAGTTAATACTTAATAGACTCCTAGTGTGTAAGTAAGGAAGCATATTAAGGTGGCAAATGAGATCTTGCATTTTAAGGAAGTGAGGCTTTTCTGCTGATGTAACCTTTGATACAATGGTCGTTCAGCATGGGAACATCACCAGAGTTTTTGTGATTTGGGATTTAATTGCATGGAAACGTAAATTTTGAGGGTGTTGTGATAATGTGGCATTCATCGCACAGGAGTCTTTTCTTGAAGCCCTGTTTAAAACCCTATTGACGATACCATTTATAAATGCACTAAAAGTAATTCAAAGGTGCTTAAAGAGTCATTAGTGATAAATAACCTGAAGCATGTTTGTAAAAGGTAGTTTATTGATTGATTATTTGCTGAAAAGGGGTTCTTTATAACGTGTTTCAACAATTAACGATTTCGGAATTTAAAAAAAAAAGAAGAGATACTTGTCTGTCAACAACAATTTACTTTTAAAGCAGTTTCCGTCTGTATGCATTCTTGCAGAACGTACATGGGTAGATCCGCCATCATTTCCGCAGGAAAATGAACACTGAACATTCATCCCCAGCTAGCGAGGCTGTTTTTATTGTTCTAGAAGATAACAAGGTTTTAAATTTCTGACACCAGAGAAAGCAACTGAGAAGGAAGGAGGCGCTGTTTAGTTTCCACAATGGCTTAGTTGCCACAATAAAAAACTGGTAGCATACCACCATTTTGAATATTTGATATTCGTTTGAACGAAGCCTTAAGCCCTCAATTACAAGCAGACGAAATAAAAAACAATAAGCAAATAGCCAAAAAAATACACAAGACAGAAGACCTTTTATATTTCATAATCAAAATTACACAACACGCTTCTTTAAATATCACTGCTTCAAAGCACCGCACCATATGCAAATGACGCGTACGACACAAAGCACTTCAGTTGCTGTATTTCCTCTCACAGTAATCGCAATAGTTCAGCTGAGCTCGGCGTGGGACCAGGAGGGATTGGGACCGTGCACGGACATTGGAATCTCGACGAGAAGTAAAGCCATTTGTTGAAAGTGAGATAACTGGATTTACCGGTTTCATACCAACCAAGCCAGTCGTGTGGTACTCCAGGGACTACAGACAAAGAAGAGAAGAAAATCTTGAGATGACAACGAAAGTTTGCCATATTTTGCTGAAAAAGTGTCAATTGGGAATGATTGAAAAGGATTCAAATTTTTCTTTAATCAGTATGAAAAAATCTATGTTTAGTTATGAGAACTATAATTTTGATATAAATTTAAAATGGAAATAAAATATGTATAAAGTTGTTTTAACTAGCTGAGAAATAGATTTTTATTTGATGACTGGTTTCTTTTCTTCAGATCACAATAGTAGATGGTGCTTTGTTAAAAAGATTTGTGAAAAGTGTGCAAGCAATGTACGTATTCTGTAATGCTCACCATAAGCTTGTTTTCTGATGTGGGCACACACTGTTCTGGGTACTTTTCCACGCAGCATGACCGGTAGAAACATTGTATCGGCAACGGTAGGCGGATACCGGGGAAGTGGTGGGGCTGGGACGCCAGGCCTCCCAACACGCCCCCTTTCCCCTTGTTCGCCCTTTTCTCCAAAGTTTCCCGGTGCACCCTGAGGGCCACGCTCCCCGGGCCAACCTGGGTCACCAATTTCGCCTAAAATGGAAGCAACGCGATTTTTTTTAGCCCAAGAGCGTATACATAGCTTTACATAAGACCTTTCACGTGTCTGTTAGTTTGCTTTCCAGGAAAACAACGCACAAAAAATGTAGTTCATCCTGCCTCTTCGCTGAGACTGTTCATAGATTAGGAGTGAATTCATTCTTATGACATCATGATCAGGTTAAAACTGAGAATCCAGCAATGAACTGAATTTTTCTTATATAATGCAAACTGTCGTTCTCTGCGATGAAATTTTTTGACATTACATAGTTTTCGATCTTTGTTAAAATTGAAATATTTTCGCTGGAAAAATGAATCATACCTCTTTCACCATCCGGACCAGGTGGACAGCGACATAGTTCACCAGGAGGTGGTCTGGCGAAACTGGAGCCCGCTCTACCTTTTATGCCTTTCGCTCCGGGGCGTCCTGGTAGTCCTGAGTCCCCCTCCTCACCCACAGCACCCGGTAAGCCAGGGTTACATAATTTCCCAACGTGCCCATCTGCACCAATTACCCCAGGGGGGTTTCTCCAATTGGCTGAAACTGAACATATCCCGATGAACATCAGAAAAAGTACCTGGTAAAAAGAGAAATCTATAAGTGGAAACATTGCACTTGGCTGAAAGAAAATAAATTTCTTTGAATTCCAGGGTTGTGTACACTTATAATTTAGTAATAAAATGAAATTTGACAATGATCGCATCTTGGAAGATGGTATTTCATTTCACAAAGGTATCTTTGAATGAGGAAACAAGATCTACCTATTAAAAGCTTTTTCGCACAAAATTCTTTGTGTGAAATCTTGACCCGGCTGTTGTTTTGAGCTAGAAAAGCTTTCTGAGAAACGTGTTGAACAAGCTACTTCAGAATTTTTTTAATGCGTTAACACGTAGTTTTTATCCATGCATATATTATATATTAATCAAACATTTACAAGTTTTTGTTTGCGAAAGAGTTTCCTTCGAAAGAAGTATTCCACGCGTTTCATTCGAATTCAGTATTCCAAATATTTGTAAACTTTAATTTACCGACTCATTTCCACGCGATGACATATGAATGCCAATCTTTGGCATTTCAATCATGCAACTTTTATGTTAACTTAAATTCATCGTCTACGTAATGTTTTTGCCTACTGGTCAAGAATAGCACGAGTATATGTATGGACTGAAGGTTCATAAGACCATGCAGTCAAAAAATATCATACCGGCGACCGACGATCAGAGCCTACCATAAGGAAAACACTTGGATATTGTCTAGATTTACCATAAGTGGCATTTGTTCCCAACGAATGCATGGAATCATATGAAATTAATAAACTGAATTTGGAAATTATAATATTGGAACAGCGCGCTGGGCTTTTATCAACACGATCCCGCCCAAACGCGTCAACAAAACCGCACAATTTGCGCAAATAAATTCGATTAAGAAATAAGCGCGTTTTTTATGTATAGCGCACCTTACAAATATTCACATGAATTAACTACAAGTTAAATGACACAAACTGGATGAATTCGTCGTTGAAATTAGGCGAAGAACACAAGGCAAGCATGCTGACTACGTAATAAAAACGACTTTTAACGCCCAGCAGAGAGAATAGTTTTAGCGTAATATAAAACCCAGAACAAGCCGAAGTTATATGTGGGATTAATATTGCATTTTGCGTAGGCCTGAATATATTATTTGCATATATATAGGATGTATATTTAGATGCGTCTTCATACTTTGAAAATGCTGAAAGTTTGTCATATTGATTCACACAAGCAATACAATTGTATTCTATATAATATATATTACTTTGACTGGTCTTGGTGTTTTTAAAAGCAGGGTAGATCGTATAGCGGTTATCTTATAGCTAGATAAGGTAAATCTTATAGCTAGTTAACTCTATAATGGCGCATTGAATGACTAAAATCAGTACAGAAAACATAAATATACCTTAAACATCTTCAAAGGATCGGCTGTGCCCAGAGCGTTTAGTGTCTTAAACGACTGTGTTTAACCAACAGAAACGTGACCTTTCAGCGTTGAAGAATCAAATTATGGAAGCCAGCAACGTGCGAAAAATGCTAGTGAACAGTGGTGTAGTGTTTGGGTGCTGTAGTCCGCGGTGAGGTTTTAAGAGCGACGATGGATCTTTATTATAAAGGCGACTTTATCAGTGTCCGATTTCACTTCCTAATTAATGATGAATCTTTGGGATTCCCATTGCTAAGTACTATAACTGATGGTTTTGAGGGGTCTTGATAGTCTGTTAACGGGATAAAATGTTTCCTACGCGAATATTTTGTAGCGTCTTTTCCAATAGGTTTAATTGTAAAAGGAGTTCTAGAATAGCTGAACGAAAATTAATATAGAATTTACAGATCCAACTAAGACGCATTTGAAAAAATACATATCCAACTAAGACGCAATTGAAAAACTGCAGGTCCAACTAAGACGCATTTAAAAAACGTAGTTATAATATATCTAATGTTTGAATTTGATGCTTAATTTCACTGACTTTTAAAACCTACCATCTGTTTTGAAGTTGATTTTAAGTTGTTGAAATTGAAGAATATGACAAACGCAAGACTAAAAGATAGCGCCGCTTTTCACAGAAAGCGTAACCATCACGGGATGAATAATGTTTGCAAAATATTTCCCAATTTCATCTCTTTTCTTTAGGTATTTCACGCTAATCAAAAGAACGAAAACGTTTGCCACCAAGATCTCCCCCATGGAGAGCCCAAATAATTAAGTTAAATTGAGCTTGCATTTCTCCTGAACTTTATTGCCTTTAGGGGTTTTTCGTATTGAGCTAAAGGTCGATAATGGGTGTATAAGTACTGGTTATTCAGTTCACTCATTTGAACTGCGGTCACATTGATTCAAGCAAGCTCTATGTTGATCAGTGTTGGACTGTGTTTGACAGTGCTGTGTGGTACCCATGCAGTGAACTATGTGGACGCTGTTCTCATTAATCAAGTGGGAACAATTCGCATCAGCCCACATCACATCTTATGCAGGGTTTTTTCAGCTATCTGCATATACCTGCCTCTTGGGGGGAGTGTATGATTGGCTATAGGAAGTAACAAGGAAGTTTCGAAAATAATTAGCATATTAATGTTAATAACAAACTTCTCACGGGTAGAAATTGGCCGACCTTTTAGTGCTTTTAGCAAAATATGCCAGAATTTTGGCAGAATTTGATGAAAATTTGCAAAACATTTCTAGATTCAAATGTTCCTTGGAGCAGCTTCTACTTCCCAGACCCCTGCCGTCCCGTGCGCTTAGTGATTGGCCCAATAGAACCATATACGGGAAAACAAACTCCCAAATCCAAATCCACCACCAACACTTTCGTTCCTATATCTCCAAATTAACCAATTCTAATTACGCAACATCCACTTTGAACATCGCCTTCAAATTACAGTTTATAGTTTAATATCAAATCCTTTTCTATTTTTGCTCTATTTGAAGTCACTACCTCTTCATCTTTATCGATAAGAAATAAATTTCGTACTCTAAACTGCTGCAGTCTTAAGAATAATATACTATGCAAAGTCGTTCATTTTTCCATGCCACGCAACAATTCCTCGGGACTTGGCGTCGGGCCAGGAGGGAGTTTAACGCTGCATGGACACATAAAACGCGATGAATAATACAACCACTTGTTGTAGGTGAGGTAACCTGATTTCCCTGGTTCATACCAACCCACAAACTTGTTTGGAACAACTGGAACTGCAAGAAACAAAATATTTATGCAGTTCCCGACTGTAAATGTTTGTGACATGCCCCCGGATCATTCTAAGAAGAAATTAGATTCGTACATTTTTGCTGTTACAATATTTGATATGAGCTGGAGGCAGCAACCCTTAGGGGAGGGGGTGGGGAATCAGGGCCAGGGGCATGCGCGCAGTGGGAGAATGTGTGAGTGCGCATCTAAAATGGACAATTACTGCTCATATCGACGGGCAGAGATTACTGTTTAGGCGCCAATCAAACATGGCATTTTCTAATTATTAACCACTGGGGAATTTACCCCAGCAGCAAAAATTAATGTTTTCTCGAACATGTTTCTCCAACCGTTAAAAAAAAAGTTAACAACGTTTAGCACCTCTGGTGCGGCTATCCTGCAATTCTCATGAATGATCAGGCAAGGAATCGTGTTGATTGAAATCAAAGTTTGAAACATTTTGAAGCTGATGCGAGTTTATGATGTTTCGCGATCAAACCCCGTTGCGACCTGCATCCACGTAAATCAATTTTCATCAACTTGCGTGAACTCGCATCCTCATTTCACCATGCAGTAGGTAAAGACAAGAGAGTTACCATAAGCATGTCTTCTCAAATGATGGCATATCACTCTTGGCATCTTTCCCGTGATGGTGATAGGAACATACATGGTATCTGGGGTTTCTGGGGGCTGTTTAGATACACGCGATGCTGGTGCGCCTGGTGGACCTGGAAGACCCTGTGGCCCATTATCCCCTTTCTCTCCTGGTGGTCCATAGTATCCTGCGATACCCATTTTACCTAAAATCATATATTGAAATGCAGTTGAGACAGAGTTTCTGTTTTACTCCCCAGAAGGACCTCCTCTTGATAAGACAGGATATGACAAACCTTTTAAACCAGGAACCCCTTCAATACCCTTTTCTCCTTTGCGACCTGGAGGACAATTGCAAGGTGTACCAATAGGGGGCCTGAAGTTTGAAAATCCAGGCTCCCCTCGATCACCTTTCGCACCCTTGCGTCCGAGTAAGCCCACTTCTCCCGGCCATCCTTGTGGCCCAGTTTCACCCTGGGGGCAGATTTGCTCTTGCGGTGGACTGGTAATGGCTGTAGCATTTATGTCTGCAATCACATGATGTACTGCAATGAAACAGCTCAATGCCAGGACACTGACAATCTGTTGGAAAAATAGAAACGGAGTAAATTCAAACTGTATCCAGTGAAGATTATGGCAAAGATTGATACGTTTTTAGGCAACTGGTCCCTGGGTCATTTGGTGACGGGAACAACAACACACCACTGACCACACTAAAGTAACACATGAGTTGATTAGTGTATCAAAAATACATTTTAGTTTCCAGTCTAAAGATCAGGGGCCGGTTGTTCGAAAGGCGTTTAGCTTAAACGGTGGATACGCCAAATTTTGAAAATACTCTCATAGATCTTGTGAATGACTTAACCTGCATCTTATGCATTTAATATGTACTTCCATTGACAATTAAACTATTTACATCGAAATATTTCAGCTCAGTTGTTCAATAAATAGATAATTTTGTTTTCCATTTTGAACTTATCCACCGTTTAAGCTAAACGCCTTTCGAACAACCGGCCCCAGGAAGCTAATAATTCTAAACAGAAGTTAGTAATAAAATATCGATTTGCGAGATTATTTATACCAGCCAGCATAGTCTGTTCACACCGAAATATATCAATACTGAGTTCATGGTGTATCGAGTTATAAGTTTAGGTCAAATTACAAGGCCGCTATAAACTTGAACTTTGCGTATTGAATCCAGTTTAAGCATACATTCAAATGTGAATTTACAACATTTAGAGATTATCAATTTTTGCGCAGACCACTTAGGCAAAGCGCTTACGTTCGCTAAACTTAATACGCCGCAATTTATGATAAAGATCAAAATATTCGTTCGCAAATCGCGCTAAAAAATACAGCAAGCGTAGCTGCTTGTCACCAGCGAATTCCTTTAAGAATATCGCGTTTTAAAAAGGGATATTACCATGAGTAACCTACCTCGCATTTTCCCATCATATTTTGGAGCGTTCACGCAGTTCGATGTTCAACGTCAGTAGAATATTTACAAAGTTAGCCAAGGTTTTTTTCACGCGTCTACGTAACGCGCAGACAAACAGTGGCTGTCTGTTGCAGTGTTGGGAAATTTGATTGCTATTTGATATCATCAAATGACGCATTCTAGACTTGGAGATGGTATATAAGGGCCTTTCCGGAAGGTTCACGATTATGTAAATAATTAAATCAATAGAATGTTTCCTTATCTTTTTATGTAAGTAGGTTTCCTCTATTTGTTTCAAAACCAATATAACAACAGTAAGACCTGATCTCCCGATTTACATTAGTTGGTTGCACGCGCGAATTTATGTAATAAAATCATGTGTACAGTATCTGATGCAGGCATGATTCATGAAGGCCTTTTCCATGTCTATATTAGTAGGGTATCTCGTGCTCGAAAAAAACACGCTAATTCCGGGCAAAACAAGATCTGGTTCTTACATTAAAAACTGGTAATAGGTTATGCTGTTATGCAATTTGAGTCTAGATTATTTACAATTGATTTGAAGAAACCGCGAAAACTGACAGCTGTGCCTGTGAAATGGCCATTTCGAGGCTTGAAGCATATAGAAGTTTATTAATTTAGACGATTTGGTTTTACCGAGTACAAGCTTAAAATCTTTTTTACAAGTTATATTTTGTTGAGTATTTAAAAATCTTTTTGCTCACCGAATTTGAAGTCCAAATATTAAGAATTACAGCTTGTCAATTGCTGCGGATTTGATTTGAAGAATTTTTCCACACAGTGGCAGTGCTTTTGTCAACCAGTCAACTAATTAGCAAAACAGCCTGGGGAGGGATGGCAAAACTGAATCGTTTTGCTTCACATTTGTATTTATATTGGTGACGGTCTAAAGTTTGCTTATATTATTGTATACTGAATTATGCCATGTAAATCCTGTCAGCGCAGAAGAACTTTATCGCATCAGACTGATTAGGTTTGATGCCGCACAAAGCCACAAACTTGAGGAAGGTGATATTCACCACAAAGTCCTTCTAGTTTGTCGACTTGTGAACATTTCCAGTGTTTATTTCAGGAACTGCAATGTTTTATAGTGTAGGAAATGTTTATCGGTATGCATCAATTTACGAACAAGGCTCTATCTCGGAACGAAAGACGTTTTATAGCGTTTTTTAAAGCTAGAATTCGATTGAACCATTGGCTTTTGTTTATTTGAAATCCGCTGGGGAAGGTGAAAGTCCCTATTATTTCCAGTATATTCTACAATTAAAAACCCCATCATGCACAGACGAAATTAAAACTGTCTGTCTTATTCATCATCGTCATGATTTCAGCGAGTTTTATAAGTTTTAATCCACGATTTTCTTCCTAAAAACTTTGATCCTTCCGAACAATGGAAAGAAAATTTCATTTCCTAAACAACCTGTTAAGTTACAGGTCAACTTGTGAGAAACTCATTGTTCAGTTTATTGCAATTCTTACTTGTACTGCCTGTAAACATTATACGCGATATTATATAGTAGCGGCGATCGAAAGCCGTAAAAAATTACATCGGTTCTTTAAAATACTGCAGCAGTTACGAAAGAACACATTAAAATGGTTTTGTGATTCGTTTGATGTGGGTTTTTTTTACTGGAGCATGCGATGAGCGATGTGGAATAAATCTGTCCTGAGTGAATTTATACGAGTTCTTGCTGGTCCCTGGTTTGACAATTGTAAGTGTTGTGCCTGTACGTTAAATTAATATTAGACACGGATCACACGATGCGGGAAGAGTTGATATTTATACGGTTTGGGGACTTCGAACACACGATGCTGCTGATGAATGTTAAAATGTGGCTGACTGTCAGAGTTGAAAGAGAAGTAAGATTTTGAAACCGTGACGCAATATCCAATCTCTCCCGGCCGACTGTGGGAACAGGCATATCAGCCGTAAAGGCCGATATGCAATCCGAAGGGCGATATTTTCCGCGATTTTATGAGCGACTTTCTTCATTCGATGGATGTGATCCAGCGGATAAGTTACGGATATTCAAATATAGACACTTATACAAAGAGAAATCATATTACGAAGAGAAACTATTCGCTCGTTTGCATCTGCCATTATCAAAATTAACCAGACGAAAATCGCACTGAAAATCATTGAAACCCATAACAATCTGTTCAACTTGATAACAACCAAGTTCATTAGGTGCATGCACAGCAAACATTGTTCAGTCCTGTTTTCATCAAACGTATGAAACTTGAGCATTTTTAACTGGGTCTCTGGGCGTTTAATCAAGGGGAATTACACTAGTGTGCATATTCATCGATTTGTCGTATGCTCGTATTTCTTTTGAAAGCGATTGTTTTTACAACAGTGAATAGATTTATTTACGATGGTATACAGTCGTTGTTTCATTGTTTTCGTCAGGTCATTATATTCACAACTTTGCCGTATACTGTTCAAGGTTGGTAGATTAGCAGAATAATTGTACGTCAAGTTCTCACTGGAAAACAAAAGGAAACAAAAAGCCAAGAAAACAAAAGCAGTTTGACCTAATTATTCAGTAAATCAACCAACCCTGACATGGCTGACAACGAAGACCGGTGTTTGCACGAGCCATTTACGCAGTTTGGTCGCCTTGCCTTTAAGCTTCAATTTCTGGCGAACTGTGTAGTTATTTAGTCGTATTTAACTCGTAAACATAACAGCGACACAGACGATAGCGATCTAGAGATCTTCATTGCTCGACATGTATATTTTTTATACACAGAATGATTCAAAATGGCCGAACGCGTTGAGGTTTCTTGTTAGTCTGTTGTATCAATGCAGAGCTGTTGTGTGGCATTTCCTCTACTATTACTAGTGGCTACAACGTGGGCAGGAGGTAAGCACTTGTCATTTTACTATTGTGCAGAACTTGTTAGATTTTAGCTTAGTTGCCTCTCGAGGCGAATTCCTCACGAAAACTATCCGCACACGAGAGAGACTTACTGAGCTGACAGCCTTGCGAGGTCTTTAGCTCAGCCAATAGCCCTCGTGGCCGTTAACTACCTCGGTCATGATGAGATTATAAAGTGCTTAATTAATAGACCCTTTCGATAATTACGTCACAACATTATCGTTATAAATTTCGAACCACCTTAAAATGAGATGGATTTCAAGTTTTACTCTCACAAGCTATGTTGAAAGATGCAAAGCATCCTTCTTCAACACATGCATGAAAAAATTTTTTAAATTTGACCAATAAATGTGGAAATAAGTCGTAACACTAAAACGAGAAAGAAGGATGTTTTGCATTTTTCCAAATAGCTTGTGAGAGCAAAACTTGAGATCCCTCTCAGTTGGTTCAAGGAAGGTGGTTCTAAATTAAAAACGATAATGTTGTGATGTAATTTTAGAAAGGGTCTATTGACCAGATTGTAAAAAACTTGGTATGTCACATGGTTACTTTGGATGACTGGCCTGCGTTAAAATGAAATAAGCTGACTAAACTACACTGAACTGAACTGAATTGAGATTAATGGAGCTGATATGAACTGCGCTGAGTTGAGTTGAGTTGAGTTGTGTTGAGTTGAGTTGAATTGAACTGAACTGAACTGAACTGAACCGAACCGAACCGAACCGAACCGAACCGAACCGAACCAAACCAAACCAAACGAACCGAAGCGAACTGAACTCAAACTGAACTGAAAACTGAGCTGGATAGGACAGTGCTAGGCGTGGTTCTATAGACGTTCACTCAGGTTCTGTGTTTAACTCAAGCCGAACCTATAATTTAAACCTCTAGAACTACGATGTCTACGACCTGGAGCTCCAGTGATAAGTTTATACAAAGACGGTCGTTATTTTCCTGGTAATTTGGATGGCCTCGGGGAGAGTATCGACGTCACTTTTCAAAATGGCCAACAGCAATCGTACAGTTCCTTTACGAATGATGTCATCGTTGACGATGTGCCGGATCCCAAGGAACTTGAAGGCGGATCGCGCGTTTTAGCAAGACGGCCGAGTTCGATCTCGTTTGAACCAGGTTTTGTCAACGGCAGTATTAAAGGGTTGCCGCTTAATGATACGTATCTGGTTAATTTTGATAATGGCGACAGTATCGCAAGGAATATACAAGATATAAGACTCGCTGTGAAACCACGATCGTGCAGTAAGTGAAATATATACAGCAATTAACTATTTGACCATATGATTTGACCATAGTCGAGTATATCAGCCATGGTTGGAATATGGTATACTCGTCCGTGGTGGAATATATCGAAATATGGTAAACTCGACCATGGTCGAATATACCGGAATATATTAGACTCGACCATGGTCGAGTATACCAAAATATGGTAAACTCAACCATGGTCGAATAGACCGGAATATGGTAAACTCGAGCAGTGAATCTTAGAAATAAAAATGATATTGAAAATCGAGTGTGCCGATTGTATATGGTATACTCGACCTTGGTAATAAGAATTAGTGATGGTGGAATTTACCGGAATATTGTATACTCGACCTTGGTAACACCTATCTTTGTTTTCTTTTGGCATAGTTGTTTTAACCGGCATTAATTCTGTAATTTGTTATCATCTAGTGAACGAAAAAGGCATTTACATCGGTTGCTTTGAAAACGTTGTCAATAATTTTTTGACTAACTACTACCCAGTGAATCCTACGGACGTTGCCACGTGCAACTGGGCATGCTTTACGCGTGGTTTTCGCTTTGCCGGATTACAAAATGGCACGTGGTGCTTTTGTGGCAACCACGTGAACGATACATTGAAGGTCGACGATAACGAGTGCAATATTGCTTGCCGGGATAGTCGCGAAGATGTCTGTGGTGGATACCATAGGATGACTGTGTATTGGACAGGTTGGAAGTGCATCCCTTTTAAGGCGGTTTTCTTCTTTTGGTAGATGTGAACGAGGAGTTAATTACGAATGTTCTGATGTGTGTGTGTGTCAGTGTGTGCTCCTATTTGAACATCCGTAACTAATTCACTAGTTCTTATCTATCAAAAGCAAAGATTGATCGAAGCAAAGATTGCAAGTGTAAACGGGCCTAGTTCATGCGTAGCATTTTGGTCGAGTCGAATGCAATTGAAACAAAGGATAATGAGATGATAATGAGACGATAATGAGATGATAATGAGATGATGATGAGATGATGATGAGATGATGATGAGATGATGAGATGATAATGAGATGATAATGTGACGTAAAAACCCAAAATGCGACGTATGAACTGTGCTGTCTAGGCCTTATAAAGTCAATTGTTCTATCATTCTTTTTTCATGATTTTAGGTGCGGAATATGAAAACAACACAGATGATTTTGGTGATTTTCCAGGTGACAAACTCTCAATAACTAAAAACTGTTAGTTCAACTTTCAGTTTTTACATCTGACTAAATTATAATCAATATCTCCACGATACTCGGTTCTGCAGATAGTAAAAGCCCTCTGACTTCTGAAGATGATCTGTTGAAGGCGGAATCCCCCACTGAGAGCGCATGTGCAGATCTTTACGACAGCACGCAATGCAATACTTGGGCTGTTCAATCAAGATGCATCGAGAATCCTGATTGGATGATTGCAAACTGCAAGAAGAGTTGTTATGCCTGCGGATACAATGATCACAGAGAAGGTACACCACTAAATATTCTTACGAAATTTAAAACTTTGAAGTTATAGAGTTGATTTCCTAAAAACGGGTACGTTTTTAAACCCTAGTATGAACACTCATAATTCTCATTTCATAGAAAAAGCCCCTTGAAGTAGAAACAAAAAACCAAGGAAGAAGTCTACGAAAACTTATATGAACTATTCTAAAATAGGACCGTTACTCATCAATCACACACCAGGGATAAGCCGCGTTTTCATAGCGCTGACATACATTAAACCTTGTTACCTTTTAGATAAATCTGATTCTGCTCCTCCGACATACACTTCAGACGCATCCAGTCATACTCCGACTCAAGACAACGCGTATCAATCCTCGGCACCAAGCAGTTCGGCGAAAGATTCCGATCATCCAGTATTGGACAGTAAGTTGTCCGGCCTGTTTCACTACCTATCAAACATTCCCAACTGTATTGTGACCTGCAAGCTTTTCAAGTAATGAAACAGGAATTCCTCAATTGTTGATAACACCATAACAAAGCTCATTTTCACTCACAAGTATCCATTTCTTGCAAGCATCTTGCTTAAAGATAGAAGGGCTTACGATTGTAGTGCATTTAAGCAACACGAAAGGCATAGGAGAGAAATAGAAAGTATCAGAAAATAGTGCAAACAATACTGTAGAGGCACCAAAGTATGTCGGGGAAATAGTGTAGTCAGTAGTTATTTACTGAATAAGCATCATAATTTCTTTCCAGATAAGAGTAATACACCTGGCTATCTCGGCTGTTTTCGGGACTCTGCAAGTTCTCACGATCTCGAGTACTTGGCCGACATCAGACCACTGTCGATTCGCGCATGCGTGACTAAATGTAAATCGCTGAGATTCCCCTACGCTGGTGCCCAGTCTTCTTCGTCTTGTTACTGTGGCCTGCACTACGGTAAATATGGTCAGTTGGAACACGAGGACTGTAATACGCCATGTGAAGGTGATTCATCAGAGATGTGTGGTGGTATTTATAAGAATTCCTTGTATAACACAGGTAAAACTCTATAGGTAACCTACAGTGAAGAGTCTGCAGACTGATTTTAGTTAATCTAGGGAAAAAATGCAATTAAACCTGCTACAATAGCTAGTATACTAAAGTTGAAAAACTTTCTTTCTTTACCAGGTTTTCCAACGAAATTTAAATTAGAAAAAGATGCCGCAAGTAATCTACCAAGTAAGTTGTTAAAAGTTTGCATCTTATCTACAATATTTCGAAGCGGATCCATCTCACCACTAATGAAAAAAATCTAAACGTTTCATAGCAAAGAATCCCCCTACGTCACCATATTCTGGAAGCAATACGGCCAACACCAGACCTTACCAGGCCAATCCTTCCTCGTACTACGCCCCTCAATACCAGCAACCCGCATACCCGCAACAAAGAGCCGCTTATACGCCACCCGTTTACCGTCCGCCTGCATCGCCTTACACTCAGGCAACAATGCCCGGGCAACCAGGATACCCGCAAACCTCAAACACCCCATCAAACGTTAACGGGTACCAGCCTGCGTACGCTTACAATACTCAGGCAAGCACGGGGTACAGTAATCAGGCGAGTAACTCGGGTTTGCCTGGAGCTACAAATGCCTATACCAGGGATTATTCCCCGGCTGACTCAAGTTCATATAGGTGGAGAGAGACCTATGTCAAACTTCGACAGCAGGAACAAGCTCGCTATTCTAAACCAAATTTAAAAAATCTCAGAAGGCTTCAGAAATCGGAAAACAGTCAGCGAAAAAATCACGGAATTTCTGATCACGAAAAACACAAAAAAGGTTCATCAAATTTTAAAGCTTTCGAGAATAACGAAAGGGCCAGCAGTGTATCTCAAGCACTATACGTACAACTGATGTCCCAAATGAAGAAGAAGTCTCACGGGAGAAACTCTGGTGGAAATTCAAATATTCTTGGAAAGGGTGCTAAACCACAGCACCATAAATTTGAAAAACCAGGTGTTTTCCTGAGAAAGAAGGCTTCCAAGAAGAACAGTTTTCTGGCGTTTCTGCCTCACGAAGTCACCGAAAACGAATCGCTTTTGCAGAATGTTTATAACATGCTTTCGGTGATGCTGAAGAATCTCAGAAAACACAAAAAAAGTTCCTTGAAGAATCTTAAGAAGTACTTGAATTTCTCGAAGAGCAACGCGCAAAATTCCGAATTTTCCAAAAAAGTATCGTTACACACTGGGGAACATAAGAAATCGTTGGATCGTGCAAAAAATCCAGCCGCTGAACAGAAAGTTGAGGACTCGACCCAATCGCAAACATCGAAGACTCGTGAACTGAGTATGCGCGGCAAGGCACAGGAGACTATTTCGTCACATATCAAGAACATGGCAAAAAACAATCCTTTAAAAGGACAAAAGCAACTAAGCAAACTAGAGAAGGGCATTCCGAATTCGGGTGGGCAGATGCCGACCGGTCAAACGATGAGGTCTAGATCACGTGACCCCCAGGTGAAGACGTACGCATCACGTGTTAATACTAGCCAATCAATGAGACCCAGTAAGAATTATGCATCGATCGTAAACACGGCTCAGCCACATCGTAAAGATGGTAACAAATTGAATCAACCGAGCGAGAACGTATCGAGAACACCATCTCAAGTGGAGAGCAAACCGCCGCCGTCGTCATGGCAAACCCAGAATCACGCCATGCCATCGGGTGTCAATCGTAATGTGTCGGAGGTGATTTCAAGAAATGAGAGCCAAGCAAAGTCAGGGGTAAGTAATAGAAAACTAAAAACTGCTGGTGTACAAACCATCTTTCATCACCTCATGCAAAAATGTTGAACTGATTGGTTGATTTCAGGTCGGTGCTGAAGGTAAATTGGAAGATCAAAAAGTGTCAAAGCATGTTTCGGGAGTTCAAGAAATTACAAACTCGTACAACTTTCCGAAAGTTGGAAGTAATTTCCAACATGTTTCTAAACAAGGTGGCAGCTTCGAGAAGGATTCGTCAACGGAGAATGCTGGCCAGGAAAAAAAGTTGGTGAAAGATGTTTCACCGAAATATACAAAAAATGTGAAAGAAACTTCGAAGAAAGAAAAATCAAAGACCTCTAAGGTAGGATTAGGAAATTTAGTTTTGTTGCGCAGTGAAGTTTGCGAACGCGCTGTGAATCCATGCAACTCTCGCCCGGAGAACTTCGAACAGCTGGAGTAACTTTCTCCAAAAAACCTACTCCTTGTAGGTTTTGCACTCCGTGTCCTAAGAGCAACTTGTTCGCGGTTATAGAGCAATGATTCCTGGCTGAAGACAGTTACTTCATATTTGGAAAAATATATGTTTTAGGAAACTTTCCTTCGTGAAACCATGATATCCGCCTCGAATAGAATGAGTATAGAAAAATATGGTAGTTTTTGTAATCTTTCCTTTCTTTGCAGACGAAAAGCAAAACAAAACTTAAAGCGAACTCGACCATAACAAGCAGTCACACGGCTAACGACACCATGGAAGGGAAAAGTGACGAATTTATAATTTCAACAATTGTTAATATGATTGAAAAGGAAAAGGCAGCGAGAAATCACTCCAGTGAAAGAGAGAAGAACGATGGTAAAACAGGACATGGAAACACGGGCGGGAAACGAAAGCACAAAAGGCAGAGCAAGTCGATAAAACATGAGAAGGTCAAGAAGAAAAAGCGTAATAAATTGAAGCATTCCAAGCACAAAAATGTAAGTGACACGAAACGAATTTATAAAAAAGACCATGTAGAACGAGCTATGGATGAACAAAAAGAAAATGATGATGATGATAATTTAATGGTGGAAGATGAAGATTTTCATAAGGAAAATAAAATAGATGAGTAAGTTGAACAAATGAATATACAAGTGAATAAATGAACGCGAACAGACGCAAGGATTTGAAGTCGTATGTTCTTGAATGTTAGCTCTAACGAGATGATCAACGATTGTTGTATCATGGTAAAAGATTTTATAACATAGCGCCTGGTTTGTTGCTTTTAATCTAATGTATTTATATCTGAGAATATATTTATTATAAAGTTTATTATACAAGCGTTTAACTAACAAAGTATGATGAAAATAAAGCAGGAACATCGCTCGGTTCTGAAAGGATGTTTTAAATGTGGGAATCTCATATGAACAATAGTGATTCTAGTTTAATCAAATACATCAGGGTATAACTACCTCTGAGAAAAATAACAACGAAATTGGCATGGAAATGACTTAGTTTCATGGTTGGTTTTATTTCTTCGGGAGAGAACGAGCATGATTCTTTCAGTCTGTCCATATTAACGAAGATAGTTATTGTTCCAAGAAGGGTGAGAAAAGGAAGAAGAATGAGATAATAATGATGGATATTTCATAGTGATTTATTTACAATAGCTTTTTTTCTAGAATTTGAGTCTAGGAGTATAATGGTCGAGTACGCAAATATACGCGCCTCGAAAAATAAACTTATTCCACTCTTTAATAATAGTAACGAGAGGTTATTATGTACGAGCTTCTAAGTCATTTACGCCGGAGCACCGCTGGACTCCGAATCGAAGTCCTCTTCCCAGAATTCTTTGTAACGCTTCGAGTAAGCATTTTTGAAGTTTTGGTCAAACATGTCCAGATCTTGGCTGTCACGTAGCACACCCTAAACACGACAAAAGTTAGCTTAGTTGATGATTTGACGAGGTTCCACTGTTCCAGATACATTCACTAAATACGCTAAGGCTGTTCCTCAACTAGCCCTTTATTAAGGGATTCACTAAATACGCTACGGCTGTTCCTCAACTAGCCGTTTATTAAGAGTGAATGCAGCTAGTTTAAAATTTCTACCAACCTTAGGCAAATACCCAAGCAGCTTTGTGGCATGCTCTTGCAAAAGACGCTGTCTTTCCTCCTCAATAATTTGCCTGCGATATTCTTGCATTCTCTCCTCTTCTCGGCGAGCCTCGAGTTCAGCTTCCTAAACGACAAGATTGATGAGAATGACATTATCTCCTGGTCTTCCAAAACAGATTCTGAAATATTAGTTAGGTTTCTTTGCGATATTCTTACTCTTTCAAGTCGAAACTGTTCCCTCCTTTCTTCGATCAATTTCTCGACCGCTCTCTTGTGCTCAAGTTGACGCATGCGTCGTTTCTGGGCGTTCATCTGTTCTATGCGATCATCTTCAGCAAACTTGGCAAGCATCTAAAAAGAAAAAAAGGAGGTGTTCAGGTTTTGTGATGACTGCTTGAAGAGTGCATTGATTTCCCATGAATGAAACAAACCTGTCGTCTAAATTCTTCCTCTTCTTCGAGCTCAGCTTGTCGTTTGAGTTCTTTATAATGGAGCTGTTGACGTCGCGTCTCTTGTAGATCAACACGTTGACGTATCTTGTTCTCAATGTCCGCCTGCAGAAATAAAAAATAGCAATGTTGCGGAACCATTGTTAAAAGCAGTGATTGTAGGGTGCTGTACAGCAGTCTGGTAAACTTTGCACAAACACGATATTATTTGGAGATCCAATGTTGGAAATATAATAAACCGACCTTTTCTCTCTGTCTGGCTTTCTCTTCCTGTTCTTCCATATGCAACTCGACTCGTATCCTGGTAAGAAATATCAATGTGGTCAGAAGCGATAAAACTGATGGGAGACATTGTGATGAGTGTTTAGTCACCTTTCCATTTCTTCCCTTTCTGCTTTTTCTGAGGCGATCTTTTCTGCCAACTACAAAACAAGAAGATAAGAAGATCACTCTCAGAAACGTAGGGGCAACACAGCACCATTCATAGTTATCATTTACATCAAACGTGCTTTGTTGCATTACAACAACGAGGGCCGCAGAGTTACCATCACCACCACATTCAAGCGTATCCCATGATAACCACCAGGCACCATCATTACCACTAAATAACCATACTTACCCTTTCCTGTACTTTAGTCATGGCTTCCTCGGCTTGCTTTCTCTTTTCCATTCTCTCCTCTTCTCTGTTCTGTTGTTCTTTGGCAAACTCCAAGATTCGCCTATTCTCTTCTTCCATCAATTCCTGTTCATGCCTTTTCCACTAAACAAGTCAAACATTAGTTTCTCGTAAATGTATGCATTAGAGTTTAGAGGTTACCATTTAAAAAAGGTTGTGACACGTTAACCTTATCAATTTTTAACAGAAGTATTCGTTTCTTTCTCAGGCTACAAAAGTCACAGATAGAATCACTAAACTATTTTGAAAATGTTTTTCCTTGGGCCGTTTGAACAGTCGAGCGTAAAGCGTTTTTGCAAAGCACATGAAGACGACCGACGCCCTTGTGAAGATTTATTGTTCAGTTTTCTCATGCAATCAACAGATCAGTGGCACAATTTGATGAAAGACCGTTAAAGCCTGGGGCGACAAGTTTTGGCGGGAAAATTTTGTCAACGGTCGGCACGAAGAGCAAAGAAAGTTTGAATGTTTTATTTGCTTTGAATGGCAAATTTGGAGCTCGAAATTGCACTCCATGTCAAAAAACAAAACAAAAATAGTCGACTGTTGATACGAAACACAGTTCTTGTAGTTGAAACTCCGCATTAACGCAATATTTGACGATTTTAAAGCAGATAAAGGTAAGGAATTGTAATACAACACCTGGTCCTGGATTTTTATGGATTTTACGCTATTATGTATTTAAATTTTGACACTGTGCGTTTTATATGTCGCTTTAACTTGCAAAAATAAAAATTTTGAGGCAAATATCTCCACAGTTCTCTCCAATATGATTCTCTCGGTTCTTGGGTCCCAAATTTGAACAAATCTAAATTGCTAAATTGCAACAAATTCGGTAGTTCTAATTCAATGTCTTTTAATAGTTAGTTACAAATATAAATTATATACCAGAATTTTTTTGGCATATAGAGATTTGACAGACAAATTTTGTGGCGAACATTAATTTGTTTAAAATTTAACAAAAATAATTGGCAAAATTGAATGAACAATGGTCTTACTTCTTCCCTCTTTTTCTTGAACTCTGTAATGTATCTCTGTGTGGCTTGTTGTTTTTGAAACTTTCTCTCAAGCTCTCTGGTTTAAAATAATTAAAAACATAGAAAGTGATGGCCAATCAGCAATAGGGCATTGGGAGGCCATAGAAAGAAAAAAATTCACCAAAGAACAAATACTTCTTCAATGATTATATAGCTCACCTTTGATCTTCCTCGTAAATTTTTCTAACAATTTCATCAATCATCAATTTTTCTTTCAAAAATTCCTCATATGCCTCTTGTTTCTGTTTTTCTTGTTCCAGAAGTTGTTTCTCAAGCTGCTCTTGATGACGGACACTTTCGTCGTATCTCTTCTGCTCCTTTGCAGTCTCTGCTTGCAACGCTCTCTGGTGCTGTTCTCTCATCGTCTTTGCAATGTCTGCTTCACGGTTCTGTGAAAATAAAACAGACATACAATTATGCAATTAAACAAGTGTCGGAATATGAATTTACTTTCAATGCAAAACAGAAGTTATAATTTTTATAATTTCATTCTCACTGACCTGCTCATCAATTTCCAAGACTCGCTTCTCAGCCAGTTGTGCCGCCCTTTCCCGGTTCATGTAGCCAGCTTTCAATTTTGCCTCCAACTCCCGAAGTTCTACACTGTTTCCCATAACAAAAGGAAATAGTTGCAATAATGAATGCAATAATATCAGTCCAAATTTTCATAAGAGAATATTCCCAAAGAAAAATCTATTCTGGTATACAGCTTTGGTACCAACACTGTAATAATAGCCACTGTCAACATATATAATCACCTATTTTCTCTAATCTGTTGTCGAAATTTTTCATCTCTTATCTTTTCCATCTTCATTCTTTGTAATTCCTAAAAGATTTTTACAGAATTTTGTGAACAGGCTGCTTTTAAGCTAAAGGTACAGAGAAAATGAAAAAAGCAAATTGGCTAACTGACCTTGGCAAGTCTCTCTTCTTGTTCAAGTTGCTGTTCTTTCAACAACCTAGCTTCATTTTCCTATATGTTGCATTTGAAAGAGTGGTTCAGAGGTAGAGTAATGGAAACGTTTTTACAAACTAATTATAATGTAGAAAATTGAGAAAGACAAAACCATCTTTTATTTCCTTGTAATTGGTGAAGTAAATTGCTTAATCACCTGAAACAAAGCTTGCTCCATTTCCCTCTCTCTTGCTTCATGTTGAAGTCTGCAAAGAAATCTCTTATTTTCCACTCTTTCTTCGCTTGCCATGTTAGCGTCAAGTAATTTCTCAGCTGCGAGTCTTTTCATATTCTCTTCTCGAAGGATTTCTCTCCTTCTGTCTTCAGCTCTGAGCTTTGATTGTTGAGCATGGCTCAAGTTTGCTCTCCTCGTTGATGCCTGCTGTCGATGCCAATGCAATGTGTAAGTGTGTCATTGTATCAAGATTACTATGTATTCAGTTTTTGTTTTTTGGGCAGTGGGGGTTAATTTGAGTCTCAGATAAAGGTGGACAATTCTCTGACACTATCAATACCATGTTTGTTTTAAAAGGCTAATTATCAAAATATATCAAAGCGAGGTTTCTTCAGTATGGATAGGCTACAATTACAAAATGGATTTTACAGTACAATATTTTAGAGAGTGTATTTATACTGTACAGCATGCGATTTTTCTGAACCTTGTGCTCATGCTTAAAACTGCAGTTCTGCCGTATTTGTTAACTGCACACTGCCAATGACACGAAATTTGCTTGTATATTCTTCAGTCTGTTTGCCCAGTGCAGAGTGAACAAGAACAGATACTGAGATACACCATGACCGATCATCTTGATACAATATTTCATACATAATCGTTTCAAAATGAATCTACAAATAGGTCTTACCATTTTAAAGTACAATAATATTCGAGAAACCTTGAACCAATTTATTTGTCACCAGAAAACACCATGAATCGTTGGAAACAATCGTGAAATTTTCGTTGTTTATATGCTTGTTGCCAACGAATTTACCGCTTGTGACGTCACCGCTATTCAATATTCAACCGCTGACTTGCTCTTCACATGAGCCTGCGATGAGGTAGATGGGGGCGGATATACAGTATATGTCCCCTCATTGATCCCCAGGGGCCGGTTGTTCAAAAGCCGGTTAGCCAGTAAGATTTTTAATCGCTTGTTTACAAAGTTGAATATATTTTCTCATAAATATTTTCTAGACCAATAGAAGTGATATTTTCTAAAGTTTTAAAACGAACAGTGGTTCAGAGGCACTTAAACTAAAACACTGGATTAAAACTTAATTACTTAAACCAGGTTTAGCGCTATAAACCCAGCTTTAAACAACTGTCCCCAGGTCTGATTTGCAGTGAAAACTGTGGCGTGGCTACACGAATGACCAAAAGAGGACCGATCCATTAAATGCATTCACACCAAGCCTGTTGAACTTCGTCTGGATTGTAAGTTTAACGGTTAGCCTAAACAATTGTTGGCCCATTGCTGGCCAGCAACTTGGGCAGCACCGACTTAGAAATACAGACTTCAGAGTAGCATACACACAATCATTTTGAGAAAATATAATTTAATAAACGTCTGTTAAACTAACACAGAGGGCGAACGACTCGGAAAAAAATGAGAAGAAACAAACTCTTTACAGATGCAATATAAGGCTAATCAAGCAAGTACAAATAACTTGAAATAAAATAAAATAACGTAAAATAACTTTTCCCGATTCGAACATAAAAATCTCAATATGTTTGACAGATACCATGTTAATAATGTCTGAACTAAGTTCTGCCGTCTTTAGTTGTGCATATTTAAGTAGGAAAGTCAGTATCTAGGGCCGGCTGTGCATAGCCATAGCCATAGGCTTAGCGAACGAGATCGTTTGAAAACTGGCACCAAGATATTGTAAGACTGATTCGCTATCACCTGGCTGAAGGCTTTGCAACAGCTGGCCCAAAAAAATCAAATCAGATTTTAATTTATATCATTCATTTGAATTTTCTTAATTGCTAGAATATAGAATAACGGAAAATGTTCTACATCTAGAATCTAGTGAACTAATTGTTGCATGGTGAATGTTTACCTCTACTGATGACCTACGTTACCCCAGCCTCTAAAATTTGCGTGTAGTCAGCCTCTGCTTTGCAACCGTTAATATTCAAGGCGGCAAAACGTAGGTCTGTATGTTAGTCTTGCCAATACCAGGCAATACGATTGTCACCATGTAAATTCCCCGCTTGTGTACTCCAAAACAAATGTATAATTTAATCCTAACTAACCCCCAAGCCAATTAGATTTATGTAGAGATTACATGAAGACCATCGTAATTTCAGATTTAAGTAAGTTTTTTTTATAAATTGTGAATAATTTACTAGCTTAAAATATTATATATATATATATATATATATATATATATATATATATATATATATATATATATATATATATATATATATATATATATATCTACTTCGCGCTCTGGTTTAGTGAGTTTAAGATGCACGAAATATACGACGCGGACGTGAGATATTAATTTCATCGTTTCACAACGAATTTTAAGTCAAAGATAAAAATCATGAACATGGAATTCTTTTGGTAAGCAATGTCGATGTCAGAGCCGTACTGTTAAACAGTTAAAATCTGGGTTCCTAACACAAGCGGCTGTTTTTATGTCACGATCGTGTCGTAGATTTGGGGCAACAAGATTCGTCTGCATTTCATAAGAATTTGTCTACTTTCACGAAATAGAACTATTCATTCTCTCTCTATACAGCGATTCGAAGAGCCTTAAAATGGCTATTTTAAAATTTTTATGTTTCACTTTCGGGGGTATTTTCTGTTTGTCGTTGCCTTAAGTGTAAATCTTGAACGTAGCCATTTCTGGTTGTTTGACTGCCTTTCGCCGAGCCGTTTTTGATTGTATGGGTTGTTCCGTTCATTCCTAACAACGAAAAAGATACTGAGATACATTTTGGTACACCTTAACATGACTTGCATCTTTTGTATTTATCATTATAGACTATCTCAAACATGCATTTAATGAGGCATATTCTGATGTAATTCATTGTCGTGCTCTTGTTGTAATGCCGCCAAAGTGACGACACTAAATATATATAAGCGCCCTGCTGGATATTGATTTATCTTGCGCACTTTATTTTTTTTCCGTAGTCTCCCCCAAGGCCCCAAACGCTGCTTTGCAAATTTATTATAAAAAGATAGAGTATTTTTACCATTGCCATTTGTTCTGTGTGAATTGACATCATGGTCAACTTGCTCTTCCTACAAAATAAAGTTATTGTCTAATGACCTGCAACAATAAAGAAAAAGGCCAAAAAAATGCCTTGTACGGAGGAGCATATTGACAATTGTCAATAACATCACAATTTGTCTGTCACCAGAGTTTATGAGGCATTGGAGCAGTTTCGAAACTTTTTCTTCGAATTACCTCGAATTCGAATTACGCTTTCATCTGCTTTTTAGTAAAATTACGAAAGAACAAGTACCTTTTAAGGCGGAATGGTTGGGTAGTTTCAAACAAAGATTTTTTAAAATAAATTAATGAAATCTTGTCATTTTTTATTAAATCCAAATAGATAAATAAACAGAGTTTTACAGGTTCTGAATTTTTTGCACGCGTTGGCGTCGACTTATAGTTATATGTAAAATATCACCAACTTTGCTGACATAAGTTCAAACATCTCTACCTCTGGTGTTCCGACTTCTCTAGTGTCTTCTATTTCAGTACTCCGTCCTGTCGCCACTCGCCAGATAAGTAGGATTATAAAGTGAAACCACCAAACATTCATTGCGAAGAGGAAAAACAGTAAGCCGTTAAAGAAGTAATAGAATGGTGCATGAGGCAACACTTTCACTGCGTAATATCCAGAGGGATATAGAACTTTGTAAGGAAAGACGTACAGCCGAAAATAAAACCTTTAAAACAAAAAAATAAATAAAACTGTTAATTTATATAATTATCGGATCATTAAGAAAAACGTTTACATTTTTTACCATAATAGCAATACTAATGTTATAAAAATACAATGATAAAAAAATAAAAACACAAAAATATTAAAAAGAAAAAAAATACAATCAAAAATTTTCTTAATAAATCTGATATGACAATATAATAAAAAAGGTTTTTTAATGCTATCTCTTAAATTAGATACTAGCAACCTTTTTATGAGGAAAAGTTATTTGTTAAATCAAAACTACAAAGGTGATCTTAACAAACACATATAAAAAACACAACAGTGAAAAGCAGTAATATAATTCCATTTCACATACCATGAAAGTGAAAATGCCAAAAAGCAAATGTTTATTAAAACCTCTGGCCAAAAATGTTTCTTATTGTTTCTGGTTTTCCAACAAACACATAACTTTGTGAACTCCAGTAACACATCGCAAAGATCATGGAGAAATAGTACCAATACACCAACTTTGTAATACCTATTGATGTTGGTATACAGAAACTATTATAAGACTTATGCAGTTTTCCTATTACTATTTATTTTATGTGCTTTCTAGAACTGGCATGGATTTTTTATCAAAACGCTTGAACTCACCTGACAGCAAATGAAAAGCACAGTAAGAACACAGTGAGTACATGATGTATGATCATTGCTATATAATCCTTTCTCCACATGTCCATAAACACAGTACCATAAATAGAGTGTATATAGAAGCTTGTTTGTATACAGTACAAAAAATAGATATCAGCTGGAACTGCCATACCAACTGACCATACTGAAAAAGAATGAAATAAAAAGCTTGTTTTCCACAAATGACAAACCTTATATATATGTGGAATTATCTATTTGATGTCGATGTTTCATACAGATGTTGAATCACGTAAATTACATGCACACTTGTTGAAGTATGTCCTTGCACCATAATACTACGGTATAGTCTCATACAATTTATAATTATACTCTTGTGGCATTACAAATTAAATGCTTTACCTGACCAGCATGTTCTAGGGTCTTTATACAATTCACTATGTCTCCCAAACAACACAAAGCAAGTGTATATATACATGATAAAGTAGTACAGGAATTTCCACATGCTTTCTGGGAATTTCTTTCTATTCTTTGGTGTGAAGTTCATGTGCATAGCAAAAGGCTGCAAGTAATGAAATATAGTTACAATCGCAAAGTTAAGGATGTTAATTATTAGCAGAATCAACTGGGGGCTGATAATGAAGAATTGAAGTACTTGGTAATTCTAACATTTTTACTTTAATTCTATATTTACTGAAACTATCAGCTAGTAAAAGATTGCTGCTAATAAGCTAAACTTGTTATTGGTTTAAAACTTGTTAGTTCATTAATATACAGGCTTCAAGGTAATGTTCATAAATTATGATACACATGTCATGTTGATAGCTAAATTAATTTCTGACTTGGCAACTTAACTACATGGCTGTCAACAACAAATTTCCCTCCTAGGATGAAAGGCAGAACAGCTGGTTGCGAAGGCAATTTTTGAATACGTGCATGCACTATTTGCATGTGCATGACATTTTATTTCAAATATGACAATTTATCAGGATAGACAATTCTTCATGTTATATTTTAAGATTGAATGCCCATGGATGATGCAAACTTCACTGAATAGGGTGATACTTCTTTGTTGATTAGGGCAATGACATGCAAATATATATGAGACCAACATTAAAAAATTTGATATCAGCCACAATGTTGATGATGGGTCACATGCAACTCAGATGTCCAATTAATATATATCTGATGATCATATACGTTTTTCATAATGACTCCCCTCGACGTGCTCCACTTTAAAATAAAATCCACAATTTCACAAATCATTTCCATAGAACTGTGTGAATTACACAGGATAATTACAAAAAAATCGATACATTTTATATTGTTTATATCGTAAAGGCATCATATATCAAATCAATGTTGTGGTTGTACTAAATTGTATAGATTATAACAGGACAAATATTTCATTCTCCACTTAAGCTTTTCTGTTTCTAACTGTGTAATCCATAGAAGATAACGGTTCTTTTATACTTCAAACATACCTTGAACACAAAGGATGTGAGAAACGCGCGAAGCAGTGTAAAAACAACTGCAATTGTACCCACGATAGCGATGTCAGACCATGAAATTCTTCCATAATGACCCATGTCGTTTACAAAATCTGCTAAAAAAGTCCACCTTATCCGTCTTTGAGGCCATACTTCAACGGCAGATTGAAAGATCGAACGAAATATCCCGAAATACGTAGTCATTCCACTTGTTTTGCTCAATTTATGTAAACAAAGATCATAAAACGTGTCGTCCCATTTATACCCGGAGAAATTATATAATCACCTTTGCACCGGAAGTAAGGAGAGAAATAAATGAATGGAATATCAGTGTGATTTCTTTTTTATACTACAATTTGTTGTTGGAAAAAACACTACATAAAAAAGGGATGTTTTTCCATAACAGGCAAATTGAAATGACAACAGGTGCCTTATATGTAAAAAACACATTAAGCAATTGATATTGCTCTGGTAAATCCTTCGTGTGTCAAAATTCGTCTAGAAATGTAGGAATGTGAAACATTTTGGTGAATATTGTAACACCTTTCTGCGACACCGTAAAACTCTATTATCACCGCACTCCTTTCAAATAAAGCCTCTCTCCAATGCACCGGGTAATTGCAGCTTTTTTGAATATCTAATGAAAAAAGAAAGTTGATCAAATTCACCGGGTAATCGCAGCTTTTTTGTGTATCCAATGACAGAAAGTTGATCTCAAAAATTGCATTATGTAAATTGCTTAAAATGAAATATATATTTCACGACGTTTCGGCATGTGATGGCTTTTCATATACTCGTGTGTTTTGCACCCATAAAAACATTGCTCTTGCATATTTTTACACACTATATTTACGCCTTCTCTAATACCATATCGAAGTATGCAAAACACTGCAGTCATTTATTCATGTTATGTACGATTACGAATTCCCGTGTGAAGTCTCATCATATTTTTTGAAGCAATATCTGCCTGATATATAGATATCTTTTAGTACACGTGTACAATGCCTGATTACGTATGTCTCATTGACCATCATAAATTAGGGGGTGTAGCAAAAATGTAACATTGGCAGGGGGGAAATCTCGGAAATTGCATGGTCTGATTTGATCGCACCATTGTATGGTTTCAAAAGTTTTTCTGGTTAGATATTTAAAAAGAGACATGCATGCTTCTCGAAGTGTTTCGGTGTTTCGACGGTGTTTCTCGACTGGCCTTTCTGTCCACAATTCATATAAATTTGTCGTTGCTGGGGGAGGTGCAGGAGGAATAGGGGCAGCCGCTGCTTTGAAACGAATTTACGGCAAAGACGCAACCGTAGGGATTATAGAAACATCGCAGGTACACTGAGCCTTTCTTTCAATTCTTTGTCCATATTACTGATGTGGTTTGTTACGGATGTTTTCGTTTGCCTAATTGTTCGTGCTCTTTGTTTGTTTAATAATTGTAAAATTGGTTTTAATTGCCGATCGGCCCATCCTGGGCGTTTGAGTCAATATATCCTTAATTAATATGGTTAAACATTTGTGACTCAGTGGTTTATAATTGGTACTAATCATATAATACAACCTACAAATAATTTTGTTTGCACAAATATATAGGCGACATTCACACTGTAACGTTTTCAAGTGTTTTTGTTTTCACACATATCACCTCATTTAATACCTTAAATATAACTCAGAATTAATCATTTAACAAGGCTTTGCAAAGTTGATTTGTTGTGCACATAGTTGACCAATTTGAAATATGTTTGCATAGTTGCAGAGAATTTAACCATTTTGGTGCCCAAAAGTTTTGCATGGTGACAAAAATAATAGCTTAAACATGACAGTTAGCATGCACTATGGCTAAAGCATATAGACAAGCTAGTCTTCTTTATCTTCCTAAATATTTTTCTGCATGTTTAAATCATATGATTTTTCCAAATGATAGGCAATGGTAAAACAACATGGTGATAGAATCAGGGCTAAGCAAATTAATTGTCATTTGCCTATATAATTTATATTTAGTCCATAGGATCATAGAATCTTACATACTAGCTGACTGATAATTGATTTGAAAGTATTGTAATGGTGTGAATGGGGAGTTAAGCACCTTGATCATTATGATGCTCAGACTACATTTTGGAACTGTTGGTTTTAATTCTTCATATTTCACTAGACCCAGTATTATCAACCATTATGGACTTTGGTTGGAGCTGGTGCAGTGGATTTTGATACATCATGGCAACCAATGGAAAACGTAATTCCAAAAGGATGTGATTGGTTGCAAACAAAAGTTGAAACTTTTCATCCAGAGAGTAACACTGTGGTGACATCTGATGGTGACAAGGTGTGCTTATACACAATTTTTTTACAGTTTTAGCACTTGAATAACCAAAACTGTTTCAGTTCCGTATTTTGTTGAAATCTCCCCTGGCCTCTGTTTTTCGTAACTCCCTAGATGACAGGCTTTAAATTCTCTTCACTGGACTAAATCAAATTTAGCATTGCAGCACAAATCGCAACTAAAGATTATTGAGGATGAACCAATGATATCAATTTCAATTTAGATCAATTATGAACATCTCATTGTGGCCTTGGGTCTTGAATTGAGATTTGATATGGTATGTGAACTAACATGTTGTTAACTTATTTATCATCTAGCTTAATTGTGTTGTTTGAAAATAGAAAGGCTATTTTAGGATTGTGTGTCTACTAAGCTGTGTTCCTTCGGCCAAACTTTTAGAAATGTCTACCATGTTTGACATTCAAACAGTTATAAATTTTCTCATCCGCTTATTAAATTGTCTTGATTACTATGTCCAGACAGTTTTATTTCTTTTTAAATTCTTATCTACTCTGCTGAAGACTACTTCATTAATATTTTATTAGTGTCTTTTCATTATGTGATTTTGATCTGACCACAGGATATAGATAAAACTCTATTATTCTGTCGTTTTCCAAAACAGGGGTATAAAAAAGACTCGTCTTCGACTTCGTGAAATAAAATTAAGTGACCTATTATACTAACGTGGCAGCCCATTCATTGAAGAAAATTGGCGTCACAGCAGCAGCGACGTGGTGCAATATAAAGATTAAAACTAATTTGAATGACAAAACCTAATCGTCTAAGGCTAACCACTTTTTTATAAACACCATAGAACAGACACTATACTTTTACTGCTGCATAGGTCGAAGGTTTGCCAGAGGCACTGCATAGTGACGGTGTTTGCTCGAACTATTCCGCTCAGACTGTGAAGGACACATGGAAAACTTTGCAAAGTTTTGAAGGTGGAGATGCTCTTTTCACATTACCTATCACGCCTATTAAATGCCTTGGCGCCCCACAAAAGATCATGTACCTGTCTGACGATTATTTTAGAAAGGTAATTATATAAATTTGAATGCCTAAGCCTTTAAACCTAATGCAGGCAATGGTAAAACTCTTTTTTTTATTAATTTCCCCGCCATTCTAATAATAGAAAGCGGCGCTTTTCTCGTTTAAAAATCATTGGTTTTGATAGTTTATGAATGTGTGTGGTTTATGAATGGGTGTTTAAATAATGTTCACTTATTTTCAAAACACAGAGCGGAGTTCGAGACAAGGCTTCAATTCAGTTTTGTTCGGCTTTGGGTGCAATATTTGGTGTACAGAAATACGCCAAGGAACTGATGCAGATTTGCCAGAAACGAGATCTAAACCTCAATTTTCGACATAACCTCGTGAAGTTGAACGCTGGGGAGAAGACGGCAACTTTTGATATTCTCGATGAAAACGGAATCAGTACCGGTGAAACAAGAACTTTGAAGGTATACAATCCCATGGCCTTTTCATACTCATGCAGAGTGAGACTCGCTGCCCAGCTGCCGCACGTGGGCACTGAGCCTGAGCCTGAGGACACCTCTATGTTCACCTCCTTTATTCTGTGTAAAGGTTAGCACCCACAACGTGGTTCCACCCTTGATTAACAATCACATGCATGATCACCGGATCTCTAACAATACAACAAGCACAACTATTACAAATATTACTGTATTCTCCTATATTCTACAGTATGATATGATTCATGTGACTCCTCCAATGAGCGCACCTCTGGCCTTACGCAAATCATCATCTCTGGCAGATTCCAAAGGTTTTCTAGATGTCCATCAGTACACCTTACAACATAAACGTTTTCCGAATGTTTTTGGTTTGGGTGACTGTGTTAATACTCCAAATGGGAAGACTGCGGCTGCAGTTGCTGGCCAGCTGGGTGTGGTCATGAATAATCTGTATGCTTATATTTTTGGAAACAGCATGAATGCCAGTGTAAGTAGATATTGTATATATGGTATGGTAATGCAATTGTTTGAATGTTGTTTGTGGGAAGGAATGGCATAGTTTTGGTTGGTTGCTATAGTTTATTAACATGATTTTCAGGGAGATTACAGATTCAATTGTGGTATTTACATATGATCTCAATGTTCTAAGAGTTTAGCAATTTTTATTAATTAGTATGACGGCTATACCTCCTGTCCTTTGGTCACATCTTATGGAAAGTGTATATTGGCAGAATTTGATTACAATGCTCAACCACTTGAGACCATGCCACTCAACCAAGGAAAGGTAATTTATAAGGCTGTGGTGTGCGTTTGTATTATTTTTAAAGAATAAGTGTAATACATGTAGATAGAGATTACTTTAGAAATTTTCACACAAAACTGCAGAGTTTAAGCATTAGAAATTATATAGTCCGAAAAGATAATGCGCAGTCAGCAATCAGTATGTGTTCAACCAACCATTTCCTTTTCAGGAAAGGTATTTCTCATATCTTGTCAAGAAAGATATATTACCGGAAATTTACTGGACTGGTTTGATGAAGTAAGTTTTGTTGCACAATGACTGTTAAACAACAACTGCCTGAACAATGATCATATTGGCTGTTTTTTTCCTATGCCCATTAGGGGAACCTGGTATGGACCTGGAACAATTCGTAAGATTCTTCACCTTGGTATGTCGAAATAAATCAATTTGTTAGGAGTTTGTATCCTTGGAAATTGGTACACCATCTAGTGTAAGTACAATTTGTAGGCTGTTATGAAAAGTTAACTTTAAGGGCACAGTTTAAGGATATGAACTGGGATAGTGGCCCCTATATATTTTTACACTTAAACTGCGATAAGGGTCTAAACGACACAGCATTCTGTGACCCCTTATCCTAAATTTTAGTGCAATAATGAAATTATACTTGAGCTGAAACATAGTTTGATAACAGTCATTATTTTTTGGTCAAGAATTTTTAGTTTGCTTGTTCATTGAACTAAAAAATTAATGGCCTCTCTTTATATTAATTTTAATTTAATTCTTAACCACCTGGGCTTCTTACAGCTGACCCTATAGGAAACAGGGGCTTGCTCTCCCATTATCATTCTTTAGAACTTAGGACAAATGTCTCAGGCTAATTTAGGCAAGGTAAAATATGAAAATGATTGGTTAGTTGGAAATAAAAATAGTGATCATATTTGTTGTGAATTGAAGAAAAATTAATATTTTAATCAATACCAGGTTAAAAAACCCCTTAGGCTATAGGTTGATAAAATATTTGTTAAAAATGTTTGTTAGTACTATGGCATAGTCATGCATATATAGTATGTGTCTAGATCATGCATCATATACATTAAAAACTCTTGTTGTTTGAATATCTGAATTAACAGTAAAAGGCAACTGTAAAAATTAATTTTCAATTTTATGTATTTTTGTGCACTGAATACCATGAACTTGTGGAATAGAATGGTGTATAGTACTTGCATGAGTTGTTAATTGATTTTTTAAATCACTAATTAAACAAGATTAGAAATAAAAAAGACCTGCTGTCGAGGTTTCCCCTATTTTTCTACAACTACAACATTGATTTTTGAAAGCCTGATGTTTGAGAGGATCCATCTTGTGATGTTTTTAGTTGCTACAATATTTGTTGGTGGAATTTAGTGGTAAGTTGTTTATATTTAAACAATTTACAAATATTTGAATCAAACACAACAAACAATATAGTAAATTCTTAAATAATTTATTTGCATTACCTATTTAAATACATGAATTTCATTTCTACATTGTATTTCTACATTCCATGTGTAATAATTTAGCCCTGAAAACACGAATGCTTTATTATGAAATTTAAAAGCTAAACAAAATAAAAACACACTTCAACTAAGTTTCAATTAACAAACTTACATCCAGTGTTAATCATCTACAGAAAATATACAAATTCATATATGGGATCATTTGTTATACTACTATTTATGTGTGTTTTAGTTGGTCTTTCAGGTTTACATGAATTTTGGAAAGATGCAAATTAGAACATCTATCAATATATACATGAAAAAAGACACTAATTGCGTATCAACAGTAAATATAGCCAATATTAAGATATATTTATGGAGATATCTAGTCAAATGATATTATTTGGATATGCAGTTAGAGTGATGCATATAAATAATTCCAGGCTATTGACATTGGCTAGTGCGAAAAATCTTTATTTGTGGTTTATTATTAACATGGACAACTTGACTCTTCATTTGCCTCATCAACTTCCCTAAGTCTGGTTGAATGACGATTGTTATTTATAAAACTGCTGGGCAATAGATCTGCGTCAACGCAAGTTTCCATACGTCTCATGACCTGGCATAAAAAAAATACAAAGAAACTTGTTAATAAACAAAAAATGACAAAATTAGTAATCATCCACATGGATACATTCCACTATGTGTTTATACATCACCTGGTCAAGTAGTGATTCCACAGCTTCATTTACATTCTGTCCAGTTGCAGCACTTGTTTCAAAGTATTTTAGTCCTAAATTTTCTGCAACATTTCTTGCTTCATTGCTATCTACTACTCTAGACTCCTGAAGATCAGCCTTGTTGCCCAATAATACTATATGAAAACATTTTTGAGAATGCAAACGGATATCTTGCATGAAGCACGGGTTCATACATATTTTTCCTTACTGTTTTTAACATGACATTGTGCAATAATTACCAGGTTATAAAAGATGAACAACCTTACCTATGTCAGGGTTTTCACAATATGCATGTGTTTGTAATTGACTAAGCCAGTTTCTAATGTTTACAAATGACTGCTCGTGGGTGAGATCAAATACTAGCAGGAAGCCCATCGCATCACGAAAAAATGCTGTTGTTAAACTACGAAACCTATAGAGAATAGCACAGAATTTCGTCAAACTTTTGTCAGAAATGGTTGTTGCCATTTTAGTTCTTGGGTTGCTGATGCACACAAATTCATTTTTAGCATCAATTGAGCGTCATTACAATGGAACCTGTAATTATTGGTATACTTTTATTATACACTACCTCTCCTGTCCTGCAGTGTCCCACAGTTGTAGGTGTATTCTTTGTCCTTTTGTTGCTTTTGTTCCATCAGGAGCTCGGGGGTGATGGACCTAAATGAACAAATATATTTAATATGGGTAAATACAACAATGGATTGTGAAAAAGGTTTCCAATGTGATAAAAATTATGTGACAGTGCCTCCTTAATGAAACCCATCAAATTTTGTACAAATATATTGTTGTGTAGAAATTTCAGATTGCCTTAAAAGAGACCAGTTGAGGCCTGCATGATGGGTGTAAGTTATTTCTTATTCCAATTTTTTTGCAGGATTTGGGGCCCAAGCCACGGAATGTGTAAGATTAAATAAAATATCCTTGCCAAAATGTGTAAGCAAAGCAAATGATAAAAATTTCAATAAACACGACTCAAGACATAAGAAATCACAGGAAAGCAGCAGGCGTTCTGCCAATTTGATCACAGGATAAAAACGGAAACTTGTTTAATTTATTAATAATGCTGAATAATATGTTTATATTGTTTTTATACTGTGTATGTATACACAATATGTCGACCAATTTCGAATGCAGCTATAGATTGTGCATGGTTGGTTGACTTGCTTCAGTTTAGATTTCGTCTAGCACAGCATCGCATCAAAAAAAATATTCCAATATTCATGAATGTACAAAAATGGCAGCTTAATAAATTCGGAATCGACTGCATTTGCAACATAAACAAACTCAGAAATGTAGATAATTTAAGTATATCTTAAAACTAAATTTGCACTAAAGGAGGTGAATAAAATGAAACAAATAAACAATACAATTCAAAGCAATGCTATAGTATTTAGACAGCTGAAATTAAATATTCACATATAATAGATTTCCACTCGTATGCTTACCACCCGTTTTTCACGAAAATCAATGCCAACCGTGGATATAAATTTTGGATTAAATTTACCATCCGTATAACGATATAGCAAGCTCGTTTTTCCGACGCCCGAGTCGCCTAAAGCTAGAAATTTTATCAAATAATCGTAGTCTGTACCGCTATGACTGGACTCCGCCATATTGTTCTAAAAAGCACTTTAAACTTCGGCATGAATAATAATGATCATGGAAAATCGACGTTTATTGGATAACACAAATGATCGAGCGAGAAGTTTGATATAAGGCGGACTCTGATTGGTTGGGGGTCAATTAGAATCAGCAAGAGAGGGGACAGAATAATTAATTGCGACAACTTGGAAAACTGATAAAACGCAGTTAACTGTATGTAAGCTAGTAAGTAGGTCAGTTGTTTGTTTTGTAGGATTGTTTTGGTAGTTTACACCTCATACAATTCAGAATAACTTTATGTACAATCTAAGAAGAACAGGTACGTTAAGCGTACATGAGTAGATCTACCATTGAGCTATATATTTTTATTTGTTACGAGGATGTTTCTTGTATGTGGTTTTCAGATGTTTTTGAAAAAAAGTTATTACATTTGTAAACCGTTTTCTTCACGAAGATATCAAGCAAGTAACCGATCCGTAGTCAAATATAATAAATATGATATTGATAATCTACAAGATATTTGACGTTACAATCATAGTAATTATAAGGGGTTTTTTAAATCAAAGCATATGGAATTTTTTTTATTCGGCTAAAATAGGGTCTAAAATTCTGTATCATAAGTTGTTATCATAAACTAGAGCGTTAGGAAAAGCTTAGTGTATAAAAAGCAGGAACCCCGATATGATCAAATTTATGTATATTGCCAATCGTGCACATTTTGTGAGAGTGACTGAAGTTTTTTCCAAGTGTCATAAATGCGAACCGACAGTACTTATAGTTTGACAGTTAGACAGTAATATTACAGTCAACGGATGAGGCAAAATATAGTTTTATATTTAGTACTGGAAGTAAAAACATTGCTGTATATTATAATGACATGTAAATGACTAGAGGCATACAAGAAAAAACTCTAAAAAACCCGCCGCAAACGAGAGCTGAGCTAAAGACCTCGCATGGCTTTTAGCTCAGCAAGTTACTCTCGTATGCGGATAGTTTTCGCGAGGAATTCGCCTCGAGAGGTAAGTTTCTCACGTGTGTGGATGGTTTTCGGGCTGAGCTAACTGCCTTGCGAGGTCATTAGCTCAGCTGTTAGCTCCCGTGTGCGGTGGGTTTCAGACGGACACTATGCCAGGGCACGTTTTGTACAAGCGTTGGAGAGGTCAAACTTCTAGGAAGTATTATAAAGCTCACGATTTAGACTTCTTTTCCAAATCAGATGGGAAATAGATTCTGGTGCAAATTTCTGTCACTATATAGCTGCCACCTGTCAATCACCTGTAACATAAATACATCGTCCTTTTATACTCACCAAATACTTTTCCCTGTAATCCATACCGATAGTCGATACAAATTTTTTCAAGAAATATCCGTGGACGTATTGATGAACGTAGCTGGTTTTTCCAACACCTGAGTCTCCCAGCAAAAGAACCTTGCACACGCATTCTATGCCACAAGTTGCATTATCCAGCCATGACTCGGTTATACCTGACATTTTGATCAACTGAAGGCTTCTACGTGGTATTTATATACCTCTTCAAATGCCACAGTTTGAGTCCATTTCTCCGGGCAGCCTTTGCACGTTGTGGAATTTGTTCCGACAATAGTGACTGTCGATTCGGGCTCCGCTTGAGTTATTGCGTTTTTTCTCTAATTATATTTACCCGCTGACCCAAAACTTTGTTGCTTTTATAATTTTGGCTGGTTGTGGTTGTAACTTATTATCCATCTACTTGTGATAGACGCAACTCATGGATAATGGATTAAGCCTGGTTTTCATTTAGTGGTAAGAAGTCGTTTAAATTGGTGATTGTTTACGGCAAGCACTTAACATCCTGTCACCACTTCTTTGCAAGTGGAGTGTTGCAAACTTGACGCTAATCGCGTGAGCTATATACGGCAAGATTTGGACTTCTGGACAGGAACGCCACAACTTGTGGGGGCAGCAATTAACCCTTTAGGACAAAGAAGTGTCCTTCGCCATAAGCTGCTTTTAAATCATTAAGGCGTCGTCGCAACCAAGGCAACCTCGTTTCCAGGGGTCGAGATTGGCGCCCAGGAAAAATTATAAATAGGCGGTTTGAGAAAAAAAATCAGGTAACAAGTGTTACAAACTGAAGATAATTTTCGTTATATATTTATTCCTGCATATACAAAAGCCCGATTACAATAATGTTTAAATAAATAGATTTTAATATGTTACAATAATAATAGAATCTGTCGTCGGTGAAATCTTTGCTCAACCATATGCGATTATCACTATTTCTGTGATTAAACAGAATAATTCTTTCATCTCGACTGACCAGTGTTCCGTAAAAGATTGTTCATGCGTGTGCCTCGGGTACCAGGGCCATACAACGTCAGGCACCAACCAACTGAAATGGACTTCTTTACCTTACACGCGCTTTCTATAAATGTTCACCGCTCAAAATATATTACAACACACGTCATAAGTCCCTGAACTGATATAAAGATATACACGTGTTCTTACAATAAGTTACAGTGTACAAACTTTAAAACTGACTATATCTTGTCATAATTTATAAAATTAAAAACGTTGAAAACGGCGAGCGGATAGAATATGGGAAGGAAAGAGAGTTCTTAAGAGATAGTTCAGCCTGGAAATCCAGGGCTGTCTGAGGCCGGCGATGATCCATTTGCTGAAAGAAGACAAAAATAAATGGTTCGGTATTAGGAAAGATTCAGACTTGTTTGTCGACTGTCGTAGGTTTTTCTACACACCAACTTGTGGTTTGATAAAGTTATAAATCGTGGTTCAATACCTGAAGAAGAGACGAGGAAATAGGATTTTAACTTGCGATACAGTTGACCTGCCCGTTCCACAACATCTTCACTGCCCGTGTACTTTCTAATCTGAAGGTTTTCATAAGATATTTTAAATTTTGAATCAAAACAAAACAAAAACTTTTAGCCAAGGAGACGCAACATATACATAAGTGTCATCATACTAACTCTTTTTAAGGTTAAAACTAAGTCTGGTGCGTTTTTGATCATCTCTGGAGTGAGATCCAGATTTTGAATTTGTCCGATTATTCTAATACACCTTGCAACATCCTACACAAGAGAACGAGAGGTAATTGCAACACGTTTGTATCAAGTTTGTACAATTTGTAACAATGATGTCAATTTATTAATCATTGAATTGTTGATCACGAGTCTATTCATAGCAGGTTTGTAACTTGTTGGAACTTGTGCAATTTTTGGCCTGTTCTTTGTACTAAAGCCTGTTTTCTACAAAGCGAATTTGATCGCGCGAATTAGAAATTCGGTGACTTGATTGAGAATGCTTTTTGCATCGAGTATTTTGCATTGTTAAATTTTGATTGTGATTAATCACATTTTCTCTCTTGGTGAAGCGACACGAACAGGTTCGTCTAGTTGTAAAAAAACGGGCTTTGCAATGAAAACCAGGGTCCTTCGTTTAAACTTACTGGAGACTCGACTCTAAGCGAGACCTTTAAGTCGTATAAAAATCTTTCAAGGATTTGTTCATTTGTTGGTACTGAAAGAAATTCAAAAACAGTTCGTTTGAAAATTAATTTCATCTTGTGCATTAATTAAATTATAGACGATTCTGGAGGCGCAGGAAACTTAGGAAACTAGAAAACAACATGTTTCCAACATTACATTTATTTAGCAATTCTTTTTCTCGCTCTGCGGTCAACTGCTCCGCTGCGAGCTTCTCTGCCTTCTTCTGCAGTAATTTTTCTTGCCTTTTCTTTTCTTTCAACATTTCTCTACAAAAAGCAATTCCTCTTAGTATAAACACTATTTAAACCAATCTTACTGTTGAGCAACTTTAGCTCATCATTTACAATGTCAACAATGACGCTGTTGTATTCCTTTGAGGTATTTTAATTTTCAATACAAATCTTACTTCTTTCTTTCAATCCGTTCCGTTCGTTTCCTTTGAAATTCTTCTTTTGTCATGATGTCGTCTTCACTCTCTTTTTTATTTGTCTCGGTTTCATTCTCCTCATTTTGCTTTGTCCGACTACGTTTCCTGGGAGACTACATACACACACGCAGACAAGGTAAGTATAATGAAAATTTGTATTTTTATAAAGATCTTAAATCATTGACCAAAATTTGTTTCTGTTGGGCATAGTGGCTCAGCATTTCCAGAATGGAATCAGGTGAAAAAGTGGCTGAATGGAAAGGATTGCACACCAAATTAAGATAGAGTACAGTTAATAGTGTCCTGACTCTATTTTACATACCTCCGCTTCTTTTGCATCTTCTTTCTTTGACACTTTTTGTTTCTTAGTTGGAGGTGTTTCCTAAGATTATAATTCTTTAATAAATACATGTTATTTAGTCTAATTAACAGTACAGAAATAAACCAATGGACATACTGTTCCACTATCTTCATTGCTTTCTTTTATCGTTGTCTTTTCTTTCTGAGGCTTTTTGTTTGGGCTGCTCTCCTTAGGAAAACAAAAAGCATTCATGTCCTGAAATCTATTACACAATCAAACCATAATTTTTGCAGCCTTGGATTCAATTATACCAAGTGTGATGTATCATTACAGCTTTCTTACACATTGACATTTACTGGTCAATTCATAAACATTACCTCTTTTATTTCCTTTTTAACCTCTGCTTTGCTCTCCTAAGAGATCAGAAAAGAATGGGTTAACACATTGTAGGTGTTGAGCTGAGATTTTATCCAAAATTCTACCTTCTTAACATTTTTACTATCATCTTTTTTGTTTGATTTTTCCTTATTTCCTGGGCCAAATTTAATCAATGGCATCTTTTCTATTTCATCCAGTCCTTCTTGAAATCCTTTAATCTTCTTTGGAAGATAATACTTAGGTTTGTTTTCTTCATAAGGGCACAGATCTTTTGCTTGCATAAATGCACTGAAAAATTAGAAAATACCAAGATGCACATGTTCTTTTTTAGGTTCAATATTAACATTTTTCACTCTTAATGACTACAGCTGCTCCTACTTGGTCTAATTGATTTGAGGTACAATGCAAGTAAACATGCTTCATAAAGTATTTTTACTTTAATGCATGCATGATGCGTGAAGTGCAAGAGCACAATATATACTTGTGATTAACATTCATTTTAAAAAAGGACTTCAATATTGATCACCAATGACAGTTGATTGTACAATCACAAAATTTAGCTAAAAGACCAAAATCTCAAAGTTTTACACAAGGTTTCATTGGCTTTGCAAAACTAACAAGTCTATGAAATTTCATGTATCGTCAGCCATGCCATGTTTGACATTACTGGAAAGCATCGTTGGAGCAATTGGAGACACTTAACCCTAAGTAACAGTTACTATCACATGATTAAATTACATACGTTTCATGTGTACCATAAAAGAAGATTGGTAGTTTATTGTTGGGGATCTTAGTTCCATCTTCAACCATGTCAATCTAAAAAGAAGGATTCTTTCTCATTCACAAAATGTCCTCATCTAGCTATCTCCCAGATTGCAAAGTGTATACCAACCACTTGTAGAAAGGTGTCAAGTGGAATATATTTTTGAAATTCTGTTTCTCTTGATCATCAAAATTTCAAACTTGCAAAACTTACAAAAATGCACACCTTTTATCAGTAATTGCACACTAGCACACCTCAAATTTTGCCTGGTGCACTAAATGAAGTCAGATTGGGATACTCTGCAGTCTGGGCATCTCATATGTGCTTTCATGATAAATATTTTAACTTGTCAAGCTTGTTATGATATAGAATACATTTTCTGAAACAGATTTACAACTCTATTTGGGAACTGTATTGTTTGTCCCCTGCGGATCCTATGTATCTACATCTAATGACCTCTACATGTGCTGCGTAAAACGTAGCATTTTCCTACTATCAAAGACGTAAAATGAAAAATTTCCAGTTTGATGGTACATATATGGTACCATTATGAGAATACAAAAAAATTCATCTGCTTAGCTGAGATAACTCATTTTCAAATCCCTCCTGGAACACCGTTAATTCCCAGTAAATATACTTTTACCAATATGTATACATTTTTACAAATGTTTGTCAACAAATGCCCTTACTCTGGCCGGCCAATGTGGGTAACCCTTCATTTTCGCCCAAATTTTATCACCAACATTGTATTTGACGCTTTTCGGCATTTTCAACAGGCTTAGTGCTTGTCTTTCTTAAAAAGCTTCCAGGTTGATCGGGGATTCTTTCAATAGTATCTTACAAATCCTTTTCGGGTCTTTCAAAATTGGCACAAATCCACCATGACAGTTTTGAATAACCAACGTTCTTTGCGCGCGTGAATGGATGTGCATACGTGATATATATGGATAGCAAGTGGATAAAATAACCTGGTATGGTGGTAAATGGGGATATAGTATAACGTGTGATGATTTTTCAAAAGAATGCATAAATGAAGTACTGTAGGTTTTGTCCGGAGCTAATAGCGGGCTCGTGTTGATTTGCTGAAAAACCCGGGATGAAATCCCCGAGAATTGCTGGGTTCCTGTAAAATTTATAGTCGGAGTGTCGAACACAAGTCAAGCAGGCAAAAGCGAAGCCGATTAGTGGCTTGATCAAGTATGAGAACTATTTTTTGCTGTGGAACTATGCTGTCACATTGCTATATGCTTTGAGAATGCTTTGAAAGTATGGCGTGAGGTTATGCTGAATAATCTTCGCGTGTACGGTAAGCGAATTAAAGCCATTTAAAAGGGCAAAATTGTGACATGATTGTTTACATTTTGTCAGAAGTTAGACTACTCGTATACTTTAATACATGACTGGCTACCATCAGTGATTTGTCACTGTTGAAAAGATTTCGTAATTAGCGGAAATCAGAAACAGGATTTTTTAATAGGCGACATTTCGTCAGCCTATCATTCATTGTACAAGTCTTGTACAGTAAAATTTTGTCTTTTTGGAAGTGGTTATTTTATAATGATATACAATAATATTGATCAATTTTGCATGCCCGTGTATTGCTCACAATAAATGATATTTGTGTACTTAATTTACCGTATTGCTCACACGAAATGATAATAGTGTACTGAATATTAATTTCAAAAATCTAGTCGGGAAAATGTAATACTTGGCAGCAAGGATGATTAGTGTTTTAAAATTAGTTTGTACTTATAATTGCCACATATGACTTTTTTCGATTTTTGACTTTTAATATTGGTACATAGTTGGGGATTTTAATTTCAGTTAATATTTGTAAAAAATTGTTTAGAATAGTTATTAGGAGTATATATGAGCACGCACGTGCAGATATGAAGTTGAGAAATTCATTGATTAATGTGAACAAATGCATAATATATCATAATTGATGAGCATCAAAAAGTCCTTTGTATTTCCTGAAAAAGAAAGTAAAAGAAAGAGTTACTTGTTTTGCTTGTATATGTGGCAACATGTTTGGAATGTTGCCAGTTCCACATATCCACGAGGAAAATGCTTAAGGGATCAGGAGTTGAATAAGATTATGGCAGTGCCTTGTTTCATTGTTTGCAAAGGTGTTGTGGACATGCATCTTAACTCAAAACATGGATTAAGGTTGCCAACATAATATATATGACTTCTTTTTAGCGAAGCATTATTTTTGTGTTACTGATATTGAAGGTTTACAATGATCTCTGTAGAAAATCTTTTTTAGTTTTAGTCAAAAAGCCAAATGATCCCTAATCAATATTGCATTAAAAATTCAAAATAAGTATACATCTCTCACATTAGATTATCATAGACATGCACATGGTACTATCATGTAAGTTTCATTTCACACGGTAGCAAACAGAGTTATTGTATTTTTGTGCAGATCTTATAAAAACTTATAAAATAAATCAATCTGCTATAGAGAATATATTTTATGCTATTGCATTAGAACAATTACATCATGTATAATTTTATTGGCTTTAATTGGCTTGGATAAACTCTATTTCAAAGGAGACGATAAACCAAGTAATCATGGTTATAGAAATTGAAGATTTCGATATTGCATTTAAAGTTTGAAACTGGTGAATTTGGGATTATTTTTTCAGAATTTGCAAATGAAAGTTGTTAAAACAATATATAAAATTTAAGATTCACATATTTCCCATCAATATTTGTTAGAATCAACAAATCACACTCGAATATTTTTTGTTGATTTGAATCCATGTTCATTTACTTCATGTAGAAGTATGGGCGACCTTCAGGCAACCATTGAATTCTTGGTAGAATTGTATAAATTTTATAATGTGGACCTTTTTATCAGAGGGTAAGAGTAAATCAAAGTGGATAAATGTGGTTTTGTTGTACAACAGTCGTACAACAATCACTCTGAGATGTATTAAGAAATATAATTGCATTAGAATGGATTAATGTGATAAAATGTGTCTTTTTGCTTTAGTTTTTATCAATTCCGTCTTACCATTAAACCACCAAAATCAAGCCATGCAATGCAAGTAGAAATCTGCGAAGGCCATGGTATTGTTTTTAATTTCTTTTTCTTTCATGTAGAATGTAATAAGATAGTTTTCATCCAACTAAGTATCCCAAATTGAAAAAGTATAACTTTGAATAATTAGACATTTGAGGTTTTAAAGTAATTTGGCCATGATCTAATTAATTTTGTTTTTAGGAGAAAGGGGGACATTCAATCTGTTTCCAGCATTTGTCACAGAAGATGGTCAAACTGCTGTATCAAGGACTTTCAATATTTATTACAAAGATGAAGAAGTGCTTCTGAAAGATGTATTTCTTTTCAGAGTCCACTTGCTGGTTGATAGTACAAAGGTACATCCTGAATATATGCAAGCTGCACATATTTAAATCTAATGTTTTCTTGGCAAAAATTTTCAGTAGGTGTTAGACTGTTTTAATTTGCATTGTATATGTAATTTCTCAAATTATTATTTTCTAAAATTTCTCATAGGCAGCGGACTGTATTGACAAATCAGCTTTGGAAATGACAGTTGATGTCCATTTTACAGACCAGGTAGTTAGGTAAGTTCAGTTGAGATGATTTTTTCACATATATGCCTTTTTTGGGCGGTAAGCTAGAGCATTCCCTCTTTTCTTTCAGGGAGAACAACTATCGTCTACTACCTCAATTTGTTACATCAAGGACACTCAAATTTCACTTCTCTTGTTTTAATGGTTTACACCATCAGGTATTAAAACATTAGTGTTTGTGCTTACAGGAAATTGTAAATACAGAAAATTAAATGGCTACCTGCTTGGAAAAATTAAAAACTATAGATTGTATTTTAAATAAAAAATAAGTTTAGAAGCGCTGTGAATTATATAGATTTATCATCTTCAACATTAACAAAGATGAATCCAAATCTGTCAGATTAAGAGACTGCAGAGAACTATATCAGTATATGTCTTTTCATCAAATGTGGTATTACAACTGCCTAGCTGCTAAAAGTGAATTAATAATGGTAATAGAACGAATAGGAGTGCAATTAATGCCAAAATCATACGAGTGATTACAAAATCAACCGACCGCGCAGCGGGAGGTTGATTTGTTAAGCACGAGTATGATTTGGCATTAATTGCACGACTTAATTCGTTCTATTACTTATTAATTATCCATCTTCTGTAATAAAAAATTCTGGTCATTTTCTTCAGCAAATATATCATTTAAAAGGTCAAAATTTTCAAAATCATTGTCAAATTCCTCCATTTTTAAAAATTTTGCGCCCCAAAAGAAAACAAATTCTTATTTTGTATCCTGAATGCTGATTGGCTACTTGTAAAGCTATGCTGAATTTCATTGGCTGTGAACAAGAGTGCGATTACAGCTCACCAAGAGTGCGATTAATGATTAATCGCACTCCTGTAAACCAATCAAATTGAAGTATTTGACAGTGATTACAGAAGATGGATAATTAAAGGTTTAACTAAGGCTAAGCCTAAGGGCCTTTGTCATAAATTTTAGTTACAACTTACATGTTTTACGTCTGCTCCGTTTTTTCTTTTCTTCAGGTGCCATTGTTGTTTGACTATTATTACTTCTCTGTTCTTGATATGGTTGTTCATGCTAATGTTGTGTCTCTTAGTCTTCCAAACTGGAGGTTGGCAAATTTATTTTATGTAGTCTGTAGATTATATCTACAGTAAGTAGTGTTTTTCCTGGACCTTGCTCGGTACCATTCATCCACCCAACGTTTATCACTTATTCCCTATTATGAAAACCCCCCCTAAAATCGACCGTGTTTATTATCTAGTATTTTGAAACAAATAAAGACTGGATGGTTTGGAAAATCTAATACGGCTCAACGTTCATCCACGCCTCTCTTCTACTCTACTCTTTTTGGCAATCGTTTGCAACTTGGTTCTCAGGTGAGATAGACGTTTGCCGATTAATCAGGGAAGCATTCTTAAATTAAAGAGATATTAGATGTATTTCTAATAATCTTACGAACAAATAGATTTGGTATGTTTTTTGTTGTCATTTTTTGTTTGTTTTAAATAAACCTGGATCTCGCATTGCTGCATGATTGTCCAGCAGTCTAATTTTGGAAACATTGCTGTCATCTTGCTATTCCTCATTAAGGGCTCTGATTGGCTACGTGTGTCACTAAAAACAAAACTAGCCGCCAAAATCTCTATTCGAAAGGTGCACGACCCAGGTTTATTTAAATCTATAGTTCTCAGTTACTGCAGGGTTACGCTAATATGAATTCAATCGCAATAGGCGAGTTTAACTACATGTATCATGCAGCAAATGGTTGGAAGTTTATAATGGTGGAGGACGTTACTTTTATTATACGTAGTAATTTGCGGAAAATATTACACACAAAATTTTGAAACTTCCCTATCAACTAACATTGCGCAGTCATAACAACAGGATGTGAACCGGCATTTTCGCCATTTGCTGCCCCATACCACTTAGTGAGAACTCGCAAATGATATTCCTATTTCATTCTTATATTAAGTTTTCTTGTGTTTAGTTAAACACTGACGTGACACTTAGGTGTATTTGTATTCAGTTTTACAGCGATGTGTCACTAAGGTACGCTGTGACAAATTCCAGTTCCATCTCTAGAGAACATTTCGAAAGAGCATCTGCTATTCACAGGTTTGTTCACTAATATTAACCTGTATAAACCGGTAGATATACCATAACATTGATAATAGGTTGTATTTCACCTAAAATTTGTCACCTTTGTTGTCGACATCTTTATAGTATAGTATATATATATATATATATATATATATATATATATATATATATATATATACGCGTCTGATTACGAAAAAGCGCTCAACAGTCAACACCCCTTATGAACAACAATTCCGCCTAATCTTTGTTTTTTTTCTTAAGGAATCTTTGTGCTATTTTGGCTATGGCTCACTCGAAACTTCTGATGTATTTCGAAGAAATGATGCACTATCTTGACGAAAAGCAAAAAATTAAACTAGGTATACTTGATAAAAACAAGGATCGTACTAAGAATTGAATTTAGATATAGCCGCGAAAGCCTTCAAAGGCCTAAGGGTGTTTAAATTATCCTTTCTTCCATTCCATTTGTGAAATCAATAGATGACCTAAAAAGTCTCTTTCTCAATAGACAGGTAAACATACCAGTTTAAAAAATTTTTGATCTCCCAATTTTCAGGTGAAAAACTTGACCCTGCCGATTTGGTCGAAGGATTATGCAAGAAACTCGAGGTTTGTTTTTGCTATGAATGCGTTTTCGCTATATCTCTAATTGATATCTCGATATTTAACTTCCTTTCAAGACGTTACAATCTTGTGAAGAAGTGTTCGATGAAATGTGCAGTGACATGTCACTTCTTAACAATGAGGTATATAATAAAGTACACATGTAATCAACACTGTAATCGTGAGAAACTCTAATCTTTGCTAATATGCTAAATATCGTATCACGGCATGCAACCAGTTCAATTACTACTGGGGTGTAGGATAAGGCTGAAAATGCTTCATCTCTCCTGCGTTTTTAGTTAGCGTTGTTATGGTTGCAATTCCAAGAGTCATTCATATTAAACGATCAAATACGACCAGTGTTGAGGGAGCAGCATCACAACGAAAGGGTATGTGTAAAACATCATCTGCGAGCACATTCTGGTATGCAAAGGGTGGCGTGCATTTTTTTTCCGCTGGGTGAGGTGAAATAGAATTTCAGAGTATAATTTCAAAGATAGGATACCTTACTTCTCCTATCCAATTAACTTGACCAGGGTACTCCGTGTTCGAAATTCAATTTTTCAAAGATAATCCACTTTAGAAAAGCACTTGTTGTTCACAAACTGCGCTTGAAATTATTCTTTATTAGTACTCCGTGTTTGAAATTCCTTTTTTTTTAAGATGATGCACTTTAGTGAAGCATTTTTTGTTCACAAACTGCCTTGGAAAACATTGCTCAATGTCACTGACAGCAGGTATAATTTTAGTTTTTTTTCAAAGTTTTGTCATTCGTGAAATCTCTCAACAGTGCTCGCATATTCTCTTTCAGTTTTCAAAAGCATGTTAGCATGGGTCAGTGCGTGAAATCTTCTAAATATCTATCTATGATCCCTCCTGTGACAATCGAATGTGCCGAAGTAGATGGGGATCCTGCTAGTACGCCGATTTTCTTCGAAGATTGTTACGTCTACAAGACAGGTAAATTTGTTATTTCAGACTTAAAAAATGTGCAACCTTATAAGGATTTGTGCATAGTGAAGCTGTCTCAGCATCAAAATTTATCTTGCTATATCCGCTTCTTCACGAACTGGGCGCTGAAAGATTGAGTTGATTGATTTAATGATGAATTTAGGCGATGATGAATTGAACCCTGATAAATTGCGAATAATGAAATGACCAGTAACAAATTGATCGCTAATGATTAGATCACTTATTAATTAACCACTAAAGCTTCGAGTACCGCTTATACATAAATTAAGAACTAATGATCACTAAGAAATTAACCGCGAATTTAGCACTAATGAATTTAGCACTAATGAATTTAGCACTAATGAATATAGCACTAATGAATTAAGCACTAATTTTAATATGCTCATTCCATATCTAATCTTGTATAGATTTAGCACTAATGACTTTAGCACTAATTTTAATATGCTCTTTTCATATATATCTGGTATTTTATAATTTTGCCCCAATGTAATGATTTACCTCACTTTTACTCACTATTCTCTTACGGCAATATACCGAATCGTGGTGTAGCATACTGTACTGTACAGTACCGAATGCTGTATTGCACTAAAATGTACTGTACTTCAATGCATTGTTCTGTGCCATATTGTTGTTCCCCACAGTGGTACTCTGTACAACATTGTACTACACTGCACTGTATTACATTGCACTGCATTGTTCCGTGCTATTGTTCTCGACGGTATTACACTGTATAACATTGCACTGCACTGCACTGCGCTGTAATGTTCTGCGCTGTACAGTACGGTCACAGCAAAATTTGGCATGATTATATATTTAGGAAGTGCTGAAAATTTGTATGCTGCTCATGTTAATAGAGGTCAGTGTCTTTACTTGCTAGCTTACAACAATCACTCTTCGCATTCTCATCGTTGCATGCCAGTTTTTTTAACGTAGTGCTTGCCAAATTATGCCATACTGTTTGAAGTTGATTTGGTTTTATCTAAGTGGTATGCTTGCATCCATGGCCATGCAAAACAGTCCCTACCATTCTCGTCCTCCCATTACATTGGTCAAATAGAATCCACGTTTTGTGTATGGATCTCATGGCTCCTTTAGTTTCTGGTGATTATCTGTTTTTTTTGCTGACTTCTGCATTCCCTGAAACATTGTTTATTTTCAGAGGACGATGTACTCGAACATAAACCGTTGTCTTTTGGTATCCTAAACCAAGCTTTCAATGACCATTCACCGCAACTCGCTGAGAGTGTAAGCGATGCTGACCTTGATTCTAAAGATGTATGGGTGGATGTTAAAATGTCCAGTGAAAATAATGCTCCCACTGCAGGCGTAACCCACACGGATCAAGACTCTGCTACGGGTGAATGTAAGGTTGTTGAGAAGAACGATGAAGCCAATGAAGAGAACCAAACTGACGAATGCGTTCTTGAAGCTGACAAAACTATTTCTTCAAGCTCAGGGGAAGCGCTTGACACTAGTACTTTACAAACAAGTACAAGCCAAAATGATAATGGCACCATAAACTTAGAGGAAGGGATGATGCATAGCGAGAATACTGCATACTCCGAGGAAACAAGTAATACTAACAGTCCAAAAACGTTGTTGCAACATAGCATTAAACATTTTGAAGACAATATGGAGGAAACACAACAAGGGACGGCTAATTCACAGGATACATGTACCTCTTGTGATACCACATTGGAGAGCGAGATTAGGGATGTTGGGGATATTGTTGCAGTCATCGATACAACGGCTGAGAATCAAGCTTCGATGTCGAATATTCAAGCCTCTGGCGTTCCCACTGAGGAGGCATTGAAAGAAAGCGATGGTAAATCTTATCTTTTCAGTTTGAATGAGGAAGTTAAAAAGAAAGATATTTCTGTAGTTAACGAGAGAAATAAAATGAATGACAATTTTTGTGATTACGAAGGCTTATCTCTATATCCCGCCACAAATGACTCAACGAACAAGAGTGATATCTCTGAAACAGAGAGGTCTAGTTGTTCATTACCAAATGACAATACTACAGCGAATGGTGGACATTTAAACACGGTTGAAGATAGTCGTTCTCTGAAAAAGGAGGGACTCGTTGCAGGTATTGAAGAACCAACTATAAATTCTAACCTTGCTGATGAGGCAAACCATGTCGTTGATCGACCGTCTACTGTAGAAAAGACTAGCAAAGTCCAGTATATCGGATCAAGCGATTCTTCTATGGAGAAGTGTAATAAGATAGTTTCAGGTATCAGAGACGGATCCAATTCAGGAGCTAGTTTTGAAATGGAAAAACCTGGAAGCTCTAACTTGAAGCAATTAACCCCTGTAACCGAACAGGACGCAGGCGTTAAACTTGCCCAACCACGGTCTGTTACTGGACAAGAAATTAGATCGAAATTAGGACAGCAAGTTCCTGGAGAAGACATTGGTTCTAATTCTGAATTATCCGAGAAAGTACCAGATGCTTCTGCAGAAAATGACAATGAAAGTGTTAATAATAGGCTATGCAATACTCCTGATGAAACGACCTCTCTTATTCAAAGCCAAGAAGGATTTCATTCTGAAGGGGCTGTCGAAAAACCTGAATTTTACGACGCAAACAGATCACCCTTTGAAATATCCTCGGGTTCAAGTGTCACTAAAACCTGTAGCGATAGCACAGATGGCAGTGCTGAGAAGAACGCTTCTGCTCGTAATACTGCGGCAGTGAATTCAAAAAAATTAAGCAATTCTGTATTCTACGATGATTGTAACAAACGAGACAGTTGCAGCAATGAAGCGTTAGGTAACGAGCTAGTCTCGAATTCTCAGTTAAATACAGTCAGGTTATCCTCTAATACATCGGCTAACAGCATCAGTTGTTTTTGTGGCGGAAATATCAAGAAGACGTCATCTCCATACAAACCGGCCAGTGAAAGTGACTCATCAAATCTCTTGTAAGTACTCAACGAATATTTCTGAGTCAGTGAACTCTAAGGAAACTGGAATGAGAACTTGGCTCTCCCCTATCATTGCCTGAAACCACTGCCTGAAACTGACTTACAATGCCAGTGTCTTTTTATTGTTTTCAGCTAGTCTACTGTTTTCCATTTTCTTTTTACGTTTTAATTCGACGTAATTCCATCTTCTTTTTACTTTCTGACTTGAACAATAGCATGATTATTCTTGCCATGATACCTTGCCAGAGCAAATAATGAAAAATAATTAATGCCAGGTTTCATTCCAAGCCAGGACAAAAATTAAGACGTCTAAAACCCACCAATTGCCTCATCGTTTAGGTTGCAGAAGGCCAGACAGGATGTTATGTCGCGAATGAATTATTGCGGAACAGTGTACAGGTAAACATAACAGCAAACTTTCAGACCTACTGGTTAACATCCAATGTCTTCATTGAAGAAAATTTTGTATTGTTTCAGCGATTCTACCACGAATTTCTTTGTGAACCCGTACTTTATAAATCCCAAACCAGACTTATCCATGGAACCTGTGCACTTCGTTGTATGTGTACATGGTTTAGACGGTAAGTTTACTAATCGTTGCTAATGAATGTTTACACCTAGGTCTATCAGCTTCACTTTGTTGTTTGAACAAGCCTTGTACTGAAACTAGGATTTTCCTCTAAGATTTCTTGTGTTTTTATTCCAGGTAACAGCGGCGACCTACGTTTGCTAAGATGCTTTCTTGAGATGGCTTTACCTTCGACAAAGTTCGAGTTCCTCATGTCTGAAGTCAACCAAGTACGTCTGGCAAAATTGTGGTGTTCAATTAGAATTTCGAGAGACAGTGTACATAGTTTACTAAATTTATTTTCACTAACAGGAGAATACATTTGGAACGTTTGAAAAGCTCACTGATAAACTGGTTTCTGAGATCTTGCATCATATGGAGGCCTACCGAATCAGCCCATCACGATTGAGGTTAGTTTCTCAGCAAATCTAATCCCTGTGACGTTTAGCACACACCCAAAAGAATTCAGAGTTTAAACTTAACATGGTAGATATCCAATCCTATTGAAAAATCACCCTCTTTTTATCCTTATTTTTCTTGTAGTTTCATTGGTCATTCTATGGGTAATATAATAATCAGAGCAGCGTTGAATCATCCTCAGATGGAACCTTACATTGAACTCTTTCATACTTTTCTCTCCTTATCTGGTCCTCATCTTGGCATGGTCCACCATACTAGTTCTCTGGTTAGCACTGGTAAGCTAAGCCAAATTTATGCAATTTATAAGACGATTATTTATAAAATGATTTTACCATTACAGGAATGTGGTTGTTGCAAAAGTGGAAAAAATCTGAGTCCTTACTGCAGCTTTCTTTGAACGACTCCACAGATATGAGGGATACGTATATTTATAAGCTGAGCAAAAAGAAAGGTAGTCCGAAGTCCCAAACCAGCAGACAATTTTTAAGTATACAAACAAAAATTTTACAATTCGTACAGTGTCCTGTAGAATTAACATATATTTTCATCAGGTTTAGAATATTTCACCAATGTTCTGCTCGTGAGCTCTGTACAAGATCACTACGTGCCATTTCATTCCTCCAGAATCGAATTGCCCAAATCATTGCGTACCAATTCGCAAGAATGTAGGTGGACGTTCGTTTGACTAGGTTTTGATATAAACGTGGGTTTTCCTTCTTCACTTTTCTATAGGAGAACGTAATTCAGGTAATCTTGTATTTTTCTGCACTTTTTCTTTCCAGACACCGTTTATCGTGAAATGATGGAAAATCTGCTAACACCATTACTAAATCAGCCTAACCGAAGCCTTGTTCGTTACAGTGTGTATCACTGTCTACCTTCATCGACTAACACCTTCATTGGTCGTGCAGCACACATCGCAATGTTGGACTCCGAGTTGTTCATAGAAAAACTCATCTGTACATCTGCGGCCAAGTACTTCCAATGATTTATGCTATAATTTAAAAATGGTTTCCAAAACCTCAACAATAGACGCAATCACAAAATAAATATTTTAACTTTTTCTTTCTGCTTTGACAAAATTCGAACACGCATAAAATTGAGATGCTTTCTATACTACCAGTACGTATTTATGACATTTGTTCAATTGTACAATAGAAATATCGTATGCTATTAATAACTTGCTCTGAAATACATCCCAGTGCATTAAAATGCGAGACAAGGGAAACATTGATTTCTTAGCCTTAAGGCTCATATATCGGGGACGCTTGAATGATGCTGGGGCTAAGGGGGGGATTGATCGTCGACAATGGACTTTTGCATAATAGACAAACTTACAATGTAGGTGACAAGGAGGAAATAAATCACCACAGCTAAAAAGAGCATACCAAAATTAGTATAATTGCCAAGTTTGGCTGCAAAATGAGAAGTAGTACCGAAAATATGGCCATGCGAAGTTGGCAAATTTGTATACTTTTTTACTACGAGCGTAGTAAAAAAGTATACAAAATTGCAAAATACGCATGGCTATATTCTCTGCACTTTACAATATTTTGCACCCAACTGACTTGGCAATTTGACTAATTTTGTTGCCTAAATCAAAAGTTGGACTAACTCCCCTGACGAAGGCTCTCAGGTCGAAACGTCAAGAAGTGTTTTGTCTATTTTAGGCAGTTGTTATGTGTCATTTGATGCTAAGTTATTATGCGAAAGGTCCATTGATGGTAGAATATCGCAACTGTTAGGCTCTAGAATTTCTGAGCATGTACTTTGAACTTTATCTAGATTTTGGGAGTAGCATACTAAGAGTATTACTTTTTTGTCATTTGATGCTAAGTTATTATGCAAAAGTCCATTGATGGTAGAATATCGCAACTGTTTGGCTCTAGAATTTCTGAGCATGTACTTTGAACTTTATCTAGATTTTGGGAGTAGCATACTAAGAGTATTACTTTTTTTGTACTTAGATATATAGTTTATTTATATATTGGCAATAAAATGATTCAGCGATGGTTGATCATAGTTCTATATAGACTACAGTGAAATTTTTGTAGTTCTTGTTGCATGCGGCGGCGGTGAGAACACAATAATTATATAAAATATTAATTCGCGGATATCAGGTGATGATAAATAATTTCAAAAATAAATTTACGTGGTCTATCCTTAAATTGATGTTGATTTTACAAAATACTTTTTCTCGCGTCGTCTTGCATATACTGTCACTGAAGTTGTGCTTGTTGTTGATGTAACATTATAGTTTTGGTTGATGGGCCATGTTCTCTAAAGCCTTGCGTTGTGCCCTCATGCAGAATCGAGTATTAGAAGTCAACAAAAGTACGCCCTCTAACATCCTACGCTCCTATAAAATGATCGCGATCACCTGTCTTATAATAATAAAAAACTCGCATGCCTTTTTTCTCCTATTTTTTTCCCTGCAATCACCAGAAAGGGTATGCGTGTAATGATATTAAGAATCTCTCGTTCTACCACATAAATATTTAAGTTCAACTTGTTGACTATCTCTCGATCTAAACTATTCTTTTTGTCTGGAAACAAATTTAGTTGACGACACAAATATTTAAATCTGTGATTTAAACTTATCCCTCCTCAATTTGCATAGTACGCCTCCAAAGTCGCATTTGAATTATAACAGCATCTAAAACGCATTTTAGATTGTTTAGAAAACGATATTTTCATCGCTTTCGCTTTTCATGATCAAACCTGATCGAAATTTCGCAAAAAGCTGACGCATTTTAGCAAAATCGTTTGAAAAGTTAAAAAAATTTAAATTCATACATTTTATGCAAATTTGGTTGTTCGCAAGAACCCCGGCAGCTGTCATTCGGTCCACTGATTGGCTAAAGCTTTGCTACTTTCTAGTCCCAAAGGAAAGACAACACAAATATTGAAAGCTGGATTCAGCGCTGTTATGGCCATGTTTGGGTGAAAAAATAACGGGGAAATGTCATTAGCAGTTGTCCTTAGAAGTTGTGTTAACCTAAGGGGGAAATGCGACCGCTTGGCACGGATAACGTTTCGGGGTAAGTGGTATTTTAGAGCTATAAATGTTGATCCGACTGATCGGACGAAGAATTTGCGACATCAAATGTCGCAATTTTCAACTCGAAATTTTCGCGCTTCTTTTCTGCGATATTCGCGAATCTCCGGAAGTTTTAGGTTACCCTTAGACTATACTTAACCGATATTAACTGGCTGACAAATATTAAGTATTCGTCTTCGAAATTTTCCTTTGAATTCGAGCTTTCTGCTTCATTTGTTATGTTTTATGGCTGAATATTTTATACTAATATGCTGACAACTTTTGTTGCAATTAGAACATATTATGTCACAATATTTTAAGGCTATTCGAAGGCTCTAGGATTGCCTAAAGCATTTTCCAAACCTTCTACTCTGGGAAACGATAAAGAGGAATTTCATACAGCAAGTCAGCAACTAGATGTCCCGATGGATAATGTAATTAAATTTTGATAAATCTTTTGAGAACTAAATATACAAACCCCTTTTGCGTCATGGCAAGAACGACGATATGAAAAATCGTGCAAATAAAGCAATCAAGGTATAAATAGTGTACTACAGTACCACACTTGCAAACAAGGTTGATTTGACTGACGAAGGTTTCATACAAATGTATTAAATTTAAAGTTTACTAAATTGTTGATTTGACGTTGATAGATGCAAACATGTCTACATGAATCCCTATTCAAATAATAAGAGTATTTCAATTCATACGTCAATGACCTATAAAGCCAGGCCACTTATGATTCTCTCTATCTATTTCTTTATTTGTACTTCATCTTGCCTGAATTTTGGCAATGACAAATCAACAACCTGAACATGTTTCATCCCATTATATTGTGTATATCCGGCTAATTTTACAGTAATAAAAATGCAGTAAAATATTGATCAAGCAAAAATAACATTATCCATTTTACTGCACTATTTCAAATTTTGCTAAGATCCAACTTTATTGTTTATTGTCTTCCTCGGACAATTGTACCTCATTAAATGTTGTAATATTTGTTAAGCAGGAAAAAATGTAACCACCCGTGAGTGCTTTTTAGTAGTATTAGCCTATAATAAATTTAAATGTTTCAATATAACCAAGTGACAATTGTCTTCAAATAATTTTGCATCAAATGTATGCTATATTGACAATTGCCTAAAATATTAAAAAATAACTTCTTGTTGTTTCGACCAAATTAAGGACCTTCAGGTCAAAGCATCAAGAAGCTTTTTCTATTTTAGGCAGTTTTTTACCACAAATTGATTTGGGTATAAAGTAATTTTTCTGCTTTTTAGGAGTAACATATCAATCCAGTATATATGAAAATTGTTCAGAAGCTGAGTGGGATGAGGTAATGCATGAAGTACCTTACCTTGCCAAATGACATCACAAGTTGTTGATGTAGATTTATTGCTTCTTAATTTTGTTTTCCAGGAATATGAATGGCCCCTTGCTAGTCCTTTGGACCCAAGTGAATTTATCGAGGTTGAAGTATTTAACTTCAACAAAATCTTTAATAACAGGTAATGTATAAATTCCTATAAAAATGTTTTTAATTCCATATTATTTTATATTGTGTTCATATTTATGTTTCATACCTTTGTTCCAGATTGGTTGGTGTGTTTCGCATGGTGTTGCAAAAATTGATACAGGATGGCAGTTTGGAAATACAAGAAAGCTTAGTTGACTCCAATAACACTGTTTTGAAGGTAGAGTGAAAGCACTTATGTGCTTAATAAGTACTTGCACTGAACAAGCGATAATACATTAGCAATAAACAATTTGTGTTTACAAAGAACTATATGGTGTTTTCAGGCTCAAGTAATATTAGAACTCCAGTACCACCCACCAGATGGTAATGCAGACACAGGGTGGGACAGTGGAATACTACCAGCACCTGTACCTATATCTGGGGAACCCATTGAACAACCATATCAGCCATTGATCATAGATCATGCTGATGGGACTATGTCTGAAAGAAGCTTTAGCACAACAAGAGGGGGATCCATGACTGATGCAGAGCGTAGACAGTCACACATGTACATGGAGATGTCAAACCGTCCAGCTGGTCGACCCCCAAGCATGCCCAACATACCAATGCATTTCAAAAATGGTGGTATCACCCAGGATGCTGACTCCAGGTGAGCTAAAAATTACTCCAGTTACAGTGCAGTTGCAGCCAGTGGCAGATTCGGGATAAGTCAAAATAAATTACTACAGCTCCAATTTACAATCATATTGGTAGATTTTTATATAAAAAAGAAATTCTAGAAATAAAAAACCCAATAGCGTTGTTATTATAAAGGTATTTTGACGTTGAAATTTAGCCATGTAACTCATTCTGACTTACCCTGAATCCACCAATGCCAATGGTTGCATAGGAATTGTTATTATTCATAACGTAAATGTTGTCCGTTTGCAATTAAAAATTGTTAGAAAGAAGGCAGGAACAATTTACGTTAGCGAGATGTGGCTTATATTAAAGATAAACACGTCCCAGGACTCGATTGGGACTCGAGTCGTACGTCCATGTTTAACATTATTATAAGCTACAATTCACCGATTTCAAATATTCTTGCTTTCTTTATAACGATTTTCATTACAAATTGGCAATGTTTACTTTATAATAACAATTGTTATAATATTAGAAGAAGAGTTCACAACATTTAATCGGCCGCCTATGATTGTTGAAGCAGCAACTGACAAAAGATATTTATGTATGTCTTATTGAAAATAGTGTACAGAGTACTACAGTGAACAAAAATATATTTGAAAAGAAATTTTAAAATAAATACAGTACATAATCCAGTTATAATAAGAATAATGTTTAAAAGAGGAAAAAAAAGCGAAAGCTAACAAAAAAAGCTTTAAATAATAACCAAAATATACTGACCTTTTCATAGATATGAATTTCAAAGGATATGTTTTCGACTTTCTTGCGCTTTTCATCGGTATTTTTTCCTCGATTCTTTCAATGATTATGGTTTGAAGGAGTGAATTTAATCGTTCAAATTCTCGTTACCACTTTATACTGCATTGCCGTATCGTTTGTTTTGTATTAAGTGAACAAAACCAGCACAAAAAGTCAGTTGAAACGGTTAAATACGAACGGCCGAAAAGCCCAAACACAGCCCAAACGTCCATCGCCATGTGACTAAAGAGCGCGAACACTGAGCTCTATATAAGACGAAACACTGAAACTGAAACAAACTTACCAGGTTCCAGGGCATGCTGGGCATGCTCGGAAACCAAACACTGTTTGAAATGAAGCCTAAGTTTACCAAAAGAGGCCAAGCTACAACTTTTTTTCGGAATACTTCAAAGTCAAGCCGAATTAATATTTTTTAGAAAACGTCAAAATGATTGTAGTTTTTGGAACAGAAATTTTCAGTAACATTTGACTATAGCCAATATTGTCTCGAGAAATAATGAAAGTGTAAACATATCTTTAAAAAGCACTTACTACGTTATAACTTGTCGACAAGCGGTGTTGGCAAAGGTGTGCGAATGTTTCTGAGAATCTGAGGCATGACCAGTAGAGTTCGTATCGATTTTTTGACATGACGCGTAAACCTAGCGTTAACGGCCGAGTAATGTAAAGTGTTGTCCGTCTTTATATAGCAATTTAGGGAGCAGAAAGGAGTCGCTACCAAGCATTAATCAAAACTTGAGCGTCGGTAACACGGAAATTTCTGTCGTGGGACCGTTTGATAAAATGTGGAAGCAAGAAGCTGGAAGTCGTCGAGAATCCTTCAATGTTAGCGAAGTCAAAGGGTAAGAAGTGTCCGTATACATGTAGTCATGCGAATATAAAGTTATCAAAGAGAGTTGGTATATAGGGCCCTGCGCGAGGTATACAAACCATTATACAGGTTATTATAACCCTACAATGAAGGATAAATTCGCAGATAAATTTACTGAAGAGAAATGTAAACTGGGTATGTTAATATTTCAAAGTGTGGAAACGAAAATCTTTACTTTTTGATTTGGAAGATACTAGGCTAGGAAACTATAGAGAAGATTTTTCAGGAGCTTGAGGTCTGCGTTGTCATTGCGCCATGCTCCAGTATATATAAATTGTATACCGCATATATCGTACTTAAGCTCAAAGAATACCAGATAACAGTTTAGTAATCTTTCCCTTTAACATTCTCATCTTATATTTAGTCACAGTCATCCTCGAGTGAGGGAGAGAAAGAAGGAGTCTGTGAAAGAACAGGATTATCAGGTTCAAGTGCGCGTGTTGGAGTGCCGTCAGCTTGCTGGAACACAACTGGATCCGGTGTGCACGGTGACCGTGGGAAACCAGAAAAAACACACTCCTGTGAAAGAACAGACAAATTGCCCATATTGGGATGAGGTACGTACCCTGACGAGTAATTCCCGGCACATTCATGTAACACTTAGTTAGCATTACATATATTAAAACCGTTTGTATGCGAGCTAATTCTGAGCTAATTCTTTGTCTTTCTAGTTCTTCGTGTTTGATTTTAAAATGCCATCGTCCGTATTGTTTGACAAGATTATCAACCTACAGGTATAGTACACCGTAGTTAATAATAGCCGCGTTTTTAAAATATTTAAATAGATAAGTGGCAACGAAAAAAAAGGATACCTTTATTCTACATACGCAAGCTTAAATCCCGATTGAGACAACGGATTTTCGTTAGTTTTTGTCACTGTCGGATTGATTTGTATTTGAAGTATGTGGGTTGTGTTATGCAGTGTTAACGCACCATTTAAATTGTATATTTAGGTCTTTACAGGACGAAATCTTGTGTCTCAAGGATCGTTGATCGGATCATTCAAGGTACTACACATTCAAATTTCTTTTTTAACCATTTCTTGGCCATTTTTTATACTCAAAAGGCTAAAAGCATGTAATATTAGCATGCAATGAGAGGTCGTGAAGTGGAAGAAATGCTTTGTTGAACGTCGCATGCCAGATTCATCGGGAAGGTATTTTCTCCGCATGCAAAATTCAATAGTTTTCTGTCCGTTTTTAGTTGGATGTGGGAACAGTCTACGCGCAGGTGGATCATAGATTTTGTCGTCGTTGGGCCGTGTTGACAGACCCCGAGGAAACTCTGGGCGCATCCGGGGCTGGAGTGAAGGTACTGCACCATAACTAATATAATTAACTGATCTATTATAAAACGAGGGATATGCTGGATGTGAATGGATCATTCTCTCTCATTAAATTGAAACAAATTAATAAAATGTATGTAAACAACGTAGGATCATCTCATACGGAAAGACTGTGATGCTAAGAATGTTATGTCATTTTTATAGGGTTATCTTAAAGTTGATATAACAGTACTTGGTAAAGGCGATCCTATCAAGGTAATCCCAGTCCACAGATGCCTCATATACGAAGGTGTAGAAAATCTTTGGATGTATATCTTAGAATTCTCCGCGAGTTTAAACTTCCGTCGTTCCTGTTTTTTAGGAAGCGCCTGCGATTAAGGATAATTGATGAGATATTGAAGGGTTAGTTTTCTTTCTTTCAAAGAAAATACCAACAGAGTAGTTTTATGAAAGAATAATTTTACTCTTTACTGTCTTCACACGCCACAGAGCAACTGTGCTTTTTAAACGTATCACTATATCACCCTCACTATAAACGGAAACTGCCTTTATTTAGAAACTTGTTGCTGCCTGAAGGCGTTCCTGCTGAAAGACCCAAAGCTCAAATTGTTGTCAAGATCTACAGGGCGGAAGGATTACCAAAAAGTATGACTACTCTTTGTATTATGAATCAGTCGCAGATAAACATTCTTAGATCACTGTATATAGTCAGTCAAAGGTTTTTTACAGTTGCACTGTTCGGTTACACTTGCCAACTGTTTCCCTCTAAAGCTTGATCCGCTATATTCCTGTTTTCATTTATAGTGAATTCGGGCTTGATGGCGAACGTTAAGAAAGCTTTCACAGGCGAGGTAGGTTGGACAGGATTATATCGAGTATAGGCGTACGAGGTAAGGTTTGAGAGGGACCCCCAGACTGAGCAGAATTTGTGATAAGTAAGGTAATTAGTACTAAAAATTTCGGTATTTTTTGCTGAGATAATTTTAGGCCTGTACGCATATGAGGGGTGATGTTATTGTATGATTGACTCGCTCACTCGCCTGTTAGTTGAGATTTAAAAAAATTTCCCCTATTTATATCCGTTAAGCTTTAAACGCCTGCCCCACCATCCGTATTGATCAGTATAAATTTGTTTCATTTCTGACAATTCGATAATCGTCTTCTGTGTCAACCACATTAACTTTTCATTTTATATAAACAAACACCTCATCATATGACACAATGATTCAATTTCCCATCGACTATATGTATATAACCGTAACTAAATTTAAACAACTAATATTTCTAAATTTTAAAATTATTATAATCATAACCGCCATCATTTAAGCGCTAATCTAAATATTTTGTTTTATGCTCCGTTGAATTGAAATCGGGATGTCTTTAAACAATAGATGGTAATGTGTAACTAAAATTTAAATTATCGTATTAAAAAGCCAATATCTAAACGTTATCGATTAAATGCAGTTTAAACTTAAAAAAATTAAATAAATATATAAAATAAATTAAAATAAACATAAAAAGTATGCACTAAAAAGATATATTATAACTGTTATATTATAAACTGTTAAAATTATTAACTTTACCTAATTATTCTTTATATTTAACGGTCCAATTTAATTCTCACCATGCACGTGATGTGCTTTCCGTGGTCATTTGTATCTTCACACAGAAACAGATGAGAAAATACAGCACTCTGCACTTGCATCGTTTCTATTATTCTAAATAATCGAAACAACGTAATGTTTTTTATGAATGTAGGTGCGAGATCTGGCCGACCCATACGTTGAAGTTTCTTTTGCTGGTCACAAAGTGAGTTGGATACACGTTTGTGTTGTTTTATTAAAATATGCTTTTTTCCATCCAGGAAACAGGAAACTTAGGCACTACTTCGTAAAATATAACCTGGTGATTTTGTCAAACTTTGCAATTTACCTCGATGATATTTTGATTTAGCAAAGGACGTCGGTGAAGAAGCACACATATGAGCCGGCCTGGAACGAACAAGTTGTGTTTGCAGAATTGGTGAGTTGCCATAAATTTGGCTTCGATTGGATGTCTTAATTGGTTACAATAGTAGAATTTAAAATATTTTGCGTTTTTTTTGTTTAGTTTCCACCTCTTTGTCGACGGATAAGAGTTCAACTAAAAGACAGGTAAAGTGTGTAGAATATAGAAAGTAATCAATACAGTCATGAATTGATCGTGGTTTAAAAGGTCATTCACACTAAATCTACCTTTGTGACTGAACAAGACCATCAGGCATCAGCTTCCTGTTGAAATCTCTCCCAAATGCATCCGCAATTTATGCTAATATCTTATAGTGATTCAGTGTCCGATGAGGTAATCGGAACACACTTCATCGATCTTTCTGCCATATCAAATGATGGTGCAAACGGTAAGCTTTGCTCAACCTGTTATTTATTCAACCTCAACGAATGTCATATTACGTATATCCCTTACGGTACTGCACAGTAAAAGCCCCACGAAATTTGGGACACGAGAGAAGTTGAAACGCCCAAAATACAATATCAAATGCACGAAAGACAATTTCAAACACATTCTGTGCAGTACTGTACTTACCATACAAATGTTCAGTATAAAACAACGCCAGTTGCCATGAAAACTTGTACGGGAGAATTACTCACCATCACAAAAATTTTTTAACCATTCATCACAAAACCCTACAAATAAAGTGTGAAACACGTTAAATTGACGATAACTCGATCGAAATCATTAAAATTACCTTGTTTGAAACGAGACCACTGATACATCTCTTTAAAACAGTAACATTTCAAACATTAACAATATTCAATAACTATTACTAACGTGAATTCGTGAAACTAAACAAACGTAAAGATTTTGATATCAACAAAAACTAACTTGCACCCAATCGTTATTCATAAACTTGCACATGACTATAACTTCAAGATAAACGTTACTTACTGTAACTTACATGATGCGACACTGGTCAAGACAACGTTATTTTGTGTCGTAATTGTCAACCAAGGTTAAACCACGTGAATCATTTCAACTCGAAACTATTAACTATGTTGATGTTGCTATAAAAATCAGACGTTGATGTGTACTCAATTCACAGGGAACCATAGGTTTCCACTTACGACTGCTGTTTGTTTCAACAACGATCTCTGCTAAACCTCTAACGATGCTCAATAGCCTGATCTGTTCTTGTTGCGTGTCAACTTTCTCCGTCTTTCACTCCATTTCTTTATTCTTTATAAATCGTTTTCTTTACTTGGTTTTTTTCATAAAAATCCATCTCCTTTGCAACTCCCCACTTCATTATTCGTTTATATACAGAACTTTGGATCGAAGATATTGATTTTTCTCTCTCTGAATATGGCCATACATTTTGTCATGAGGGTTCTTGATCCGAGACTGAATCGCAGAATCGAATCTAGATCGAAACAACTTTCGAAGATCTTCCATCATGCATACATGCATGGGCTTGCATAGAATCTGGATGCAAATGTTTCAGAGATCACTACTTTCTTCTTTAGTCTTCTCGGTCTCAAAATCCTTAATGAACCCTTGCTTCTTTGCCAGGAAGAATTTTATTCCAGGTTTCGTCTTCTTCCTAACACATAATTGCCTGCACCTTTGCACCATAATATTGTACAGATAGATATATAGGGCTATTGTAATCCGCACTGTTATTTTGCACATTTCAGCACTGTCAATAATTTGCACCATTAACCAAACTAGGACTATCAGGATGTATCAACGGAGGGGTTTATAAGTGTTTTCGTAACTTATAATAGGCCAGATGAAGCTAATTGCTTCTTTCAATACGCCTATCAATCTATCACTGAATGCTTTAATTTATTTTTGCTTCGTAGTTTATATCTGGGAGTTTAGGATGTATATATTTATATATGTATTGCGGATATTTTCTCGAGTAGGATGGAATGGCGACCTTTATCGTACTGGGTCTACAGCAAAATCAAACAAGAAGAGGAAGGGTTTGTAATTTGCACCTTGCACTTATATTGTGAGAGATATTAATTTACGTACATTCTCTTTTAACCATCATTTTCTTAATGCACTTACTCTAAGATATGCGACATTCAGTTTCTCTGTTCTTTCTCCGGATTGGTACATTTAACATCTTTGCTGGAAACTTTTACCTTGATCAAACGATAATACCTAGTTAACGCTCGTTAAAATAGCCTATATCTCTTAACTCATAATCATAAATGCACATAAGACCGCTGGTGGATAGAAAGGCCTGGGTCAACCGCAGCCAGATTATTTACCATAATATAACTTAATATTTTTTTGTAAGAGCATGCATTTTAACCGATGCCAAAGATTCTAAGTCGCATGCGTATACAACAGTCGAGGTTGCACTGTTAAAATATATTAACATAAGTATTTAAATTACTAATCACCTCAACTTTAAAATAGAAGTTTTCTTTGACATTTCTTAAATCACCGTCTTAAAGCAATAACCTTCATCTCATTGGTAACTTTGGCTTAGCAAATTAACCATCAAACACTCTGATGCATTCGCAAACACCTTCGTTGGATTTTGATTGCACACTCCGTTTGTTGTTTTATATTTTTGTTCTGTGTACTGATTGTGATTTTCTATTTTCTCTTATTTCTGCTCACGCAACATTACTGGATACTGTGTTATATACATCACGTGTACATCACATGCATAACTTACAGCTGATCGCTCATCATCAGCTGATGTTGGTAATTATCATGTATACTATATATTTGTATTATGACTAACTATATGTTAACTAACGTACTGTCACTAACGTTGGCAAGAAAAGCAAAACAATTGTTAAAGTAATCATCACCATCATAACAATCGTCATTTAACGATCTCCTATAACCATCATCGATCACAATCGTGATCATCCGCAAATCGTCAGTACCATTATCATCACCATTATCCCGTCCGAAGTCGATTAGAAACTGTGAATTTGTGCTAGCCAGGATTTCAGGTGGTGAAGACTTTAATTTATATTTGATTTTGCCAGATTTATTTAGATACACATTGAATTGTAAATTTCTGAAATTGGGAGATTATTTTAGTGCATGAGAATTAAGGATCAACGTTCGCTTTTTCACAACACTCCGCTAATCGACTTCGGCCATGCAATCGTAGTGTAGATGACAATATTATTCATGTTTATGCTTGATTTAATGCTCTGTTGGTTACTGATGCTCCTTGGCAATGTGTGGGTATGAAATATGAGCAGTTTTCCGTTTTGCCTACGAAACCGGTAAATATTTAATCTTTTAATCATTATAAAGCTAAACGATAAATCTATAGCTAACTATAATAATATAAAAATATATGATTAAATAGTTATATATGAGATAAAGTAACTAAATAGTTAATAATCAACTACATTAGTCTATAGACTATATAGAGTCTATTAGTCTATAGACTATATATAGAAAAAACTTAAAATAAAATAACATAAAATGAAATAACATTAAATTGGGATTAGTATAGTATATATACTAACTTATCAAAAAACAACATCAGTTAAGATTAAATTAGAAGTCTGTTTACAGCTAAATTTGAAAACAATAATATTTTTATAATAACAAAAATTTTACAACAGTGTAGTGATAAAAAACTCAACTATATAGGAATTATAAATTTTATCTTAATCAATCATATATATATTCTAGTACCTAAAACGCCTTTTCGGCGTTGTTAAACGATGCATGATTAGTACAAATTAAAATATACCCTAATTAAAAACTTTAAAGAACATAAATTAAAGTATTCAATGAAATTGAACCAAAGGCAAATTCAATTGGAAAACTACCTCGTGGAAATCTTCATACAGAGATCTCTATTTCATCATCACCATTTCGTTCGGAAGCCAGATATACCCTCCCATATTTGTGACCATGTATTTCTCATACGCGATAATATCGTTGTTTAGGTTTTATGCCCACGTTCGGCCCTTGCTGGGTGAATCTTTACGGCTCGACAAGAGATTACTCTCTCTTCGATGAACATAACGATTTGAACAACGGCTTGGTAAGTGATGCATTTTCTTATGCTACACAGAAGAAAGGTGATGGCATGCCGAAATTATGTATTGAACGTTTCTCATATCGAAAATACGTGCTGTTGTATTTATCCAGGGTGAAGGCGTCTCCTACCGAGGTCGCCTTCTTATGGCCGTCCAAGCGGAAACTGGTGAATCCGCGTCGGACTCGGGAATAAAACAAGTTGAGGTGGAAGCTGCCGCACCCATCTCAGAGGTTAGCATACAAAGAATCACGATTCTATTATCTACATGCATGCAGCCATGATAATTACTGTAAATAACTTATCATCTTGCGTGATAAGTTATTATCTTCTCTTTCGCTGCATATCGTACGAGGCTATAAATCTTCTCTACTTGCATCTATATATATATAGGTTACCGTATTCATTTCGGCTGTTCTGATCTTATGCGAATTGTATGCATTTATAGACTGCCGCAGGAAAAGAGGAACAATTTCAATTGTTCGCTTGCCTCTACGAGGCCTCGATGATTGATCGTAAAGTTGGCGACAAAAACATTCAATTTGAGATGACGATTGGTGAGTCTGAAAACCATGCAGGAATGATGCCTTGCCTTTGTATATAGGAAGAGCTGTGCAAAGACGTGCTTTAAAATCGCTGTATCGTCACCTATGTTTTGACATTTATATTTACCGTTTTCATCTCAGGTAACAACGGTAATCAGTTGGACAGAACGGATGAGAAGGTTGCCAAAGAATTGGAAGAAAATCCATTTCTTAATTCCCTCACGCCTCCCGTGCGTCCTGTCACGAACAATCGCCAATACTATCACATTCCCTGGGACGATTTCAAACCCTGTCTTCATATCAAATTTCCATGGCAGGACCACAGACGTCGCTTGTACAATGCTAACATCATCTACAAAATTTGTGAACGATTTGTAAGTATCGCATGCAACACTCAGAAGCAGGATTTCCTGACTGACGTAGTAATGTGCACGTAATCACATGTGAATTTTATGACTATAGGAAGATGGCTTGGTTGACATCTTGGAAAGAGTTAAAATGGATCTTCCTGATACCTACAAATGGCTGAACAGGGTTCTTGGAGAACTTGTAAATGGCTGCACGTAAGTTGAGACTAATATTTTAAGCGATGCTGGCTAGAGTAATGGCGCAGTCGTATAGATTTCATGTACTTGAGTCAGTCAAGATATGTGTCGTTTTGTTGTATGTAGAAATTACCTCAACTTGATGAAGTCAGTCCCTGCAGCTGCTCACATTGGACGAACGAAGCTCGATCAAGAGAGATTAAAACTCTGCAACTATGAAATTGTAAGTTCGAATGCATAACAAGTCGTAACAGAAAATTTACACGCTTTTACAGAGCTTTATAGCACTGTCTATAATTACGAGGTCTGTCTATGATTATGACTGCGAGGCAACCACAGAAAGTTAGGGGACTATACCACAAGCCTTTCTTTGCCCGCGAAACTTTTTGTTAAGTACTTGCCGAGTGCCTTGTCACCAGAAGAGCTAGAGCGATGGCAATGGTATAGATTATCGTTTCGTCCTCTTAAGATACAAAAGAATATTTATGATGATAACGTCCTTTGCAGGAAGCAGTCATGCAGGCGGCATCTGATCTGAAATTAATTTGCAACGACGACGTGCATGCAAAAGAACATATGAAGACCGCGAACGGATTACTCCAAAGATTGCTTAATATTGCAACGGAGGTAAATAGGGATCGATGCATGCACGTACGGCTTTTATTCTAAGACCGTACACCCACTCCCATGCACGAAGTCATTGACACAGAGATTCCTATTGAATAAGAGCGTTTCTCAATTCCCCAGCCCAGTGGGAATAACCTCGTGGAATAGTTACTAATGTGATGGGAATTAACCGCTCATGAGTTCTAGTGTGAGTTTTTAGAATACAGATGTGGTGCCGATGATTATTGTTGCGAAGTAAACCTTATTAACTGTTAAATAAAAACAGTTGTCGTTTCAAAATTTTGAAGATCGATACGAAATAGATATGAAATAGAATCCATTGTCCATACGAAACGCTAAATCATCACAAAAAATTGATCCTTTACACATTTGACATTACTCTATATTTTCAGCCCCAGGACAGTCTTCCCGATATCTTCGTCTGGATGTTGTGTGGTAACAAACGCGTGGCGTACACGCGGATACCAGCGCAACACGTGTTGTACTCGCTCGTGGAAGAAGAGCGCGGGAAGGACTCGGGACGAATGCAAACACTTTTCCTCAGGGTGAGTTTTTGAAAAGAGACACAGTGATATGTTAGAGAAAGCTTCTTTCCGACATTATTTTTATTCGTGATTAGTGTAGAAGAGGTTGGTGACGTTGAATCATCCCCTAAACGTGTTACTTATTCTTTTTTTTAGTTACCAGGCAAGCGCGGTGAGGGTCCCAAGGGTTGGGCGATCCAATCAAAACTGAACATCATGATTTGGTTAGGACTGCATAAACACAAGAAAGACTATCTAAAAGATGCCCCGAAAGGTTATGACATGGTAAAGTGGCGATTTCCTTTACGTTATAGGTTCAGCCTTTAAATATTTTCAATATATTATCGGCCATCTGTCAGGCAACTGGGGGCGGACTTCCGGGTACGCAGGCTTAATCAGCAATGGAGCACGTAATCCCCTACCCTTGCTCTGTAACTGACCAAAATTTTTTTTTAATTTCCAGCCACGAAATGCTCACAAACTCATGGCTCCACCTCCAAATGACCTGGTTTACAAAGGTTAGTCGGTTGAATTTGTTCATAGATTAATTAACGTTTTATCACCTCGCCTATGCACGAAACCAGTATTTATCTTACTCACACCACTTCTAAAGTTCAAGGGCATTTGAAAAACCCTTCAAATACAAGTGCAAAGTCTTGAAATTCCACTTAAAACATCTATTTTGCTTCTTGAGAACTCCTTAATTAATGCCAAGCATTAAGATGGCTTGAACATGTTTTTCACTTGAATTGTATTTTTTCTTTTCTCAGTGAAACAGAAGTTTGTGCTGAGGTCTCATTTGTATCAGGCTCGAAGTTTAATTGGCAGTGACGCTTCAGGTTTATCAGGTAAAGCAAAGAGATAACTGTCAGTTGTTTGTCTATGAATCTAAAACGTATTCTTTGCCAGCGACGTTTAATATTTACTCTTTAAATGGGTTAAAAGAAGTTAGTGATTTCTTCCAAACTTTGAGATCATTATAAACCCTGGCATGCTCCAACGTTTTTAAGAAATCCTTTTATCTTTCTTACTAGATGCATTTGCCAAAGTCATTTTCACCCATTTCATTGCCGAGACTCGAGTAATCTGGGAGACTAGAAGCCCGACGTGGGACCAGACCATAATCTTTGAGGATATTTTCCTCTGGGGAGATGTCAACGAGATTGCCGTGAACCCACCGACGATCGTGGTCGAGATTTTTGATAAAGACATCGGAGTATGTATCGTTGGATCGTTTTTATTTTTACATTAAACAACATGTACAAATTAACTAAAATTGAACCCTGCAATTTTACTCATTCTAAGATGTTCTTCAAGCAGTTATGTTAGGATCATTTCCCACGAAAGTGAAATTATATCGAACAATTGAAATTGTCGTTTCTCATTTCTACGATCAATTTTTCCTTTAGGGCGATTCAGAGTTCATCGGTCGCGCTCTAGCTCGACCTATTGTGAAAATGGCGTGTGAACCTTACGAGAAACCTTTCTTTCCACCCGCCTTGGAATGGTTCCAGATATTCCGCGGTGAAGAGAAGGCCGGTGAACTCCTGGCGGCCTTTGAACTTCTTCAGGTTTGTTGACTAGACGTTTCTTCGCTGTTCAATTATTATCAATGTTATCGTTTCTCTTTTGTGGATGATAACTTTTGTTCCACTGGATATGACAAACATATTTTCATTTTGTATCACGGTCTGGTTTTCGTAGGTCACCGACGGTGCAACACACATGCCCCCAGAGGTTGAACCGGTCAATACTTCCGATGGTCCGATATGTCCGGTACCTGAAGGAATTCGACCAGTGATGAAGAAACACAAAATTGAGGTGTGACACCCGCATTTATTACTGCATATGTTAATTCCTAGTATGTTCAATTGTTTCAGCGCCTTTTTCTGTAAAAACCATCACCAACTATTTATAAACAGAAATTAAAACTGTGTAATCTTTTCAATCAATCATCTCCACTTCCGTGGCAAGGGTTCCATTCACTTTAATTTAGCTATCTTTCCATCGTCCTGAAATGTGTACAATCCAATTGACCATCATTAATTGTCGTATGTCACTAAACTTTTTTATATTCCCAGGTGCTGTTCTGGGGTGTTCGTGAAATGAAACGTTTGAATCTTCAAACTGTTGATCGTCCTCAAGTGGATATCGAGTGTGCTGGTCGTGTTATCCAATCAACGGTCATCGCGAACGCTCGACGTAATCCGAACTTCCTAAATCCTGTTGACTTCTTTGACGTGGTAAGTAACGCCTTTCAGCTGACACTGAAATGTGTGTTCACATTGCGCGTTTTCATTTATCCAATCTTTGAACAACTCGTTTGAGGCAATTTTGTTGCATCTTCATAAATGACATCTTGATAATTTTCTCACGAATGTTTGTATAATTGCAGGAGCTGCCTGAAAATGAACGGTACTGTCCTCCGCTGACCGTACGCGTTCGCGATTGCCGGACATTTGGCCGGTTCTCATTGGTCGGCACTCATGTGCTGAACTCATTACATCGCTATCGATATCCCAAGGAAGGAGATCTCATTGAAAGAGCATCGATCAAAGACGTCACAGGTAATGTATGCTTTATTCCCAATTTGTCGAACAACTTGGTGCAAGATTCTTCACTCAATAGACTCGTAACAAATTAATGGCCAATCAACGGAGTTATGCATTTGCACTACAGTTAATAAACATCTTAGTAGAACTTTCTTCTACCAAAGAGTAGAATAACTCAATCTTTGCTTGGTATTCAGTGAAGTCTAATGAATGTGTGTACTTTTCTCTTCAATCTAGAAGAGCCTCAAACAGACCCGAACGCTCCAGCGCAGACCGGAGATGTCGTGGTGAATATCGATGATGCAGCTATCGGCGAGGACGCTCCTGAGGAACCCGCAGCTGCTCAGGTACGTCCGAGTTCTTGGTAGATCAAATATTTGATGTTTCATCCTTTTCTTACAGATCATATTCTAGAAAAGCGACATTTGGAGCCGTGTTTGCGCGGTTGTACTGCACGAGCTTTGTCAAAGGACTGCTAAGCATGTTGTATAAACTTTGACACTGATTTATGGTTGTACTCTCTGTGTAGGAACCAGCGGATAAGGGCAAGAAAAAAGGAGAAAAAGAAGAGGAAGATGATGATAGCGAGGATACTCTGGACTGGTGGTCAAGATATTATGAAACTATGAAGTTTATCGATGCTGAAGCGGAAGATAAGAAAAAGGTAATAAAGTATCATTTAATGAAGCTCCGTGTATAGTTTAAAACCAAAACTTGTAAAAATCGAAACTTGTAAAAAGCTCACGATTTTGTGTCCATCCAGGAGGAGAAACGGAAGAAAGAGAAGAAGGAACAAGAGAAAGAAGGGAAGGATGATAAGAAAGATAAGAAAGATAAAAAGAAAGAAAAGAATGTTCAACCTGAAGTCTCAAAGAGACCGGAACGAAAGAAGAATATTCCTTTGATTAAGGTAGTATTTTTCGTATCTTATATCCTCTGCATTTTAGAACTCCATTGTTTAACCGTGGTCTTTCTGATCGCTTTTTATCACACATCGGTACAATTTCAATCTTTTGTCTTCCTCTTTTGTTTGATGTTTCCCCAACTAGGATCTTATGTCTTCACAATTTCTTCAACTCTCTTCTGCATGTTCATGCCATCCTAGTTTTTTCTTAACCGCTCTGTAAAATCCTCATCGAATTTTTCTCAGTATGTATGTATATGTATTCTTGTCTGACATTAGCCTTGTTTTTCAGATTTATCGCACAGAGTTGGAAAATGTTGTGGAATTCAACAACTTTAACGATTGGCTTCATTCCTTCTCGTTATATCGAGGCAAGAAAACCAGCGAGGAGGATGATGATGAACACAGAGTCGTTGGAAAGTTCAAGGTATTTTTGCTTTCAAATAACAACTCCCTCGAGTCCTAACCAAAATTTGGTCCTGAGTTTGCAAGTTGTATGAAGCCTTCTCTGTTCATCTTTGTAGTATAAAAAATCATAATATGTTAATACATTTGCCTTAGGGATCGCTGAAAGTATGGCAGTATCCATTACCTGAGAATATTGAGACTGATCCTGTTATTGGTACTTTCCGCAAGTTACCCAGCAACGAACCAGTCAATGTCTTGGTTCGTGTTTACGTCGTAAAGGTATATCGTGCAAATTTGATGTTTGTACTACTTTCTATTTTTGGTTGGGTTTAGTGATCAAAAGTTTAATCGGACTAGTGGTTTCCGTACCATTCCCAGCTATATTCGGTATGGTTGTGTAGGGTAGAATACTGATGGACTGGTACGCTGATGGTATGTGGTGGTAATATGGTTTGGTGGGGCAATATGGGTTTTGATGGCTGGTATTTGTGTGGCATGGTACTATACAATAATATGGTGTTGGGTGAATGGTATCGTATCATGTGCTTTTGTATGAAATCGGATTTTGATATGGTGCAGTGTATTATTAAATTCTTGAATTTGATTTGAGACTTTGCCGTCATGGATTGGTGGATTAACAATGAGATTAATAAGATTGAGATTAATAACAATGTGATCTAATCCTTAATTCAGACACTCTTTGGAGTAATGGAGAAAAGTTAACGGATTGATATATTTAACAGATTTTAATCAAAATCATATAAATTTTTGTTTACTGATTTTGAAATAAGCCAAGAAATAAAAAATAACTTCTAGACCAAATCCAAACGTTATTTTATCACCCGAAAAATTTTGGGTGTTTCTCTCTGTTTTGGAAATAAAAATTTCAATTTAAAAGTATTAAACTATTTTCCACGATTATAGAACAAACTTTTTTATAGAACAACTCTTTTAATTTTATACGACGAATGTCTTAAAGCACTAAGTACTTCACTCAGTTAGCTTGCTTGGATACTTCGTAAACACAATATGCCATGCATGGGTATTTAATATTCTCAAACATTTCAAAATGTGTTATGTTAATTGTAAAATCACATTACGTCATACCCAAACGTTTTAACACGTGTTCTAAAATGATGGCTTCGTGAATTGTAAAAAATACGTCATATTGGTTACTTAAAACTTCAATATTTAACAAATGATGTTTGTCGCATCGTAAATTTTATACATCGGCATAACGTATAGCGTAATATTAACACTTTGTCTAATAATAAAAATCTAAACGAAGTTTTAAACAATTAAACATTATCTTTCAGGCATTAAACCTCCATCCGTCTGATCCGAACGGCAAGGTAGGTTCCATTCCCCAATAAACTCCTATTTGTTCATGCGCATTCGCTGTTATTCTAGGCGTATGATCTACACCCAAGCGATCCACTCGGGAAGGTATGCAAGCTAACGACGCATGGGAAGTGTTATCGATCTAAAAAACCTATAGTCACGGGCAGAAAATTTGGACAGTTGTACATTTTGCTTAATATCAATCTTTTGATCTGAAGCTATTTTAGATTCTGCCACCGCTGCTATAGTTGGTTTTTTAAGTATTCTTTGCTAGACGAATGGTATACTGTTTCTAACATAAAGGACCATGCAATTACATGTTCTTCCATTTCATTTTAAAACACTAGTACTGTTGTTTTTGCAATGTTTTTTTTCTAATCAGTGATTTTCATTGTTCTAGGCTGATCCATATCCTGTGGTAACTCTGGGAAAACAAAAGGTGAAGGATCGTGATAATTACATCTCAAAACAGTTGAATCCAATTTTTGGAAGGTGAGAGACTAGACATTTACGAAAATAAAATAGGGACAAATTGACAAGGATTAAGAATCTGAAACAATATTATTATGTATTTACATATTCACTGTCCGATAAAAGTAATTTACCTGAAAAAGGAGGCTTTAAGAAGAACCTCTCTTGCCTTGAGGTGCCGTTAACACAATCGTTTAGGGTTAGTGTAGTGACTGTGTAACTGTACTGTTTCATGTCACTTCTCAGAGCAAATCTATATATTGTTTTCCCAGTGTTCTGGCCCGAGAATTCCTATGCTATGTCACGATGTTAAGGGCAAACCAGAACGTATAATGTGTTTTGTTTGACCTTTGACTTTTTCCAACCATTCAATGATTCAATTATATTCTGTATTCTGTTTAGAACATTCGAGTTCGAGGCTCTGATTCCCATGGACTCGATTCTTACCGTTGGTGTGTATGACTGGGATCTAGTCGGCAGCGATGATTTGATTGGAGAAACGAAGATCGATTTGGAAAACCGCTTCTACAGCAAACACAGAGCCACATGTGGATTACAAGAACAGTTTTCAACGTATGTGTCTTTTAGTTACAAAATAATGATTATTACTTTTTGTGATGGTATCAGTATTAGGAATTCGGCTTGATATGAGGCAAAGAAAATATTCTCCGGTCGGGTTAGCGTCACTGTAGCTAGGGAGGGGGGCTTTCGGAAATATCGAAAATTGTCCATTGAGAAAAAACGGTCCGCATTGTTTCAGGCCAGACACGTGCATAGCTTTAGTCGTTAAAATACTATCCATGCACTGAATTGATCGAGATCTGCCATGATTTATTTAAACTATTCCATATCATGGTAGATTCGGCTTCAACAAATGGCGTGATCCGCAGCGACCTACTCATATTTTGGCCAAACTTTGTAAAGACGAAGGCTTAGACGGACCTCATTACAACAATGGCAAATGTCAAGTTGACGGAATCACGTTCCGAGCTCCTGGACAGATCCAAGATGAATCCGGTAGGAAAAGACAAATACAGTATCAAAATAACAATGTAGCATACCTTCCCTTCCACTAAACATAAGCATTAGATTCAAAGCTTCTAACTTGAATATGTGGAAGACGCTTTATTTAAAGCGGTGGAAATTTTCTTCCGCTTTTTGATTGAGCCAAAACTTCAACCCTGCTTCAACCCTTCCCTATCTACCGTCCAAGGCCTGTTGCCAACGTAACAAGGAAAAAGAAAGGTCTTTCGTGTTTTATTGACATGTATTGATGTGTAGAAACATTTTGTAGGTAACTGGAAGCAATCGGACGAACCATCAGCGCTGATGGTTTTACGAAACATGCACAAAGTAATGAAAGAACATCATCTTGTTCCTGAGCATGTTGAAACGAGATCTCTATATTGCCCCGATAAACCTGGAGTGGAACAGGTATAGCAAGATATATATCTATTTGAACACCGAGTACATTACCTACTTGCCAGACGATTTAACATGGTGAATCGTCTATTTGTATGTTTCCATTTGTTTCTATACTATTACTTACGGAGGTGTGACTTACTCTTTTCTTGCAGGGCCAGATTGAGATGTGGGTGGATATGTTTCCTAGAGACATGCAATCCCCTGGCGCTCCAGTTGATATTACACCAAGGAAACCAACCAGGTGCTTGTTACGATCAGAAATTATTGTGTATTTTAAGCGCATGCGTATAGTTGTTAATGCAATCCTTCCAAGAATAACGCCATGATACCGAACCCATTCCTTAGTCCGAATTGTTCAAAGTGAAAACAGGGGGTTTAAACACATATACAGTTGGTATACATGCGTTGCCAGAATTTGTTAACGGACAATCCTTTCCCCTCCTATAGTTACGAACTTCGAATCATAGTTTGGAATACAGATGAAGTTGTTATGGATGATACAAATGTCATCACAGGGGAGAAATGTAGCGATATCTTTGTCAAAGGGTAAGTATGCACCAGTATTCAAATTCACCGGTTCAAATTTAACTTTTACGTTGGAGGATATCTATTTCCCATGCAACAAAAATAACTATTAGGAACTGAGTAAGAGCAATTCTCTCAATTCTCAATAATCTTTTGTAGTTGGATCGAAGGAATGAAAGATGAGAAGCAAGAGACAGATGTTCATTATAAGTACGTTTGTGTTCGTGATATGAATGCATGTAATGAGTTGTAATATTTTATGTATTCTGGCTGAAGACTAGATGTTTGTATTCAGGTCTATGACTGGCGAAGGAAACTTCAACTGGAGATTGATTTTCCCCTTCAATTATCAACGAGCAGAAGAACGAATCATTATTACGAGAAAGGTAAAACACATCAAGTACTACTGTTTCACTGCCAGTTTTGAAATCCTGTCCTTATCTTTTGTTACTGGGGCCGTGAAAAACTCGTACAGCAGAGCTTGAGTCACCATTTTGTATCTTTAGGCTTCCTTCTTCTCCTGGGATGAATCTGAAGAGAAAGTTCCACCTCGTGTTGTTTTACAAGTTTGGGATGCAGACGCTTTTTCAGCAGACGATTTTATTGGTAAGAATTTCCGGCAAAGTGAAAAGCAAAACTTTGCGTTGTCATCACTCCTCGTTCAGCACATATACAATATATTGAACGATATTTCCCTTCCAAGGCGACCTTGCGTTGGATTTGAATCGAATGCCAAGAGGAGCGAAATCGGTGAAGACGTGTAACCTTGACATGGCGAAGAAAGACGGAACCATTCCACATATATCTTTGTTTAAACTGAAACACATGAGAGGATGGTGGCCCTTTACTGTTAACACGGATCTTGAAGAGATTGAACTTGCTGTGAGTGTTGCAAACAATCTTTTTCACAACATATATCAATGAATAATGTATTTATAAGAATGTTTCGTCGGCATGCTTAACAACAACAACGGCTACCGTAGTTCTTCATGTTTGTTTCTACCGAATCTAGGGTAAATTGGAGGCAGAGTTTGAATTATTGACAGAAGAAGAAGCTGAGAAGAAACCCGCTGGTAAAGGACGAGAGGAGCCTGAACCTCTTCCAAAACCAAAGTAAATCATTTTGATTTCATATTATTTTACAATTGTTAAACTTATTTTGCTGCGTGTTGTCATAGTGTTTTAAACATTTTTCAACATCTTATTGTTACAGTCGCCCTGACACTTCGTTTGTTTGGTTCATGAACCCACTTAAATCACTTCGTTACATGTTGTGGAATAATTATAAAATGTGCATCGTTAAATTCCTTGTCATCTTCCTCCTGCTGGCTCTTATGGGATTATTTTTCTATTCTATGCCGGTAAGTTTGCAAGGTTACTGATTACCAGGAATTGACCGTAACAAAAGAGACGGTATCCTGCACATTTTACCTCAATATATTACAGCCAGCATTAATGATTCATAACTGATAGGTGTCACAACAAAGAAAATAACCTCACTTTAATCTCATCAATTTTCGTGCAACTTTCTTTTCTTACCATTCGTATAGGGTTATACGGTCAAGAAGATCTTCAATGCCTAATCTCGACTGTACTGTCATGACAAAACCACCAATTATACTTTTAATTTATTTCAAGAGAACTTGCCATCGATAAATAATGTAATGCGTAAGAATACAATTTCTCATACGAAGCGCGGCACGTAATACAGCTGTAAGTAATTATGACATGCATATGATAAATCCTGCGTGTTTGTAGGTATTTCACGTCTCTTAATTGATATATCGACGAGAAAATTAGCATGCATGACAAGGTTTAAAGTGAGATCTCTATATTTCAGGAGGCAACTGGAATGCAAACATATTCTTAGCCTTAGCTTTCGGGAAGTTACCAACTGTTGCTACTTACTATAACCATAAACAATTTTGCAGATCAAAATTGGACGTTCGGATTAATCATATGCACGCCTATTACGTGTCAATAGCGTATGTATAATAATTAAAAATATATAGTATAATATATATAATATTTTAAGATAAAAAATATAATTATATATGTCAAGTTACTGGACTATTACAAAGTCTAAATTGCATAATAAAGCTTGCTGGAAAAGCTTCAAATTTAGTTTTGATGTCGTGTCTTTTCTGTGGGACCACGAATAGAGTATTGCAAATTTAGCTGCGATCGGTGTAAACATTTATATCATAAACTCCAACTATCATTAAGACAAGAAGAAAGCTTCTGAGCAGTTTGCAGTGTCATTTCCTCAGGCCGGCTTAACTGGTAGTAATTATTCGTTAGAAATGGTATGGTACAAATTAGTGCATTTCATAACACAATGGCAGTACAGGAAGAAATCTATATCATCGTTATTTATCGTAAGTTACGTAGGAAAAAAAACTTGGATTGAACCCGACGAATACGCGGGTAAATAAATTGCGCCGATTATCTCCTTACGGGCAACTCGCGACAGTAGAGAGCTTAGGCAAACAGGACGGCACCTTCGTAATGGCGTGTAAGAGATGACGTTGCTTCCGCTTTTGCTAACCATATAATATATGGTAACATGGATAACACGGAGTTCCGGAGCCGGAGTCTCGGAGTTGGAGTCCCGGAGTCAAAATTACGGAGTCTGACGTAATAATAGTGAGCTTAAGCAAGTGACGTTTTTGACAACACGTACGTTGACCGGAAGTAAAGTTTTTATTTTTCACCAATCACAATTCTTGACCCAGTCTTTTGGCGTTACTCATGCCGTTTGTGATGTCAAAAACGTCACTTGCTTAAGCTCACTAATATTGGAAAACACGGAGTCACAAATTATGGAAAACACGGAGTCTTTTAAAAATATGGAAAACACGGAGTCTGTTAAAAATATGGAAAACGCAGAGTATAGATGTTTGGAAGTCTGTCAAGCTCAGTGGTCAATGACTCCACGTGAATTATGCAAATTTGATAGCGTGTTTTAAACAACATGGCGTCAAATTCGCGTAACGTTTTCGGCTTTTTGCTATTCCGCAAATTCCGCAAAACGAACGAAAAACTTATCCTTAAACATAAAGAATATTCCTCAATTTAAATGGGAGGATATTCGGTAGACAAAGAGGAAATTGGATGTGGCAGTTTTGGTGTGATTTAAGGTGATATAAGGACACGTAATGTAGTTAGCTACAACAATAATTCTAGGACTTTGAGCAAGAGGCATTATAGCTGTAATCTTTTGTTATTGTGTATTCTTTCTTTTATACTATTACTGTGGTATAAAAAATTAGTATAGACTTATGAGCGATCCTTCATTTATGAATATATGTATAATTTACGTTGACTCCGTGTTTTCCAAACATTTATACTCCGTGTTTTCCATGTTTTTGGCAGACTACGTGTTTTCCATAATTTTTGACTCCGTGTTTTCCAATATTATTACGTCAGACTCCGTAATTTTGACTCCGGCTCCGAAACTCCGGCTCCGAAACTCCGGCTCCGGAATTCCGACTCCGTGTTATCCATGTTGTGATGTGGCAACGTTCGGAATCAAAGCTAGATATTTATTTCACCCGCTCCTCGTGTTGCAAAATAAAGTCATCCTATTGGCTGAACACTCCCGGCCTGACAGCTCAACATTGCTTCTGATTGGACGAGCATAGTAATTTGAATAATATGATTAATTCTTTCCTTTCATTTCTGATGTTCAGGCTCAGGAGAAGAGAATTAATCATATTATTTAAATTACTATGAACGTCCAATCAGAAGCGTTGTTGAGCTGTCAGGTCGGGAGTGTTCATCCAATAGGATGACTTTATTTTGCAGACACGAGGAGCGGGTGAAATGAATATGTGCTTTTGATTCCAGTTTGAGACATCACTTCAGCGCTGGTCTTCGAAGAATAAAGATGAGTCTCCTCCATGCCAAGAAAATTTCAACAGAAATTGCTATCAGATTGCTATCGTCTTCAGCAGAAGAGAAGTTTAATAGAAGTTTACTATCTCTGACAGACTGTCGTTGGTGTAATACCAGGTAATATGCCTTTCCCTTTGCGTGTTTTATCAGCTTGTTTCATCGTGAGCTTTTGGGCTGAGGTTCCACGTGTCTTTAGTTCACGTCTTGTAATGCCTCTCTCGTGTTGTGTTCAGCTTCAAATACAAACTTGTATAGCACTAACGTAGCTTTTATTCTTTTCATGCAGAATTTTGACGTATTAAAGCGAAGTTAAACGATGAAATTTGTGAACAAGAGATTGACGACCGATGAATTGTGGCTGAACTGGCTCAAGATAACTCGCCTTTGAAGAGAAAGCAAGTCTAGGCTTTTTCTGGGGAATATTGATGATATGAGAAAGGTAATATACGTCAAATCTTACCGTTGGCCGCTAACCTTCCCTCTAACCACACGCAAATTACGTTTGAATTGAGTTCTAAAGACCTAAGCAGTGAACTAATGGTGCCTTTTATTCTTCCAGGTGGAGTTTGAGAGCTTAAAACCAAACTGAATGAAGTGAAGTGGGCAAAAAGTCCGTTACCGTAGCTGAAATTGCCCGAGACGACTCGCCTTTGAAGAGAAAGCACGTCTACGCATTTTCTTGGGACTTGTTGATGATATGAGAAAGGTAATATACGCTAAATCGTATGTGAGCCGCTAACCTTTGCTCCAATCGCAAGCAATTACCTTTGAATTGAGTTATAAAGACCAAACCAGTAAACTAACATTGCCTTTTGTTCTTCCAGGTGGAGTTTAAAAGCTAAAACCAAACCGAATATAGAAATGAGCTGGGAAAGAAAACCCATAGCTGAAATTCCCCGAGATGACTCGCATTTCAAGAGACGGCAAGTCCAAAGCTGCTCTTCAACACTTGTTGCTGAAATGAACAGGTAATTTTGGGTCTATTTTATTCAAAATAGAATGATAAACTTGAAACACTTGATCAGGCATCATGCGTCCTCTCAACTGAGTAATCACCGCAAGTTTTCTCCCGATATTTAAGCTCCCTTCATCGAAGGTAAATCCATGAAATCGCTGTCTATAACAAGCATTCTTTTGGTTTTATTGCAGGTAGCGATTTAGCGGGTCAAGCCATTTGAAACAACGACAAAACCTGTTCATAATAAAACGTGAGTATTAAGCAATTGAACATTTTTAGATAAACCGAACAATGCTGGGAAGTTTATGCATGATTCAGGTCAAGAACGACAACGGCCGCATGATAATTTGATATGAATAATGGCAAGGAAATTCTTGAAATCCCAGAGGGTTTTATAGATGTTGTTTTTTAATTCAATCCCGATCTTACGCGTGTTTCTTCTCAATAAAAAATGTAGTTTGCTTATTTCTTTAATCTTATTTCAGGTTGATGGGCTCTGTTGAGCTATTACCGACAAGCCAAATCGACGGCAAATCTACGTCTAAAGTAGGCAATCTCGACGGCAAATCTACGCCTAATGTAGGCAACCTCGACGGCAAATCTACGCCTAATGTAGGCAACTCGACGGCAAATCTACGCCTAATGTAGGCAACTTCGACGGCAAATCTACGCCTAATGTAGGCAACCTGGACGGCAAATCTACGCCTAATGTAGGCAACCTCGACGGCAAATCTACGCCTAATGTAGGCAACTTCGACGGCACTCTACGCCTAATGTAGGCAACCTCGACGGCACTCTACGCCTAATGTAGGCAACCTCGACGGCACTCTACGCCTAATGTAGGCAACTCGACGGCACTCTACGCCTAATGTAGGCAACTCGACGGCACTCTACGCCTAATGTAGGCAACCTCGACGGCACTCTACGCCTAATGTAGGCAACCTCGACGGCAAATCTACGCCTAATGTAGGCAACCTCGACGGCAAACTCGACGCCTAATATACGCCAAAACTACGCCAAATCGACGCCAAAACACAACGTTCAGCGATGCCCGGGCATCGTTACAGGTTAGAGTAGCCTGGTGGTCAAAAAATGTGCATGCAGGGTTAGTCTGTGCATGATTAACTTAACGAAGTTAACTAATTTAGTTAACGAACTTAAGTTAAATAAAGTTTTAATTCAGTTAACTAAGTTCTGGCCACCAGGAACATAGCTAATGCATGATGCATGTGAGCAAACGTTTCTTAAATTCGGTTAAATATTTAATCGGTTTTGCGCTTAGGACTGCTCGCTTGTGCTTAGGGCTGCGCTAAGGTTTAGGTTGATAATTTGCTGTTAAAACTGAAAACATATCACAACTGTTATATATACCCATATTTCACTAAGAAATGGCTAAAAAGCCATGCACATGCACTAACACAAACCAGCCACAAATGGCAGACATAATCCCATAGGTTCTTTCCTCTTTCTCTATCTTGTCCTGATTGAAATCATCTTCGGCTCTTGAAATCCGGTCAATTGCGGCTTTCGGAATTAACATTAAAATGATAACTATAGGGTCACTATTCGGTCTGGTTGTAAAATTATTTGTATGTAAATACGTTTTTGATTTCTCAGCAAACATTGTAAATATAGATTATATCTTGCCTTACTATATTTTGTAATTGAACATATAATATTGTGTATGTATTTATGAAAAAACATGATTTATATCAAAATATGTACAGATACAAAACATCATGCACTATACCTCATGATCTTGTAGCTGCACATAAAATAGACACGCACACGAGTAAATACATTCATGCAAACCATGGCCTATATAATGGCTTCTAGTTTATATCTCTCTTATCTCTTGCATTCACTTAAGGCTACAGTTAATATTTAAGCCAGAAACATTGATTTTACGGCATGTCTTATACTGTCTTGCTATTCTGAAATACATTAATTTATGCAATCAAAGTTAACACACACATGCTCTCAATTAATGAATTTGAATTTACTTGAAGAAAATAAGGAATGGGTGGGGGGTGCATGCTGTTATCTTGAAACGATATATGCCTTATTTCTACTATAGTTAGAACTTAGAAACCAATTACGAGACAAACATTGGCAGTGGCATTGTAACTTTATTATTTTTCCAAGGTCTCTGTGAGATTTCCAATCATTTAGCTTCGTCGAGCAGTGCTTATGAAAAGTAAGGCGCCACTTTTTGTCTGTACTGTTTGACTTTGCTATGTGGTTCGAAGTGTTAGCAGGTGTCTTGGGATATCTAATAACGTTGCAGTGTTATATTTTCATTGCTGTTTCTATAAGAGCAGCTTGCTTTGGCTATATGCCTTAGCTCTAAAAGTTTTTAAACGAGATTTTCAAAAAAAAAATGTACTCCTCTGGCTGTTTCTATAAGAGCAGCTTGCTTTGGCTGTATGCCTTGGCTTTGAAAGTATTAGTCCAGTTTCTCTGAAAAAAGTTGTACTCTTGGTGCTGTTTCTATAAGGGCAGCTTGCTTTGGGAATATCTCTTGCATGGTTCAAAAAATGTTGACTAAATTTTTTGAAAAAAAATATTTACACTTGATGCTGCACTTGGTTTCGACAGTTTGTTGCTTTGGCTATATGCCTCAGCCTCAAAAATATGAAGTCAATTTCTTGTATTTTTTTCCAAACCTTGTTTCTACAAGGGCAGCATGCTCTGGCTATATGCCTCAGCTCTGAAATGTGCAATGAAGTTTTAAAGGACAATTGTGTATGCCTTCATGCTGTTTCTTTAAGGGCTCATGAAATATCTTCAAGTTAACTCGATCCTTGAAATATGTGTGCTCAGTTCGACAGCTTAAAACGAAACTATTGGGAACACTGCCTATGATTTGTCAGCAGAATAATTTTAGTTTTTGGCGGACGAGCGTAACTTGAATCTAAGCGCTCGGAACTCAGGCATTTTTATGTGTTACTATATTAGTTCGTCGACCTCATAAGCTTTATTCAGCTCTTTACCAGAGTTAGTGGGTTAATTAAGTCTATAATAGAACAAAAAAAATACACAATAACTTAGAAACACTTACTCACATTAATGCATGTTTTACTGATCAGTCTTAAGCATTACTCAAACGCAATAGCACACTGTAAAAAGACATGAACAATTTATACTAAAGTATGCCAAATTAACATTTACCTGCATTGTTCTATAAATTTAAATGACAAGATCTTAAACACACCTACTTTGTAACGGGTTTTAGATATAATAATTTTATGTCTTCGCGTATATTAATGATGTACTATGTAAAGAAAACACACACGCTTTGTAATACATGTTTAGTGAAGTATTAATAAAAATAGGACCAAAATTGTCCGTCTCCTCTCTCTTGATTTCAATATCTTTAACACACGCACACACGCTTTGTTGTAATACATGACTTTGTTTTAATAAAATCTCAAACTTGTGTACTTTGTGTTTAATTCCGGCTTTCGGTGAGGGTTTTTCTCCAGGTACTCTGGTTTCCCTCGTAAAAAAACAGTGTCCGTGTGTTCGGAACCGTGTTTACGGTTGGTTTTCCATACGAAAATTGAACTTTTCACGAGTAAAATTGCATGAAAGCTAAACATTTCTGTTGACAATTTATATCCGCATAATTAGTATATCTCGTTATACTCGATAAAAAGTTTAGAATATTTTCGCAATCCAGTAGACATTAATGTCTGACGGATAAGCCCTCAGAATAGAAAACATAATGGTCTAATGTAAGCTGACTTGTACACACGGTTACTGGGTTCAATTCCCGGAACACTGTTCTTTGTCGCGATAAACTTCATGTTCTTCAATTAAAGCATGCAAAGCTTCGTCTTTAGACTATAATTTCACTTGACGAGTTGTTGATGAGCACTTAACTGATTTTGAAAGACGTGATACAGCCAAATTGAAATGCAATACTCCCTCATCCTGGTGCTTATAAAGGAACGACCACATTCGCCAGATGTGACTTTAAACGTGAAATATGTGTTCTTCAAGATGTTCTCATTTGGCTAATTCTCAAGATTAAGACGAGATAGTTGAATATCAATGAGAACGAAGAGACAATCCGATTGGCTATAAAGTGATGCTGAAGATTTCTTAGCGACAAAATGATGCGAGCTTGTTAAATCCTTACCTTACCTCTTACACCTAACTGTGAAGGGGCCTCCTTCTAGAACCAGCGCATGATGCACTGAAATTACATTTTAACTTTATTAAATAATTGAATTTTTAGTCCGTTTTGTCAGATCAAATTTTATCTTTATTTATGTTGTCAACTATGACCGCAGGAAAACTGGACGGTAATTGTGATTATTTAAACTGATGATATTTGTACTGGTATATGGCATCTTATTTTCTTATGTTCAGGATCTCTGTTGCTGCCATGCTAGTCTTCCTGGACGAAATCTGTCATGCAGCCCAAGTTAATTCTGAAGAAGATATTATATGAATGTAATGACAAATGTCATTGTTTCAGCAGTGATGTGCTGTAAGGGAACCGTGTGTTTAATGTTTTTGTGCATGAGAAGGTTAACGGGTACTCCGTACTCCGGTTCCTCTTGACTCAAAATTTTCAAATAATCACTCTGCAGTTGACTGTATTGTTTAATAAAAATAGACAAATAAGCCAAATTTTAAAAAAGCTTGAGGCGAATATTTGTTATCAACTACTTGTAAACTATTTCAAAGGCTTTGCTTTGTAGTTTTTTTAAAAAACATTTTAATGCTGTTGTGTTTTCTTTGATTTGGTGCCCTGAGGGAATGTTCTTGCTGCCGGGGTAGATTTAAAAATGCTGTCGATAAAAGGTAAAAGAAAATCGTAATTTGGCAAGGTGAGCATATTACTGTTGAAAAAGAATAGTTTGATAAAGATGTAAGTGTTCATGTACTGACATTACAAATACATGGAAATACCTGCCAGATTTTTTCAGTATCAATGGACACTTTGGTTTCATTTTGTTAGTTATTCTATCTAGTTTAAAGAATATAAAAAGGCAACTGAATTCTTTCTTTCGTCTGGCCTGAGACATAGACTTTTCCCTAGCTTTATTCTCAGTGAATAACGCTTGGTCGTGTATTCTCGTACAAGTTTAAACGGTTTAATCTTTAAGATCAAATCATCAACATTCAAAATCTCGCTGTTTTAATAAATATATACCTTCTGGAAACCTCGTTAGTCGTTACCACGCGTTAGCTTTCTCCCCCGTAGTAACACTGCATGATGATCCATAGTAGATGATCCATAAATGCTTTGACCTGCAGTTCAACAATGCTTCTGAATAAACGATCAGAATTCCAAGAATACGACAATTTCTTTCAAGCCGGGAAAGGTTTTTATCAGAAATGAAACCATTTGAAATTTTAAAGGCTTTCGCATATGAGCATGTTAGTAAAAATTTTTTTGAACAAAATAACCTATAATAATGCAATGGTTATTATATAGCCATTCGACCGAGAATACTTCGCGCAAAGATTAAAAATATGCCTGTTATTTCTGGTTTCAAATGTACTTTCACATAAACACAGTTTACAGAAATACATAAATTCCACACAAGATTTTTAGACTTGTTCATGTCGTAGAGCAACAGAAATTCTTCGTCGTTTTACTATGCCCTGGTCGTTGGCAAGATAAAGGGCCTCTCGTGTTTCACGAAACGTACACATAGCTAAAATCAATCTGAAGTCATTTTTTTTGCGTAATGTTTTGTGTATATAGAACGGCGACGCAATTGCTGACGAATTGCTCGCATCAATTTGCAACAATTGCGTCAGTGATTGCGTGACCATTAGCCGGCGCCGTCCTATTTGCGTAAGCTCTCTATTATTACGTCAGACTTCGTAATTTTGACTCCGGAACTCCGACTCCGGAACTCCGACTCCGTGTTATCCATGTTCTGACTCTTCCACAGTCCCTAACAAAGCGATGAAAATTGATGACGCAAAGAATCATGGGAATACCCCGAGGCTATTTGTTGGGCGCGCCCCATCATCAACCGCGCAATAGGTAAGCGACTGGGGACGAGTCAGATTCATGTTACAATTTTTGAATTCCCATTTTCCAGTAAAATGTAAATTCCGTTATCCGATTTGTCGATGTTTACGATAATTTAGTAATTTGATACTTCAAATATCACGTGTGGTACTCGAAACTCGAGGAGCCGTTAAGTGTAAGCATACTAATTAAGACTTCCTGGTGATTTTAATAAATAAATTTAATTGATGTTTTGTTTGCTTCATAATTACTTGCTTGATTATTTCCATTCTTTTTAATATAGTACCAAGTACTCTGAAATGGTCGCATGGTGTTTTGAGAACAAGAAATGTAAATTAAGGTAAGGGGAGTCGTTAAGACAACATGATTCGAAATAAGACTGAAATCATCAAAAGTACAAAGTGTTAAATAAGAATAAACTCAAACAATGGTCAATGCTGATAAGACTCCAATTAAAATCATTGACGGATTTTAAGAATTCATAAGTGTGCATTATGTCATATTTCAGTGTTTTAGTATGAACTACATTAAAGTAGTTAAAAATTCCCCTTACTTCTGTAGGGGTAATTGTAGATAGAGTTGTAGATACACCTGAGTCCCTTGTGCAACTTACTTTGGAGCAGTATGCACTATATGCTGCTTGCCTCAATTTTTGCCTGATTTTTGGTGCATGCTATTCTAGGGCATGGATGCAGTATTGTAACTGCCGATATATAATGGCAGAAATTATAATGTTTGCTATTTATCAATTACTACCCAAATCTTGCATAATGCAACTTGGGCGTAATTGCTTTGCGATTCCTGGGGCTGGTTGTATAAAGCTCTTGTCCTGACCTTAACTACAGTTAAATGTTAAATAGTCTTTTATACAACCGACCCCTGGTGTTAATATCCGAGCTAAATTAGCACCACTTGGGTCATCATAAATCTCCAGCAAAAGAAATTGATTTATAATCAAAGTTTAATAATAATTTTTCTTAATATTGTACCTACAATTTTGCTTAACATTTTCAATTGGTGTTTAATTGCTGTATTAAAGTTTATATTTTTATCATTATTACTCTTCAAACATAAGTTATTGTTGTAATTGTTAATTATTAATCTACTTTTCAAAGTACCATACTTCAATCATAATTTCATGCATTAATTAGTCCATAATTGTTTTGTAATCATCATGCTGCTAGTTCTGAAAAGGCTTAATTCAATACTCTTGCATTATATATGTTGCACAATTGTTCAAGACATTTTACATTTAATGGCAAACTAAATGACTGACTACCCTAATCGAATATTTTCCACAATCGATTATGCTTAGCAGGTCAGATTAGGAGTGCAAATGTGAAGGGTCATCTTCGAAACACCATTGTCTTTTCATGCACGTCTCTTGGAGTTCAAAGTTTTTTGTTGGCAAGTTTGCTGCCTGTAAATAGTTCCCAAGGTCTTTCCATTTAAGATGGCTAATGAGAGTATGACACTTCGGTGATTATATATATCATCAATATATGATTGGATGTTGGCCGTTGCTTTTGATCGAGGTTCTTAGGAATTAGTTAATATGTCTTTTGGTATTGATCAGATGCTGTTGAATTCATATATTGTTCAGTATTGATCAAATTTTTTATGTGCATTTCCTTTGGTATTTGTCAGATAACAGTATTGTTTATTTAGATGTCTATAATTCTTGATTGATCACATGCTGATTGATCATTTCTTGTTTACGGTATTAACATACCTGACCATGTTATGTATGTAGTTGTACCAGGTCAGTGTTGAAATGTTTTTTTGCTTTATATCTGTAATTTATTGTGCGTAATTTTCATTCACTTTGCTATCAAGAATTGTCCAAGATTATAATGGTATCTTTCCTTATGCTCTTTTTTGTTGCAAAAGTGCAACCCGTTGTTTGTACAATGATCGCATATAGTTTGTACAACTGGATCGTTCCTCCATGTGTGGGCAAATGTACAAGATTTGGAAAATGTTTCTTTGGAAGATGACTTGTGTTTCAAACATTCAACCGATTTTGGAGCTCCTTGAACTTGGGCTCCATGATGTACTCTTCCAGTTTTCGGATCAATGTATTTGGGAGGGAAGTCTTTTTCACCTTCTTTGGTTTTTACAGTTCTTTTTCTGAAATTTGTATTTTTTTTCCACGCTTCTTCCATGCTGCTGGTGTTTTGTTGAGGGTCTCTTGACGACATAGCGGCACCAGTCATTAGGGATTTTTCAAACGTTTTGTGATTTTCACCCTTTTGTTGTAATGCTTGGCTTCCAGTAGCAGCAGTCCTGTGTATTTCCTTCCGACCATTGTTACCTGGATTTGGCGTTGCAATTTGTTTCCGGATGGCTGTTTTAGCTTTCGATGCTAAAACTGATTTCTTGTGCGAGTCTCCGAACTGCCATGCATGGCTTGGGCCCTTCGAGCTTCCGTTTTTTTGAGGTAACCCCCTGGCATCATCATTTTTGAACTTCTCTCGAATTTCATTGTAGGTATCCTTGTCGATAGGGTCGTACGCGTAGGGCCCAGTGATTGTGAATCCAAGACAAAACCACAGTTCATCTCGACTTTCATGCGGATATCTGTCATTATCGAATGGGATTTCAATTCCTCTGTAATCTAACACGCCCCTTTTCTGAAGATTCTTTTTCCCGCTTAAACGTTCGAGTTTTTCGTAGACGATTTTGCTACGCCAAAATTCTGTTTCAAGCTTTACATATCTGCTACGAGAAATCGCTATTTTCGGTTCATCCGCGTCTTGGCTGACGACGTGATGTGGAGGGATGATCGATTTCAAACCGATGCCTTTTCCCAGAAGGTATTCAGCCCCAGATCGACGATATCCAGGATTTGATCCCTGGAATCGTTTTCGACATACCGCAACTGAACTTTTAACGACTGCTACATCTGTCTTGAGCGAACCGTTTGGCACTGGAAAGTGAAGCATGTAGCTAAACATGTGAGCCCATTCTGAATCTGGGTACTTTTTGCACCACTCTTTAACTAGTTGGGATAAACTATCGAAGGTGTTATATTGTTGCAAGGCTGCTTTAGCACATGTTAGCATTGCATTGTGGCTGCTTGTTTCATTCGGAATGGCGTTGCTCAATAATTGATATATATTTTCAATTATGTCCGGAGTAAGTCTCATCCACGAACTGAAAGGCGATTCGTGGTTCTTGTACAAAAGGTCGTTAACAATTTCTTCATTCAATACGACTCCCTGGTCGAAATTTGTTCTATCCAGATTTGTCACTTCATAAAACCTTGTGCGTAGCTTCATTGCCCTAATTTTCGCATTTTCTAATTTCTTTCTTTCATGTGCTTTATAAGAAAGCTTACGACGGATCTGTATTTCTCCGAGGAAGTCGTTTAGAAGCTGAACGGCAGTGTTTAATAGGGAAATAAAGTAATCATTGTTTTCCTCAGTTATTACTGTTCCCAGTTCATCCGGATTTTTTTTAAAGGTGACATATCGTTTGAAGCTTTCATCTTGCCCGTTCGGATGCTGAGCAAAAAATGGCAGCTTTTTGAACATCATTACAAGAACAACAATTGTTTGGATTTTTCCAATAATACCATAAAGATAACTGTCACGGTTCTTATCCTTTAATGCATTTTCATACAGATCAATACCTTTCTTTGTAGTATTTATCGCTTCTTCGATGACCAGTTTTAGCTCATTTATGTCGTGACCATTATTGTGATACAGGTATTTAAGCTTCAGCCTATAGAATGTCGCTTTGGTTACGAGGTGATGGATATAAGATTGTTGCAGTTTGGTTGCTTCATCTATTACTCTGTGGGCAATATCGAATCCAATTTCTGGCGAAACAATGGAGCTATTATCTCGATTGATAATTACATTCACTCTTTCGACGAGAGGAAAAATTTCTTTAGGAATACAGTTCATTCCTATTTCGTATGCAAACATCCTGGCAATTTGTTGTAACGTATGTGCTTTATGATGAATGGTTGTGACTTCTTCACTTAATGTGATTAAAAGGTCGAGTGCATTTTTCACATGTTGGTCTTCTTGGTTTGGTAAGATATCTAAAATTAATTGCGAATATTTTGTTCTTACTTCCGGTATTTCAAGGAATTCGTCTTCAATTCCCTCATTTTCAATATCGGACGGATTTTCAGCTATCATATCACGTTGTAGTAAAACAGAAACAGTGTCGTCGATTAAAAATTTCCACACATATGCTCTTCCTAGGCCTGTATTCATTTCTTCCACCATTTTTTTCGCAGTTTTGAAAAGATCAATTTCTTCTCTTACAACTTCCCCGACAAGAGAGTGGGCTGGTCTCCATCCATGATATCCCACTGACTCATTGCGTTCGTCAAGGAGTATACCCCCAAATTTGTCATGAATTTTGTCAATCTTTCTCTCTTCATTAGTCTTTAGACCTCCCCGGTAGTACAGGATTTCTTCGACGCAAGGTTGTGGGTAGATAGCTCGCCTTTTGCTGTAATAGTATAGCAAACAGCAGAACTGAAGAATCATCTCGTAGGCATCGTTTAACTGGTCATTTAGACTTCGGGATAGTACCTGTAAAATGTGTTTCGAGAGGCGAGGTTTAATTTCAGCATATTTGCGACCAAAAAGTTCCAGTCCAAGCCATACAAATCTTCTCTCACGATCCAGCACTTTAACTGCCTCTTTTGCTCGCTCGCTTTCCAAGGTACTGAGAACTCCTCGAACTCTGTCTATTTCGGTGTTATCTAACTTTCCAAGAGTGAAATCGTTAGCCTGATTTCCCGTCGACTTATCGAGTGGTGTGGTAGTCAACAGTACGCATTTGGTTTTATTCTTTGATAACAGGTCGCTTAGGTGATGCACTTGCTTCTCTGGAAAATTATCGACCAGTATTAAAACTGGAGGTATGTGCGCAGGGTTTGTGTCCAGTGTTTCGTACAAAAATTTTTGCAATTGGCTGATCTGGTATTCTGTTTTCTCGCTGATCTTTTTTACAACTGCGCATCTGTACTCCTCTTTCTTCTTCCATAGTATCTGCCTGCCAAGTGTCGTTGCACCTGAACCAGATTCATAATTCAGGGTGACCGTTTCTGTATATTGCTCCACTGTTTCCATGTCTGACGAAAAATTTTGTAATTCTTGTAGATGCTCGTCAATGCAGCGTATCAGCTTCGTTTCCAACGTTCGTTCAATGGCGTCCTTGTGAAAGAGATTCATTTGACTGATGGCATTCCCCATATAGAAGCTTTCCTTGGCTTTCTTTATGTCCTCTAATTCACTACTTAGATCTGGATGCGGGATATAAACCTCAAGGTCCGTCAACGATTTGATTCTCTTGCTAAGTACAGGACGCAGTCTTCTAGCTAAGTAAGGTAGTTCTGTTGTTGCATCTGGATCGTCCAACCCAATTGGTCCAAGTAGTCCTTTTATGATATCTTTCAACAAATTAAATTGTATACCAAAGATAGAACAAGGAGGTTTCACGTTCTTACTTATATCATGTTTTAAGGATTTGACCATTTGAGTTCCCAGTTCTTTTCTTTCAGTTATTATACTAATATGCTTGTTAGCATCACTTCCAATAATACTAAATGAGGAATCGACGATATCAGCCATTTCTTGCAAATTGTCATTACTCAATACGAGAAATACACAGTGGACTCGGCCAGTAGGGGTTTCACTATAGGCCGACAACGCTTTGTACAGAGAATTTTTAGAGAACATGGTCCAGCTGCTTTCATGCATCTCCTTTGTCCGAACTATCCACGTGGTGTCAACTTTCAAGATTGATTCATTGACCTTCGGATCTTTAAAATCGTCCAGATACTTCATGCTTGGCCTTAAACAATCATTTGTTTCATTAAGAATATAATACAGGCCATCCTTTTCTGTTTGTAAATCGAAAAGGTCAAACACTGCAATCCAAGGGATTTTCTTAAGAAACGAGATTGTATTTGATCCTCTGTATTCTGGAGTAACCCTGTTGGCTATCAGAATATAGCTATTTTCTTTGTAATTAAGTTCTCTCAAACTCTTTCTGACATTAACGCTGAGCGTTTGAATGTTCAAATCTTCTAAAGAAATTCAATATAAAATGAGTTGTTGTGTGAATTATTGTTACTATATTGGCTGTTTTCACTATATCTTATATATTCATTAAGGCGTAAATTTTTTTTACTTTCAATATCTTACCTCTTGTATTGAGTGCTTCCTTCTGTTGTTTGGCTTTCGTATTTTCTATAAAGTTTACATATTTTCAAAATTGAGTGAACATAAACGTGGCGATGGATTTAAAAATACAAACATTTGATTTGCTTTTCGGCCATAAAATGGCAAATTATAGGAATTATTCTTAAAGTTTTTTTAAAGTATTTTCCAAGTTCAAGTTTACTATACCTTGCCATTCTCTGTACTTCTGCGAAAGTGGTTCTTTCACTTGCTTTACCGTATCAATTGCTTTAACAGACTCTGATGATCCACAAGTCCTAATTGCAGGATCTTCCCACTTGTCTTTCTCCACCTTGTACAAATCGTGCAGTCCACTTTTCTCACTATTTCGTCCTTCTGAGAGTTAAGATAAATTAAATTTTGAACGACGTTCTAATGAGCCGCATGCGTTTGAAAAACTACATGCTAAGCTGATGGGCTCTTGATTTTTATAAGTCGCGCGAATTAAAGGCTGCATGATCGAGGACGAGAATGACGCGATTTGATAATAATAAGGTATTATTAATTTTTTTCTCAATGAACATAGTAATGAATACACGAACTAGTAATTGTGATGTTTATGAGTGCATAACAAACTTTATTTCCACAATTTATCTGATCAACTATCGTATATGGCATATATATAGAGGCATGCATGGGGATAGCGAGTTCGGACTGGTGAATGCATGTGAATGTGACTTTTTCCTTAAAAAGATCATCACAAACAACACATGAAATTTAGATATTCTGAACAGCTGAAATCAGCGAAGAAAAATGTATGCACCTCTTTTTTCAGTCCATTTCTGAAAGTAGTATACAAAATCTTTACAGAACATCCATTCTCGCTTCACTTCAATCTCAATAACATAGCGTGCTGTTCGTTTTCCTGATTCCCATACCGGAACAAAATGTATATTAATACAATTCATGTCACCACCTGTCGTCATCTTACCATTATCACTCTTGATGTGATCGCCCAATGTTCTTTGGTATGCTTGGGTTATTTCGTCCCTAAAGCCTTTGACTTCCAAACCAATGATCTCGCCGCGTTTATAATTGGTTGTTTTATCATATGAATCTCCAATTCCAAAGTATATTATTCCCCGCTCACCACCATTTAGAATGCCACAGATGAACTTTTTTGCTCTTTCCATAATTTTCCATGGTAGTTTTAGTGCAGTTTCTCCTGTCAATGCCTTGTATTCGAATGTTTTGTCTTCCGTGTTTGGAAGTACATTTCCCTTGGTGTAGTGATAGTTTTCTCCAGGCTTGCTGAATGGTCTACGGTCATCTGTTGGCATAAACAACTCGTGATACAAAATGCCATTGGCGGATCAAGGGATTACTGCAGGTTTAATTTGCCATCGCATTAGGTCGTGTTTGAGTTAGGTTTATTAGGTCGTGTAGTATATTTTCCCTAGCCCTAAATCTGCTGTTGCAAAAGGTAAACATGATACAAACAAGGAATAATAAAATCAGGAAATCTGTCATATAAACATTGTACTGACATACCAATCTTTCCTTCAAATTGGCTAGGAGAACTTTTTTCATTCTCAGACAATGTTTTTCTATCTTTGGATTCTGAGGTACTGGCTACACCTGCGTTGATAGCTGGTTCTTTGCTTTGATCACTTGAAACATTTCGATCTATTCCATATGGGCAGCAGTGAAATAATTGATTTATTAAACTATATCAAGATTTTAAGAACTGCATGTGGAGTTGTTTGGTAAGCCTATAATAAATACTAAAGCAAAGCTCAAGAAATGACTTTCATCCAAGACATTTATTCGTGGCGTTTCGTTGTTCAAATATATGGCGAGTTTAAAAAAAATCAAAGTTCGACAGAAATACTCGCATCTCTGCAGTGTGCATTCACTGGGTAAAAATTATGGGATAACATCTACAGCAATACAAAATACCACAAATATATATGCATATATAAATATATAATAGCTGTTTTCACGTTAGAATACGGACAAATCGTCTGGACTAATAAATCGTCCTGCAATTTGTTCGTCTAATATGAATTCTAGACAGACAGAAACACGCCTTTGTGTCTGGGACAAGTCTAAATAAAACAATATGGCTGCCGTACGAAAATATCTCTGGGAAATACCCAGTGAACTGTAATAAAACCTGGAACGCTAACTCCTACAGAATAATTGTATTTTGCATAGTTCTAGACATTCCTATAGACAATTATTTTCTACGCCTGTCTCAAACGTTAAAAAACTCAGAAAAACCACCCTCAAATTTGGCGGCCAGGTTTTATTACAGTTCACTGGAAATACCTATTGGTTTGCCTCCTCCGCAGGTATCTCTAATGCATTAAATTGTGTAGTAAGGTAATAATGTATTAATTTAGTTTGTTCGTGTACTTTGTTCATGCAACATGTATGAATTGAAGACATTTTTGATCATGCAGTGACTTGTTTATCAAGACGATTGAATCGTGCCGAAAACTCGTCTTAACAGACGGAAAAGGGGTCGGACAAATTTAGACGTTTTGTTCGTGTGAAATGTTGTCCGACTCGCTTTCACATCATCAAACGATTTGTCCGTCTTCTAATGTGAAAACGGCTAATATACCTGATATTTTTCGGGAAAACCATTTTTTACTGAATTTTATTGCAGCACCACATGAAATTTCCACAGACTGTAATTGAGAGTTAAAATTAGAAACTTATGTATGTCCTATCATTAAAACTTTAAGTCATGCATATGGGGATATCAAAGGAACTAGATTTAATCACGAAATATCATACTGACATTCCATATGTATTTTTGTGCGCCTTATTTGTGCTCCTTATTTGTGCTCCTTCAGGTGAACTAGTCTACGAATACGCATATTTGCCCAATCATTATATTGTTCGGTTAAGAAACTTACCCTTAATTCATTGCGCATATCAGGCTCCGTGAGTAGATAGTCAAGAGCGTGATCCTGTTGATAACAAAAAAGTAACTAAACCGTATTCAATCTGTCCAGTCGTAATAGATGTTGGAAGGCTCTGAAACTAAGAATTTGATTTCTTATCACAGAACAAAGACTTTAACTTCACATCTAATTTGCGTTTACCGTAAGTTCATTTTCTTTGAAAATGTGCAGCAAGTCAGTTCTTCCAATTTCCTTCAATATAGAAATGATTTGTAGAAATTCTTTTTCTTCTTCAGGTAAACTCATCCCTTTTTCGGTGTTAAATTTCACTACGCCCAATAAGCCTTTAGGTAAACGTTAAATTCTGTATCTATACATCACTTTGATACTCTGCATGGAAATAAGAAATATCACAGAAAATTAGGAGATGCGTGAAATTGAACCATGTGAATTTGCATATGTATGCTATTTGTTGCATTTATACATTACAATACGAAATACTTACATTTCAAGAAGGAATCGCTACTAGCCCGGGAAAGGACAAGATCAAGGCTCTATTTGATTTTACAATCGTACCTATTGTCACCTCTAACTTGTAACAAGCATTGTTCACTATATAGTATTCCTGAAGACTGGAGAAACGGCCGGGCATTAAGATATCCTAAACGTCTCGCTGCTTGAAAACTTCACATTTCAAAGAAAAATGTCGTATAAAATTATGTTAATAATGATATTTATCATATGATATGCAGTGTTTTATTGGCAAATCCGCCGTGAGCAGCGATAGTAACACATTTTGCGATTATCGTTTTTGATCCACCAATCAGGAAGCAGGTATATGTGCAGCCTGCGAGTAAAAAATTTTTTAATAAAAAACAGATTTAATATCATTGTAGCACTGGAAATAAATTCCATATTCCCGCGCATCCATGCATTATTCTCTATACTAGGATACCTGCAAGGTAGGGGTAGCTTCGACATTATAAGCCAATAAAACTACATGTATGCTACAATTCACAGCAATACCACATGTAGTGAAGTTAAACGAATTTACGGACGATGCGCACAGAACTGCGCCCAACCACCTAAAAATGCTTTTTTTTCTGCCTACTGCACAAATTAGAATGCTGCTACGCTCGCTCGCTCGCTCCGCAGCAATAGTTTTTAATATCAATATATGATATGAAAATGTGTGCTTTGCGATGCATGTTGGTAACGATTTCTATTTTAGTAGAATGCATTGGACATACTCGACTGTAAATATGGGCGAAAACACCATGCATAAAGCCTGGTTGAATCTGGTTTTCATTTAGTCCTAATTGTCATGAATATTGCATACCTGAGCTAGTTTGATTAAGGATTAATGCACTCCGTGAGTGCATTATCGAGTTTTACATGCATGAGTTCACGAACAAGGAACGAGAAGTTCAATAAATCCAATAACGGTACTGCCGTGGCGTTGTTGCTATATAACATTCACTCACGTGGTACAAATCATTGACCAATCAGAACGTAAGTTTACAAAAAATGAATATTAATACAGAATATAAAAGACAAATATACACTTTAAGTTTGGCCACAGTTAATATTCTGTATATATTCTGCTGATAAACTTTGTCTTTTAACTCCACTATCCTAAAGTTAAGTGTGCGGCAATTTCGCGAAATTACAAACGTTCTACATCAAACTCGTAATATGTTCGGCAGTAATGTAAGAAAGCAAAAGACTATTTCTGAATTATTTGGAAAAGCAGCAAATTCAGCTTTGCCGTATGTGTTTCACGTTCGATCGCCGTATAAAATTTATTTGGGAGCTTTAGCAGTGACTACGAGTACGACCACGAGTACGAGATTCGTCATTCTCGCGCGTTGTTTGCTTACGCCATCAGCCAAAACTCGTAGTCGATAAATTTGATAAATTTCGTACTCGAAAGCCCAACGACTACGAGTTTTGGCTGATGGCGTATAAGCAAACAACGCGCGAGAATGACGAATCTCGTACTCGTAGTCACTTCTAAAGCTCCCTATTAGGAAGCTTTAGATTTGACTACGGCTCCCGCTACCGCTACGAAATTCATCACATTGACGTGATATTCGTGATACTTTGTAATGACGCCATAGACTCGTAGCCGTCGCTTATATGACTACGGCATTTTAAGAAAACTTCGTAGTCCTCACTACGTTATTTAAAAAGCAATATAAGACTAAGTTGACATTTTTTCGTTTTTTCCAGAAAATAATTTGAGAGAACTGTTTTTCATAACCGTGGCCTTTGATTATGTGTATTTTTGAAATAGTAGACGTAAAATTTCCGAAATATTTGACAGGATAAACATGCATTTTTTATTGTGTTTGCCGTGGTTTATCATGCCAGCACGAGGTGGCGTATGCATACAACGTTTGTTTCGCGCCACACTGACGAATTTCGTAGCCGTAGCGGGAGCCGTAGTCAAATCTAAGCTCTCTATTGTTTGAACGGCTGCGGGTGTATGCAGTTCAAAGTTTATTAGGAGTTTGGCGTTTGCTGTAATAGGATTCCTAACGAATTTCTGGCGGTTTAATACAACATATTTATGCCAATTGTTACATACATGAACTCAAAGTGAAAACAAAATATACTTGCCTTTACCTTTGCTAATGTTCCATGATATTGGCTATAGTTTTGTTGAAACAACCCTACCGAACTTTTGAGAATCAATATTAGCCGTACTCCCACGTTTTTCGACGTGTCCGATCAGAGCAGGGAAGATCGTTTGTATGCAAGAATTTAAGTGTGTTTATTTGCAGATGCCTGCACGTTACCATGGCTTAGCTCGAATGTTTAATCACCTTGAGCATCTGCAGGTGCATGTGACCAAGTTACGAATGGCAATAAATCACCACATAATTTACCGGAATTGAAAAATTCTTTGATTCTGCGATTGCCAATTGAGTGTGAAATGGCAAGTTTGTTCGCCACAGTTTAAGTATGTAGAATGAGATGCGGTTCGTAGTTTTCCAGTCTGAAAACAGTGTTAGTGACGTCATCTAATAATGTTACTAGGTGACGCTCATCAAGTTGTCTACATAGATATAATCCAGGCCTCCACGCGGAAATTTCGTAGGTAAAATGGCGGTAATTATGATTTTCCCATTGATTGATTTTCCTTTGAAATGTCCGCGCCAAAGGCCTGGATCATATCTACAAGAAAGGCTTCATGTTCCGCCATCTTGGCTTCACTCATGAATGAGGGAAAGTCAGAGAGCTAGCGCTCTAGTCTTTCAGTCATTGAGTTCACTGAGTTGTCTACTCAAATGTCTAATTCGTGAGTAACGAGTATAAATAGATTACATTAGAAATAGCGGCTATTTTATTTTGTTTTTGTTAAATGATTAAGTCAATCGAGATGGAGAATATATAGCTACGAGAAGAGGGAGAACATTCATGAGTGGTAAATGTTTTATGACAGTTATTTTTTATAACTCATTTCCAATGAGATGAATAAGTACAATTACAACGATTTTTCCAAAGCACAATTAACGATTTTTCCAAAATAAACAAAATGGCGGAAAGTTATTTGCATACAAACTAAACAGCTCAGGAAGAACTAAAAAAGGCCAGAAGTGAACGAAATTACTGTCAAAAGTACAAAATAATGGATAAAAATCTGTCAGGACTGTATTTTACAAGAAAATATGCATGCTTTGTCCTAAAAAATGATGTCCTAAAAGAACTCGACGAAGCGCTTTAAAAATTTTAATTGTGCTTGTATTGCTAGTATTATATGTGAGATTACATAAACGTCAGTGGACAATAGGGTAAGATAAATCGCGAGATGGAATAGACTACCCAATTGAGGTTTCATTTGGCTAGAATAACTGTCTTTTCATTAATGTTTGAAACGTCAATGTTCTCGAAAAATTTATCACGTATTCTTTCCAATAATTAATTTCTATGGTGTGAACTCTAGTGCCTAGTGCCACTATACATCATCAGTTTCGGAAAAAAATTCGTGTCGTGGAAAGGGGCCTTTTATATCGGATGAAATCTCGTAGGAATGACAAGTATTTCAAAACTGCGACCAAAAAGCTTTCGAAATATCCGGGATTAAGTAGCCATTCTTCAAATATATCAAACACTCTTTGAAAATGCAATGTTTATAATATACGTCATAACTTCGTGACAAGCTCCTTGTGTAAACTGGGATTGGAATAGGCATGTTGATGAGCCGTTTCCGAATCGGATTCTGAAATGAGATTATGCATATCTTCTGTCTTGGGCTTCATTTTTCCTTTCGATATCACAGGATTACCCGTCGTTATTTGCACCTCTTCCGTATTCTGTTGAATGTTTGCGTTTGGGTCACGAGGGGTCCGCGAGAGACTCAACCGTTTCTGTTCCACTGCTTCGGGCGAATTGACGATCGAAAATGGCGTAGGGATCCACGAAAGTCGTACACCGCTGGCGTTTATTTGCGACGCATTGTTCATCGCGATTTGCCAACGCGTCTGCTCTTTGACATTTTCGTATGTAAACAAATGAGTTCCTTTCTTCGTTTTGAGTCTAAGTGAGTATTTACTGAGCTTGGAATAATCTCGCCGAAATCGCTCGGCAATTTCCCCTGTAGACTGTCCCTTATCGCATGTGCTTCCAGGCTGGATTTCAATCCGACCTACGACGCTGATTTTCTCGCTGCTCTCGTAGAAGGTCAATTGGCGGCCGTACAACACGCACCAGTAAGGAGTCCATTTGTAATTTCTCTCGCGTTTCAACACTTGTCCCTCGTACTGCCCGGCTGTAAGGTCAGAATAATCCGAGATTTCCTCGCTTTCCATCGGGAGTTCAATATCTTTATCGCATAGAATTTGAAAGAGATTTATTTATAGCCTTTAGCGAGTGCCACAGCGTTGAAGCCGTCAAACACGAGCGTGGACGGCGCTGATTTAGAGCTTATACGATACCAACTTGTGTTGTCAGGAGAAAAACGTCGTTGGTTGTGTAATATGATACTTTTAATCGCACGGTAGGAACTGTAGGAAGTCGGCCAGCACAACCACCCTGATGGACACGCTATCAGATGTGTTTATCGTGTCTAGTCCTTGTGAGATATTGAATTTCACTGTGAGAACCTTTTGCCAGATGTATATTGTTTGGATAAGTTCGCGCGTTTGAAGAGTTGAATCGTAATATCGCAAAACCGATCACTTTCACCGCATCCAGAGTCGTTTGAATTTGTTTTTCGGTACGAGTTTCAATATTCACGGCTTCTCTTGATCTATGATCTATCCACAAAAATTGTGAAGTTGAATGAAGCTTTGTTTAAAAGCCCCAAACAAATTTGAATAGAGGACGCGATGTCTCGCCAAATGATTGACTCTTGAATCCGATATCTCAAGTGCAAATGTCCTGGCAAAGATCAGTCTTTTTCAAAACTGAATAACAGTAGAGTGTTTGAATCGATTTTTCTAAGCAAAAGAACAGCAAGTTTCTCTTAAAATTATAACTTCCCTTTTCATTCAAAGCTCTACGAACGAGTAACAACTCTGTAAGTCTTTGCAAGCTTTTATCTGCATTCCCACGACGCTTGTTAAGGACGATGACAGCATTCGTATGCTCTTTTGCTTCGGTCCTACACGCTTGGCAGATCAGGTTTCCTATCAAAGCTTGTTTATTTGATCACAAGAGCCTGCCTTTCACGGTGTGGACAGATGAATTGACTTCAGAAAAGTGAAACAACGTTTAAGGAAGACAACAATAGTCACTACGCATTCTGCTGTCGTGTCGCCTAAGGTTTTCTGTTTTGAATTATTCATTCTTGTTGACCCACAATGTGCAGTGGAAAAACCACAAGATGCCATCAAGATTTGCCTTGTCGTAGTTGTCGATCGACATGCATTAGAATATTCATAATAAAACACCACATAATATTCAACATTTTTTACATGCTTTATTTTAATTCCTCTTGTACAAATCTGAAAAGTTTTTTTTAATCCTAATCGTTTTTTTATTTACGGCCTGTTGCGAGCATTAGAACAGCTTTAGATGGATTGGATATATATAAAGGTTTCCGTGTATGTGATTCGATAACTTTTAGTTAAATCGCAATCTATAACACGCTCTTGATAAATTATTTAAATATTTTTAAACGATTAGGGGACATTGAAATCTAAACTGATTGGGCATTCTGTACAGAAAACCTTTTAAGCTGATTTCCACTTAGGAAATGTTTTCGCAGGATCAGATGGAAAGGATGAAAAGGTTTCTCTGAAAGTGCGAAAGAACAATTAACTTAGTTCAGCATACACAGACCTGACAGACAGAAAGAAATACAATTTCCTTTCCGCGATGCTGTCATGATCTGTCATGATGAAATTGCATTGATATTGACAGTAAGGACTTTTTTTAGTGGTCTATTTTTGTTTTCTGGCAAAATTCGCTTAATTTAACCTGTATATATGCGTAGTTGAAATATTTCGGGTCATACAAGCCGTGTGATTTTGAAAACGGCTGTTACTTCATCTAAAGGCATCGTTAAAGATTTAATACTACATGCTTGTGGATGGTTTTCCCATTATAACTATGACGTGTTGCCATTGGTTTCTCCTGCGTTTGAACTCTTTATGAGATCCTTATGTGCACTCATATCGTAGTCCAAATATAGCTAATCAGTATTTACTGATATATACCGTTTATTTATTTACCGTTGTAAAAGCAATTATATTCTTTCTTGTTAGTTTTCAATTACTGGCTTAAAACTGGTATATATAAACAACAGCTGGTTAAACAAACAAGCCAGTTTAGTGGATCCTTTGAAAAGTACAGAAAACTGTTGATGTAAAACACTTATATAGCTATATTTATGATCCAATAAATGTAGTAACATAAGCATTTCCTGAAATCAAATTACAGCAAATATAGGATTTTGATGTCGACAAACAGGATAATGTATACGTGTTCCAACATGTGATGGCAATCATGATTGCTTACCTTTGGAAGAATATATCCGTATATGCTCTTATTTCCTAATAGTCTATTTGAAATTCGATTCATATGATATCCAAGTCAAATTTTCATGAAAAACCTCCATGATATTGTACACTGACTATTTTGCATGGCCACATTCTAATTAAGCTTATATTTTCAGTAAGCTAATGACTTTTTTCCAGGAATAATTTTTTTTTACCATTTTATTTTTCCGATTAACGATGCGTCTGTCCTCGTAAGGATTAGAATATTGAGTGATAAAGACATATTTACGATTTCAATTTATCGGTTATTTATTGCTTTGTATCCCTATCATAAGTATTTAATACATTTATTTTATATTCTACCTACATGTATTTATAATATTTAACATGTTAATCCAGTTAATTAATATCCTAGTATATATTATACTTTTATACATTATTTTATATTAATACTTTCTCTGTGAAGGAATCTCTATATAGGCATGTTCAGACTTCAGATATATCAGATATATGAATGCGTGCACCCTTATTATTCTCCTACATACATTGATCTGAATCTACCATCAAATATATAGGCTGGTTCACAATTTCAAAGTTCATGAGGTCGCAAGTGAAAAATTTGCAAAAGCTTTAATAAAAGTTTTAGGTATTTGTTGCGGGAATTCTGGTGAAATATACCCGTGTTGAACACTGTCTTAGTTCCCACGAATAATTCCTGCAAATCTGTCATGAAAACTTTACCATTTGAATTAATATTCTAACTGTAATCACAGAAACTTTGACAGTCATAAACCAGACCTGGGGGCCCCACTTGCAATTTTTCATTTCGAATTTCTTTTCATAAATGCGAAAGAGGGAATGATTAGAAATACTCTGATATTTATCAGTGCCTTTATCTCACCGTTTGTAACTTATTCACTCGTTCACATCTATTCAAAGAAAAAATTGGCGTCTAAAATCGTAGTAAAACAAGCAATAGGCAATATATCAGTGGCAGATTTACACCAATGCCCTAGCCTCTGTTTTGTTACCCTCCCCACCGTTGCTGTTTCGCTTGCCAGATCTCCTCGACAGATCCATATTACCAGTGCGTTGGCTTGAGCCAGTCGGAGACTCGTCGCCGGATCCTCGGCGTAGTCGATACCATGACGAGATTCGCACGAAGACAAACCGAAAGCCAGTTCGGAACTCGAACGACATAAAACTGAAGAGGAATGGGTTCACTGTGGTGCTCAGAATTGTCGCTAACACGGCGTAGTTTTTCACTGTTGGAAGAATCTATAAGAGAACATTTTTATTTCAGCAATGTTGTTGCAAAGTTGTCTTTGCCTGATTAATTGAGTAGCTTTTTCAGAGGTTCAGTGTTGGACATTTGGGCTTCCAGTAGAATTTCGAGTTTCAACTCAAATATTGCTTGTTGGAAAACGATGTGGCGAATAAAGGGACTTTCACGCGCGTATGAAACGCACGCCGGTAAGTGGAAAGTAGCCCTTAATTCGCAGGAAATGATCGCTGTAAAAAACCGTACCTTTGGATTTTTCCAAGGTGTGTCTCGAGCGTGTTCCACGAACTCAATGATATTCCAAGGCGACCAGCACACGAAGAACGCGACCACGATAACGATAACGAGAAGGGACATTCGTTTGCGTGCTTTGAACTGCTTGCGTTGCGTGTCGTTCTTGTCCGCGAGGAATACGAGCGGCTGTTTGCGTAAGGTCATCGAGATGAGAGCGTACATGAAGGCCATCAGAGCCAACGGGATGAAATACAGTATTACGTACACGAACGTGTAGTACGCGCGGGACTCGAGTTTGCCTGGCCATTCTTGAAAGCAGATACTGTATTCCGGACTTAACTCCTTGTACGTCATCACGGAAAGGAATGGTGACGAGAATACGAAACTTAGTACCCAGGTTCCTAAGATCAACGCCAAGGTGCGCTTCGGTTTGCCGCGAAACGATAACGGATAGCGCGTTGCTAGGAAACGCTCGACCGTAATCAGAATCAGGTTCATGATGGAAAACGCGTAGAACGAACGAAAGACGAAATAATATACGCGACAAAATACAGCGCCGTATTTCCAGTTGTAGCGATCTAGTATCATGGACATGTGGAAAGGCGCTAAGATGGCGAACAGCAAGTCGGAAAAGGCGAGGTTGGCGAGCAGGTAGTAGATGGTCGATCGCATGTTCGGGTTTAAAAATATCGTGAATATGACGAGGATATTTCCAATGATTCCAAGGGCGTCGAACAAGGCGAAAAGAACTTTGTACAAGCCAATGGTGCCGGAGAAGTGATCAAAGTCTTTTCCCTGATGCGATCTTGTAAAATTAGTGTGACTGAGTAGGAGCGATACATTTGTAAAGTTAGACATCGTAAATCTCAGTTGAGATCTTTAGGTCAATGGTGCAAGGGTTTTTCTCAAATCAGGTGGATTGTCGGTAGATAAGAGATATCTTATCGTGTCTTCTGCACTGAAACTTTCTTCCGACTTTCAACAGAAAGGATTGCTTCAAATTCTAGGCAGTGTTCAGAGGAACAGAAAAATCTGCCGTGTTGCAACAGAAGCAAGTGCTGTTCCCTTCGAAGAGAAAAAGTTCTTAGTATAGATTCGAGATTGTCGAAAGGTAAAGTTTTCAGAATATGAAGCAATGAAACATACCTCCTTACCTCCTTTAGAAAGCGAAATATTTTACAGGAGCCACTGCGAGTTTTTTTCTTGGCTAGAACACTCCAATAATGCGCGAGGAATGTCGTACTATAAGGACGTCTTAAAATAGTTCGCACAATATACTCTCCAGTGATGTCAATAGCTCAATCTGGTTATCGTCCTAAATCGGTCAAAAAAAAAAACAGTGTCACCGTTCGCTGTTTTCAATGATCCTCTCGTGGAGTACCACGTCTCCTGAGACGTCAGAACTGACTCGGGAATTTCTTTAAATGAAGAAAAGACATAGAGATGCTTTAGTTGAAGACGTGACCCTTTACACTGATTCTACAAGTTTCTTTTCATAGCTATAGCGATCAGTGACATGAGAATAACTGAGGTTAATGCAGAGACGTAATTTAATAAACTCATTGCGGATAATATTGAAATAAGACGGGTATACATTCTGCTCATAGCATTTCTTCACGACGAATCAGAAATGCAAGCATCGATGATCAAACAAAGTGTTGGATAATTTTTGCAACTACCCCTGATTGGCCTTTGCATGGCATACAGCTTACTCTATAGAACGCAGACGTTTTGGAAATCGTAATTGGACTGATATTTACTCCGCTAGCTACATTTTACTCTGCTGACATTTACAACCAAGCAAGCTCCTATAGTGCTACATCGGCTTGGCGGGAACTTAGCAAACATCTGCTCAGTAAAGTCAACATGACGAAGGAAGGCGAAAACGAGATGCACAAATATGTTGCGTGAAATTGTTACAGTTTAATTCATAAGCTATTTTGAATAGTGCATCGTAACTTCCGTATTCTGATAAGAGATATGATTGCCAATAGTTAAACCGAAATTCGAATTCTTGGGTGTGGAAATCCGGATTGCTGCAAAAGGTGCATACGTTTGATAAGCATATTGGTCTATATATATTTGAACTGAACTTTATGAGTAAGTTTATAGTATGGACTTACTGTATTTGGAATGTACAAATGACCTGTACGCGCAATGCAACCAAATCTCTGTCAAGTTTCGTGTCGTCTTCCGAATTTCCAAGCAACTTTGGTGTCCAATGTTCAGCTCTGAACTTCTGACGCAGTAAAACTTAGGAATTTTTCGTTAAAACGTTCGAATCGGAGTCAACTGTGGCGCATATGGAGTTCACCAGGAAAATGCCAAAACGGCGCTACGAAGCGCAGTTATAAAAGATGATACGGTATTAAATAATTCAGAGGAACATTGATTCTGATTGGTTTACAATAAGTAGTTTACAAGGTGAATTTCGTAATAGGAATATGCACAGCTGACATACGAACATTTTATTGCGCTATTCTTCAGCTCGTTTTTCTCACATTGTTCGTAAATCGTATTAGATTTCCTAATCAGCCATCGTGTTTGTTCTAATTTGTCTACCTGTTTTTCCACTGGCCGTAATTTGCCAAGGATAACATTGTTATTAATATTGAATATAACATTGCCAAGTAGTTCTCGAGTATTTGGCCGGAAGCACGCATTTGTGATTTGAGTGGCCAAAATTTGATTGCGGTTCATATCGACATTAGGGAATAATCCATGACGGTATATTATAGCGTTGCACGATAAGAACGTTCCCAAATACTTACACCAATTTCGACGTATCATCGATTCAACGGCAAATAAATCAAATTTGACTGTATTTGAAAGCTCTTTTTTTATTTTGCTCGATGCATATAGTTGAGAACTCTATATAGGCTATAAGACTGTCTGTTCATTTGATCTATACAGCTAAATCCTGATATACATCTACATAATATAAAAGTTACTTACTTCGGTCGCGTTCAAAGCGAACGAGATATAGGTTTAGAAGTGCCATGGATATTCGCATAATCGGATCATTTTTTATAGTTTGTTTTATTCGTTTTCTCAACAAGCTTACGTGCGCTGTTCAGCGTTTTTTTTTTAAATTGCCAGGCGATTAATATGGTTGATAAAGAGCCGAGATTAGCCTCTATTATATACTCGATCGATCTGCCTGGTCGAGCCAAAATGATTTCTCAGCCCGTTATTGAGCGACTCGATCGAATCTGTCCCCAAATTCGTCAACACGATTGATAGGTGAAATTTTCGGCGCGAAGCCACTTTTGCGCTAACCGATTGCGGAAAAAAATTTTCACCTTGCGTGCCTAGCGCAAACAAACTCGGAAAAAAAGTTTTCGCAATCGGCAGTTTAGCATGAAACAGCTGCTACGTCATATCACTCGGTTGCTAAGAAGATAGAAATTGATATTTTAGGCTAGTCTATCGTCTGCGTTTTATTAAATTTCGTGTTTGCGAAAGAGCTCATGTCATGATGTGTGCGCAAATGAATTAATATCTAATGAGCACAGTTTTGAAAATATCTTGTCTTGGCTATCGAGAGACTATCGGTCTCAGGGATTTTGCTCGAAATGTCATATTTTAGATTAGGTTTTCTTCGCGAGTGCAGTCAATTTATTGCTTTGCGAATATAAAGCGATCCTAAATGTATTCGTAAGGCCAGATGATATATAATAGCCTAATGATCGATTTAGATTTGTTGCATGACCATTACAAGCTAATTACTAAATTAGGATTCCTATAAGGCTGTAACTTCCCGCGGCTGGAATTAATTTTTGGGCTTTGACAACAGATGCGGGACCACATAATCTGTAAAACGTCCTTTTTAACGACCTATATTCCCATTAACGGGCCGGTCTTTCCCGTAATATAAATTAGCAGATAAGATCGGTATATATGTTTGCAACGGGATATTGTGCATGACAGGCGCAGTCTTTAATGTTTTTATGAATTTACGAGCAATTTTTTTGCGACTGTTTGCGGCTTGGATCGACGCAGTTTTGGTTAGAATATAATTGTATACGAGAGCTATCATGAGAGCTGTGCGTAACAACTGTTGTTTATTTCAGCACCTATTTGAATATTGTATGTTCCTACTCTTGTTATCTCATCATAATACGAGCACGCTCTTGTTCGATAGCTCTGATATGCTTCAAGCAGATCGTTGATCGAGAATATTCGAGGCATAAGCGCGTACATGCAAACTTTTTGACCTTGCCAGCGCTTAACGCGAGAAACTCCGTGGGTGTTCACAGCATGCAATGTTTCCCAGAATGACCAATTTTGGTCACGGGTTATTTCGAAGAATTCCTTTCGGCGCGAAGCTGAAAGTTTGAAAGTTCACCGAAAGCAACTTCAATTTTCCGGCACAAGGGTTATGTTGACTGTATGTAAGATAAGTAGATCTTCGTGGCAAGATAAACCCATCTATATTGGGCAAGCACGTAATATACGAGTAAGCTTGGCATTTGATTTATCGCTCCTTTTATGGGAAGCGCGAAATAATACATTGTGGCAAACCACTGATGCTTATTAATTTGTAATCGCTGCATGGCCGAAGAAAAAATAGAAAGAGCACTTGGAGGTTTCGAGAGGAGATGCAACTAAAGAGTTCTACAGCTTACAAAAATGATCGATATTCGTCCATGTGTTGACTTATTTGGCGAGATTAAACCCAGAAAGACGTTTCCCACGCATCTCGAAATTGACTTAGATGTCCTTTCGGGGCGTCTCGTATTTGACAGTATAGGCGTCTTTGACTTTGTCATCCGCGAGAGATATATGTTTTAGAACACAGAAGCCTATCGAAATTTTTATTCCATGCATAGAATAATATATCTGAAGAATTAGGCTTGAAACTTTTTGGAGCATAAAATGTTTCAACTTTGCGAACCATGCATGGTCTTGACTTATTAAAATATTACTAAAATATTAACTGTACATATGAGACTACGGGGTTAGTTCAGTTGGAAAACGTGGTCGCAGGATGGTGTATAGGCGTGTAAATGTATCCTAAAACTATTTTATAAACACGCTTTCGCCTGTAATATAACTGAAACCAATTTCACCGGCAGCGATTAATGATAACTATAAGGAGCAGCAGCGTGGCGCAGTGCCTTCAAATAACTTCTCATCAAATGTGGCATAACAACTGCCCAAAGATGGATATTCAAAGTATTAAAACGTCTCGACGTTTCGACCTGAGGGCTTTCGTCAGGACAGCACAGTTTGCCGTTTCAATAGCTAACTGTTTTGACGAAGGCCCTTCGGGCAAAAATTCGAGACGTTTTCACGTCTATTTTAAGCAGTTTTTATACATCCGGCGTGTAGATGATTACTTTTTACACTAATACTTTCACTTTTCGTCATGTAAAGATTTGTGAAAGTTTCCATGGAGAATGGATAAAAAAGCAGCCAAACGCTACATTCATGCGTGGCTTTGTTTTTCTTGTTTTCATCTTTTGTTTCCTTGAGGGCATTCATGGAAGTGCTCGAGTAATTGATTTAGCTAATCTGGCAACCCGGATACAGTGTTAATTAATGACCGATGTTCATATGGGAACTGGGAAGGGCTATTAAATGGCTTGCAAATATATCGCACCCTGCGCCCACACCAAAATTGCGTTCACAGGTGTTAAATGACATCTCTTTTACACTCTCCTAATGTCACAGTTTCAATCAATTTGATCGGTTGATTTTTTGATAAGTGTTTTCCAAGATGTTTCAGAAGCTATCTTTTAACGATGCATGAAATTGATTTGAACACCATTGATTATTACACTTTGAAATTTTTTGCGTTCATAATCGTGATAAAATCGTACTTTGGAAGTTGAGATAAAGCTAGCATTTACATTCATTCATGCATTCATGCATGCATAGAGAACTACTCGCTCCACGGTTACGAAAATGTTGGCGGCTCAAGTGCAGTTCCAAATAACAAATCGTTTTTTACGTCTGACCTTCGAAGTGCTTCAATTCGCTACTTCCGACCACAAGCATTTTATTAAAATGTCGCGTATTTTGCCCCTCATCGACAATTGTATAAAAAAGTGCAGAAAATACGGCCTACAGCGATCACTATATATATGTAAATATATAGCTTTATGAAAAATGCTCACGAAACAAGTGTGCATGTAGTATAGAAAATCTTCTTGTACTTCGTTTAAGGGGCTGTTTGCATGAACCCGGTTACCCGAGATTCAAGGAAGCGTGAGAGGACTTTGAGATAGTGAAATAAGTCTTTATGACACCAAACAAGCACATGCTATTGTTGTGGTGATTATACGACTGCCAGGATCATGTTATCTGCTCATTTCAATACCTCAAAATCATCTAACGCTTCGTTGAATCTCGGGTAACCGGGCTCATGTAAACAGCCCCTAAATAGTTTGCAATAATTAAGGAGGGGTTAAAGTGCGTTCTGCGCATCGGTTCTGCTCATAACATTGGCTAGGCTTTACTTGATCTAAATTTGCTGAACTTTACTATGTTTCTTATTTTTGTGGACTTAAACTCTCTCTAGCTCATATTCATGCATTTGTTTACATCACGAACCGAACTGTACTTCACCTGTGAAAAGTTCATGATTGAAAAGATGTATAGCCGATACGCATGATGAAAGGTAATTTCAAATGCAAGGTCAAAGATGGCGGCTTACGCTTTTTTTTCTATTTCTTCCCAGAGTCTTCTCTTTTCCCCGAAGAATGCTATAAATTTAATATTCGAGATCATATTATACTCTAAAACACACTTTATCTGACAAGCATATCTCAGTCGTACTCTTATAATCGTTTAGTGGTGAAACTAAAGGCCATGTTACACGGTGCAATTTTTCTTGCAACTTGTAATGCAATTCTATTTTTACGAGATGTAAATTAGTGAAGTGTCTTCAAAATGTAAGTGTAAGAAACGTCATGGAGTGTAATAAAGACAAAAGTTTGGTAGTTGCCAAATTTACATTTCTCGAAAGAAGAATTGCATTGCAAGTTGCAGGAAAAATTGCACCGTGTAACAGGGCCTTAAGGCCTGGTTCACATTAGCTCCTAAGAAACGAGGATCCATTGTATTATTTTCTCACAGACAAAGGAATTTGCGAAATCAGACCAGATCCTTAGGACAAGTATGAACCAGACTTAGCATAATATTTCAGTATTGAATATATTTTCCCTAAAACTTTGTTTATATAATGTCATGTTTATCAAGATGAATACTCTCATGTTCCCACAAACTTGCACATGCATCTTCTCTGAAGTATTTTTGTGAAAATCATAGCTGCTGCATGAGTATATATTTCGTGTGCGAATGAAGAAAATTCCTCTCAATCACGAACAATTTCAGCGTATTTTTTTTGCATCCTGTCGGTTTTTGTGTGGCATTAATAAAATCGAGATAAGATCTTTCGCAGGGGGAGATAAAATAAATACGCATACAAAAAGTGTCAACTTTCTTATCAAAATTGGCGATCGAAATTAGCTGCCAATTAAGCATCTCCCTTCTCAACAATCAATTAAGTTTTATCGCATTTAATCATAAAATAAGACAGGCATTACGGTGACATTTATACCAGCTTGGAAAAAATTGCAGCGAGAACATGATTTTTAAGGTATTCCGGCATCTTGAATATGCATTTGTGGAACTTGTACTTATTAATTATCGTACTTTACACCTCCCAAACGACCATGTGACCTTTTTCGAAATTTTGCTACAAAACTCTGAACCTATATCACGCCAGAGAGAAGAATTTTAATGTGTTCGTGCAAAGACTCATGCAAAGACTCTATAAAAGCATTATTTACTATATTTATACCCGACAGTAAAAAAGCTTGCCTGTTAAAACCGTGATGACTAAAACTGCAATCATTTGCCTTGGGTATCAGTTGCATGTACGTTACCAGTAAACCAGGAGTATAATGAATGATTACTGTCTGAACAGGCAGTTATATGCAATATTGAACTTACAGTGTATACTGACAATATATATAAAATATTGAACTGACATGCAGTGAGAGATTGACTGTGAACTTGAAAGTCAATTATAAGCCTATGCATACGGAGTTAAATCAGATTCACTTGGGTCTGCAAGTATTCCTGTTTGTGGAGTGGTTTTTTGATCAACCATTACGCGATGAATAAATTAAATGCAGACACCTTATAAGTGGGCAGTAAACTCTTGCCTCGAGGTCAGACTCCATTTTATATCATGGATGTCACATGATATATGTGGATCAAAACATCCTATATTCAAATCAACAAATGAATTCAGTAACCCGGAAGCCCGGATATTTTAATTGAGGTTGATTTTGAACTAGACTAGTTTTAATTTGTAGGCTATAAAGGAAATTTATTCTCCTATGTACCTTATAGAATACAGTTTCCAATATTTCATAATGTTAATTTTAGTATGTTTTAAACAATGCATATATAATGACTTATGGCGGCCATTTTGAATTAGTTTTCATCTCTAAATTTAGGCTATATAAAAATGAATATTATCAGTGAAATATATCTGGTATTATATTGTATTTCGTAGAATTTGATCACCTTACATACATATAGATAAATTAACATCATTTAGCATTGAACGGAACATTAAAAGACAGAAAAGTCACATCGAATAACACGTGTGAATATAGTATTATATACAATACATGAATCGAACGCAGTGTGCACTATATTGTCCACTACCAATCATAGGAGACACATTGCCAACTATCGGAAGGGGGTGTGAAGTGTTTCAACACCAACTTTACGACGCAGAATAAGAGACGGTGAGAGGGACAGTAACGTGAAACTCTGAAACAAGATATTACGCGAAGTTTGATTGGCTCGGCAATGTTGCAAATTGTTGGCGAACCAATCAAATTCCATGCGGTAATCAAATTTGAATTGTCGGCAAGTTGAAACAATTCAATTTGCTATAGAGCTTTCTCATAATGACGTCAAACGCGTAAAGTCTGATTGGCCCCACAAAACTATCGAGCCAATCAAACTTCGTAAAGCAGAGCCAATCAGATTTTTCTTCCGCGTTTGACGTCATTATGAAAAAGGTCTATTCTATTAAATGGCAACAACTACGTGTACTCCGAGGTTTTATACAAGATACATATAAAATTATTAAATATTTATGTTGATATCTTATTCATATGTTGCATAAGCTTAGCGTTTCAAACTACAGTCATATATTCTTGTAAACAACGCTTTAAAATCATTTTACGGGTAATGTCTATGACGTGATTTGATATGCAGTAATCTCAACTTTAGTGCCGTGCGTTTCTGGGAAAATACTTCTGTTCCCACAGGCTTCTTTTGTGGCTCCAAAATAGACTGGCATAGGGCAGTTTTCAAGTCTTTCTTTACGCAGTCGATATACTTTTCTATGTACTTTCGTAAGAACGACAACGGACCGTTTCCTTGCGACAAAACTTGATAGTGAAAGTCTTTCAGGCTGAATTTCTCGCCCAGTTCCCTCTTGGTTTTCTCGCGAAGTTCCATTATCGTCAGTCGGCCAATCATGTAGGCCGTAGCCTGCCCAGGACAGCTCTGATATCGCGTAAGCTCTTTTACTGCAAAGTCGGTGCTATCCCATGCAAATTGGTCGAAGAGTTGCAACGCTTCGTCCCTAGCGAAAGGGAAATACAAAGATCGTAAAATGCTCTTTATAGAGAATCCCGACGCATGGGTTTATACTACTTATCTATATAAACTAGTTGGACTGAGTGATCGAGGTGAAAGGTGTGCTCATGACAAAATGACGGTATACCATTGAATCCATGTTTTTTCAACCCTTCTAACATGAATTCCTTTGAGAAGTTCCCATTGAGAACACTGGTAATTTTTCCCTCAAAAGTTTTGTCAATTGTGTTGCAATTGTGAAACTTGTTAAAGCTGGTCGTCCAGCAAAGAGTAGCGTACACAATTTAAACTAATCTAAAATATCCACTCACCTCTTCATTCCTCTGTCATGCAACCCAGTATCAATTATCAATCTTAATGCTCGCCAAACCTAGAAAAGGTAAAGTTCATTATTCATCGCACCATGTCTGCGGAAATTAGAAAGCTATAGAGCGATGCCACCTCTAAAGTTTAAATAGCTAATTATAAATTAAAAATGTACACTTGAATGATTTTTAAACCTAGTAAGTACTTGAAAGGGGTACGAGAATACGGTATAGCCTAGCTACCTCCATGGTTGTGGAATCACATTTGTATACACGTGAGTCCTCTGTGGGATGGTAACCCAAAATAGTCGATATGCCCATGCAGACTACTGACCTGCCACTTCAACATGCCATATTTTTGAAATGGATTATCGTTGTACAATTCTGTGTCATCCGACATAATCGGATTTTCGCTGTACAATGCCCAGCCTTCTGTAAACGCTGAAAAGGACTCGCTCGTCCTGTCATCTAACCAAGACATCAGTCCTCTACAACCACTCTGAAAATACTCCCTCATGCCTAGAAAAATATGACACGATAGTTGGACTTCGAATGCTGTATGCATTAGCATTCTGATGACGTTTCTTCACGCCCTGTTGTAGTGAGTTGTACAGTCCCATAGTATATAAGTAGAGCAACCGAGAAAACTTGTCGACTACATAATGACGTTTATCAGATGACACGTTGTTACAAAATTGCAACATAGGGCAAGAAAAATATGATAGAAAGAAGACTGACTGTTTGACCAAAGAGCTGGATAACCTCGGCTTTCATCACCCCATTTTCATTACCTTGTGCTTGTAAATGATGTCCCGGCCTGGTCTCGTGTGCAACCACAGACCATTCTTGGAATTTTGGTCCATAACGTTCCAAGAAAAACGGTAATCTGAACTCGGTCGGCGAGCTGCACGTTTCATCACTTTCTACGAATTGCATGGTGCCTTTTGATGGATTGAAGTGAGGGTAGATTTCAATCGGACAGTTCGGCAATGTCATACGCTTTCCTTTAAAGTAAAATTGTTATGAACTTGCTGTAAATTTGATCGCTATTGTTAGCTTGAATATGACATCATAGTCAGTCATTAAGCGCCATCTTGGTTCACTCATGGGTTCAGTATTTTTGCTTTTTAAGAGATCAAGCTTGATCAAGTTGTTTTTATTTCAGTTTCTTGTTTAAACTGTAACTGCTTACTATCTCTATTTTACTATTAGGTCGCTATCAAAATACAGCAACGAATAAAACATGATTTGTGGACACGTTTTGAAAGGTCAACCAAGATGGCGGCCAATGAATTGCAAACCACCTATTGGCTTTTTTTAGCATAGCAAATGCATGCGCAATCCAGTGGGTATTTTAAGTCAGCAGGGAATGCCAATTATAATGTGAAAGCTCTCTAGTCTAAAAGAGTTTATACTTTGCAAATACCTGTCACGTGAAATGCGTAAATGAACTGTGGATGAATGAGAGCCATGATCTCACGACACGCTGCAATCCATTTCTTCAATGCGGCGTACCTCACTGGGCAGAATTTCTTAGCGGATTCTTTATCAACGCATGTTTTGAAAGCCTTGGCGTTTGACTCGTTCTCTGGAAACTTTCTTTCGTTGTGCCATTGTGTGTCTGCGCTTAGAAACTTCCTCAGTTTGTTCACCGCTTTCGATGTGTTTGTAGAGTTCATGATTGATCTGGTAATCTTGAGGATCTAAAGAGATGACGAGCAAGATATTTGACTGTGACTTTTCATTTACATTTGTTGAATCCCTACTATCACTACTATAATTTTACAAGTTTCTCAAAACATATGTTGCTTCATAATACGGTCACTGAACTTCGAGTGCATCCAGACTATATTTTTAGCTCAGTGGATTTGTCCTGACCACTATGAATTCCATGAATTCCATCCTAATTTCATTTCTTGCAAAAAAACTCTTCACATTACCTCTTTGTAAAACACTTCATTTTGTTTCTTTCCCTTTTCCAAGATCTCGTCAGTAGTGATGTCGGCTGTAGTGAAGTAAGACACGGTACTTTTGTAGCTTTTTCGGCCATCCAACTGCTCCCCCGTCGGTAGTTTCCTTGTCGTTCTTTTTGCCGTTGGCTTACCATCTTTGTATACGTATTTAAGGGGCAGGTTTACCAAGCCGCTGGACACGTGACTGGGGATGCAGTGACGTATGTGTTCGTGTTCGAGGTAATTTATTAGATCCAACATTGGCTTACCGAATCCTTAAGTGTAAGTGGTGAAAAATACATTTGATATTCTAGTAAACATTTTGTCTGTGCCCCAGGGGCTGTTTTCGTGTCAGGACAATACTCCAGATTATGGCCCCAGTTACATGATACCGGACTAGTTTTCGTACCGGATTATCTACGTTGATTCGATACACATATGGTATCGGATTTGTCTTGCTTACACGATGCCGGATTGATTCAGAAATTTTTTTGGCGGACAACGAAGTGCGAGCAAAAGTCCAAAAGAAATATTCTCGTGGAATCAGTTAAATCTAACTTCTTTTGGAAACGGTAACCAGTGCAATTGTTTTATGTCCATTTATTTTCCCGCCAATCATAAATGGTACCGGATCATTTTTCATGCCACCTCCAGAGTGGAGTGATTTTCATTCCGCGGAGCGTACCGGATTACTACATCCTCGTGGAACTGCAACGCCGACGGTACGCTACTGATCCGTTATCGTGTGACTGAGGCGCATATGTGATACTCTATAGTAATTTTTGTTTGTGAAAATGTCCTTACCTTCAGTCAATGCCTCTTTGATGGACGACGAAGCTGTCTTCTTATTATTCTTAATCCACAACTGCAAATCGCTCTCCGGAACATAATCAAGAAAATCTTTAGCTTGAAAAGGTGCCGTGTATTCTTCATCAAGTACACTTTCCGATCTATTCGTCTTTGTTAAATATTTGGATTTCTCTTTTAGAGCATCAACCCCAGATATACAGTCTTCTACCGATCTCACCATGCCTGCTTTCACGCCAAGATCGATATTCGATCTAAAATAGCGAAGTCGAACAACTTAATACAGTATTTATTACTTTGGATTCAAACTATATCCAACAAGAAACAGTTAATAATGTTGATGTTAATATTTAAACAAATTATTTATTGCCTAATAATTTAATTATGCCAATTATGCGATTTACATTCTGTCGTTACCATGACGACTGGGTGATTAGTCAAGGCGGCTATTTTGCAAAAGGATATATCCGCGCAAAGGATCTCGGTTAAATAATCAATGCACTCTCAGTTTTAAGGCAATGCGTTCTACGCATGCGCGATATATCGCTTCGCCCACAATCATTGTTCAACAAATATTGTATAAATACGAAATATTCGCCGTATTTGGTTAACGTCCTTATCGGGGGTAGAGCATCAGTTCCGTGATCGTCAAGTGAGAACTGCTTTGCTGACACCCTGACTACAGCACTTATTCACCAACAATATTCATTTGTTCGGTGAAATTTTTGGAATATTCCGAACTTCCACACAAGGAAGTTTTGCAAAGAAAATTTTCATTTTAAGCTGTTGAATAGTGATCTTTTGACTTACAATTATAGCATACAATTATGGTTCTAGATTACTAGATATGGCAAATTTTCATTTTGAGCTAGTGATCTTTTGACTTACAATTATAGCATACAATTATGGTTCTAGATATGGTAAATTTTCATTTTGAGCTAGTGATCTTTTGACTTACAATTATAGCATACAATTATGGATCTAGATATGGCAGTAAGTTTTTTAATCGTGAAGCAATTTAGAAATCACACAGTCAATAGCTCAATGGTAGCTATTGCTGGTTATTAAAGTCTGTGGCTGGTTGTACGAAAGCTTGATAGAGTTATTCACCGAATCACTGTATAACTTTGGTTAGAGCTTAGAGTATTTTTAAATTGTGTTTTCTTTAATTATCGTCATTTCCAAAGACGTAATTTTATTGATTTTTAGCATTTCTACAGCGGTTGAAAAAATTAAGAATACCTGTATCTCTCGATTGCTGTTTTGTGTTTCATTATCATAGCAATAGTATCTTCCACGTCCTTGTACGAGGTTGGTACTTTAAAATAGCCGTAAGACATCAGTTGAGAATGTATTATGCAGAATGGTTGCCAACAGAAGAAATTTGGTCCCATCATCCAGTCTCCATTGTAATAGTTCTCGTCGTAAGGATTCCCAAAACTGTGCTGGAGATAGTGTTTCAACTGAGAATCGAGATAGATGAAAATATTAGTAACAGTCAACTAAATGTACATTTTACAACAATGTGATAACCATTGTTCTTTTTTTACTTTTCCACAATTCTTGCGAGCTCAATAGGAGAATGGTTTAACGCTTAATGACGGATTCAACGTGAAATTAAATCATTTATAAATGGATGTTGGCTATATTATTATATTATTATTATATTAAAACGCCTTTAAAACAAGTATATTGGTATAGATTTAGGTTCTGAAAGATTTTTTTAAAATTCTTAACCAAACGTCAGGTACGCTGCAGTGATTTACTGATAGCAACAGTAGTCTGTTGTTTTACTTGAATCATAACATCTTTATTCTGTCATATAATCCTGTCTACGTAATTTCGAGTAGAGATTAAGACTGTGAATGATCCCCTTCACCTGTTTTCAACCTTCACGCCTGTGATTTAAAAGCCTACTCACATTCTCACTTATTGAAACTGTGTGACATAGAACTTGCGTTTTTGCTGATCAAAAAACGGAGTGCTTCGTTATTGAATGGCCAAATTTTAAGATTCTAATCGAGTAGGGAAATATCTTCTTAGAGCAGTTACGAAGTGATTAAAGCCATGCTCTCGAAATGCTCTCAAAAAGTGTGAGTGTAGGTATGCTCTTAGAATACAGGCTTAGGCATAACACCGCAGAAATTGGTATCTCTGATCACAGTATGGTTCACAATTGTGCATTTCTGTATCGCTATCAAAGAGAAAACTATTCAATAAATTTGAAGATTTCAAATTTTCTTCTGAATACGCATTGTGCAATCTTTTGACAGCTCATCATACACATCTGACAGCTGTGAAATGGCTATCTTGAGGCTTAAAGTATACACAAGATTATTAATTCAGACGATTTGTTTTTGCCGTGTGCAATCTTTTGTGCAAGACATATTTTGTTGAGTACTTATGAACGGATCTTTTTTCTCGCCAAGTTTGAAGCCTAAGTAGCGAGAATTGCGGGACATGTCGCAGCTCTCGGAAGCTTACGTCCAATTGGATAATGCTTTTCTATGCTTTCTAAAGAAGGAAGCTATGCTATTGGTTGAAACAGAAATGTATTGTAAAGTTCAGCCAATGAAAATCATTCTTGCGAGGAGCTGCGACACTACCCATTGCGGCTAAGTCTTCTTCGATTTTACCAATTCCTCCGGTGACCTTCAGGATAATACATGTAAATATTTGTTGTACCATAAGTTAAAAATGGCAATCAGTCAAGCAAGCTTACCTGTTCAAGTGTCTTCAGTTCCCGGGGAGTTAATTCATCGATGTTGATAACCTTGCTCTTAATTTCAGTGAGAAGTGCCATGGACTGATCTGTTTTCTCCTTCAATTTCAACGGATTTGGATCGTACGGAAGGTACCTGAATAAATTTATATGTATACGCTTTAAAACAGGGCCAAGTTTACCAGATAAGCTAGAAGAGGGAATGAGGGATAGTCCTCAGATGTCCCCAGGGGCCCAATTGGCTGGCAAATTGACTCAGCTTGCCTCCAGCGGGGCCCTTTTGCCCAGAGTAAAAGTAAAAAAGGTATTTTTTACGTCTGAAGGTATTAAGGTAATAAGGTGTATATTCGCCGTGAACTCTAATCGTTTGATTCGGATATTCAGGCGTAATTCTTGTGATCCTGATAGCGAAGAAAGTTTGCGTCGTTGAAAACACCTTGTTGTGTTTTATCCCAAGTGAAGTAATACTCCAAAAATTCTACCCATTCCGGAGTTGAAAGATTTTCATTAATTATGATCATCTAAAAAAATTATCTGCACAGATCTTGGTATATATGCTTGAGGCGCGATTAGAGACGCAATTTTCCCATGGGCGCTTTATTATCGTTCCAGCGCAGGCGTTCACCTCTTCTTGATAAACAACTTATCTGCGATAGAATATCGTCTCTTCTCATAAGCTGTTGTGGTAGCTACATGCAGTGTTTGTGTGGAGTATTTCAACCCTTATCAAATACTTTGAAGTTATACGCGCTTTAATTAACGTGATTGGCAGATGCGCTTATATATGTTGCAAAATGTTTCCCCTGTCAAGTGAAACGTTTCTCACTGGGAGACAAAATGTGGTTCTTCGGCTTACGGTTATATACTTATACTTTATATGTCTATTTAACGGTTACAAAACATCGTTGGCTCAACGTAAAGAGAAAACTGTACGTCTATAATGAGGTCGACGTTGAGATTTTTGACCGTTAAGGTGTGTTCTCACGACCCAATTTTGTTCGACCCAATTCAATTCTGATGGATGTTTTATAGTCTGTTGTCTTGTAATGTATGAGAAGTAAGGCCTGTTTCAGATGTCGAACTTTTCATGTGCCGAACCTAATGTTAATGTGCTAAAGCCTTTGTTTAAGTTCATTTGCATTCGATTCGGCGCATGAAAAGTTCGACGTCTGAAACAGGCCTAAATTGGATCCAAAAAAATTGGATCGTGTGAAAAGACCTTTAGACCGTCGATAGCTGGTAGCTTTGGCGTTCTTGTTAAATTTCAACATCGTATATTTTAAAGCGTTGCGTAATATGTGAGCTAGGTAATGAAATACTATTGCAACAATCCTATTACACACCATTAATTAAGCACTAATTGGTCGTTTGTCAGTAGGGCTCTGACAAAGCCAGCCAGCCGAATGAACTGCCTGTTTACAAATGTGATAATGTTTTCACATACTAGCCAACTTAATTGCCAGTTATCTCAAGTAGGCGAACTAATCGTTCTCATCTGGCGTGAGCTTTCGCGAGCGATTAAGGAATAATGTGGGCAAAATACACGTGTTTCTGACTGTGAGAATAATTTTATGGTGGCTAATCTACGAATACTTCAGTAATCAGCGTAAACAGTTTTTTAAAATGCAGAAAAAAACGAGATACCCATCCTGGTCATCTTATGTACACAAGGTCTTGATCACGCGATCCAAAAAGCAAAACGAATTGCGGTGCATTTTTTCATACATTTCGATTTTCATTTTTTCGTCCATGCTAACTATATTATAGTACCCCTGTGGCCCTGTTGTTCATTTAGATCTTCCTCGAAGGTCAGAAAGCGATTTAACATTCAATAACATTTAGGATCAAACTCCATATCCAACTCAGTTAGATGTAATTGCATCAAATCTGTCTAGCAGATGGAAGGCCGTCTTTTAAAGCTAGCTTCACATACATACACCATCCCAGAACATTTCCCAAAGCGTCCTAATCAATGATGATTGCTACTCGTTGTTTATTCCTGCGTATGCATGTGCATGCGTTTTCCATCGTTTTTGTTTATTTTATATGTCCACACGATCCAAGGGAAAACATGCCCAATATGCATGCATGTTAAATTAGCTTTTATTTTTATTGTAAATTGACGGTGTTTGAAACCGTTTTGGCATGAAAACGAATGTGAAAACGGTCGAATAGCCTTAGTTTAACAGCGGAACAAATATTTTTGCTAATTCATGCATGGGAAAGAGGGTATAGACCGTTTTTTCTGGCTCCCACGATGAAAAAGTTCTACAATAGGGAAATTGTGGGTGGGGAAGTTCTTGAGATTTAATAGATTCTCAAGTGTTCCGGAAGGTCCTTGAACCTTCATAAAAAATCTTCTAGAACCGGCACGTCCTTAAAAGTTAATTGACATTCTTAAAGCTGTAATTCATTATGCATAAAAAAAGGGGGTTGGAAAAATTGAATTTATATGGTTATATAGGTGTGACCATCATATCTTAGCCTCTGTAAATTCGCTTGAAAAAGTCCTATGAAAAATATTTGGTAAATTCTTAGCAGGGAGAGATTCTGTTGTGATCATACTCTATTGTCTACACTCGGGAACCGTTCTGTTGCTCCGCTCTTACTCCTAATTTCTGCATCTAGAAAGCAGAAGTATAGAAATTGAATCAAACTATAGCGTGCATCATCTGCGGTATCACCATATGAATCTTTGAATCTCTCAATTTACCATGGAAACTGAGAAACAAACACGTCCGAATATTCGTCGACATAAACTTTACTTGGAAGATTTCTTTGCCATATATGTCAGCCTTTCGTTACAGTTACGAAAGATATTCGTCAAATTGCATATGGAGGTATGATTGATTGCTTTCTTATATCAAAATACGAGAAATTTCGCGTAAAAAATACTGAAGCATGCGTATAGAAAATCATAACATCGCTAATCCAAAAAACGGTATCCAAGGAAATCACACAAGCATTTGTTTGCAAACGTCTTTACAAAATCTTTTCGAAACTGAACTATATCATCGTAGTGGCATATAGAACAGGCTTTGTGGTATACGTTTGTTAAGTTATTAAGAAGAAAACGTGTTGCACAATCGTTTCATGCGAAACTGAAGGAAATCTTGTCATGCATGATCTTGAAAAAATTGCGATGAGTTATCTCAATCGATACTGGAGACATATACTGATCTATTATGTCACAGTGATAGATAAGACTGGTAATATAGGTAACACTTTGTTGCATATAATTTTTTATATAATTTTCAGTCTGTGTTCATGAATTATTCGCTCGCGTTCTATCAGAAAATATCTCATTCTATTTAAACTAGTTTTGCTCATATATCATGTCGTGCGAGTGTTTTTGAAGATACAAACAATCCTATGGATAAAAATAGTTTGCTTTTTTATTAACTTAATCAAATCACAGCGCGCGTATGGTATTAAAAAAACATACTTTACAAAAGATTCAAACCTTTTCGCACGCGCGCGTAGAAAAATTAACCTAAATATTAGATTTTCATCTGGGTTTTCATATCTCTGTGCATACGTCAATTTATGACGACATGCAAAAACTGTTTACAGTTAGCATGCTACGCTATAATTTTCTGCTCCTCTACAGGGTGCCCCGAAAACCGTACAAATTGTTTAAATTACAATGTGTAAACACCTAGCCAAACACGCAAATGTACGTAAAATAGTCAACAGAATTACCTATATATATAAGCTGGATTCGATCATGTTCACGTAACTGCAGGTCCCCTCACGGTGGTCCCAATTTTAACGATGGCATATTTCGACATGCAGTTTGTTTTTTGAGACACATGCATGTTAACTTGGTTTGTCTTTCTCATTTATGGGCAAAAAAAGCGTGATCGTGCGTAGCCCCACTTGACCACCTGATATAACTGTGACTGCTGATATAGATGCAACTATTTATATAGACTTGCTAATTTGGACCTCGCTGTATGTATTTATCGATAAAAGAGATCGACACGCAAGGCCATCCGGACATTTTTTGCACTCAAATATCGACGATAGCGTAGATTTTGATGTTCTAGAAAGATCCTGGGCGAGGGAGACGTTTATATATAGTATATCTCATTGAAAGAGTTAATAAATGCTGTACACATTGTACTATGGTAACCATGGCTACGTATCACGCGTTGACAGAGAGGTGCTACGAGAAGCATAATTTGATAAACCAAAATTAAAGTTTCTAAGATCACATCTGGAAATTTGCACGCATTGGCAAATGCCTAATTCTAAAATATCTGCTGGTAGGATTTGAGGGAACAAAAGCAGTGCTTAACACAGAATTATTACGACCTGATATTTGTTGCAAACTCTTTAAGACTCAGATCGTACTTATCTGAAATACCAGGTGTGTAATTCACAGAAACAATAAAAGCGTAAAACGGAGTTGGAGGCTTCTATATGGAATTGGAAACAATTGATATGTACCACATTAATCCTGACAAGTTGACTAACTATTTCAAGCAAAAATGCAATCCTGACAAAAAAATATAACTTGTACATGCACTACCGTTTGAGATTTAATCCTGTTTTTGTGATGTAGTTAATTCGACTAGGTTATCAGATGTGTTTATATTCAGCTTCTCCTTGATGGAATAATCCTGATAGAAAATCATAAACTTTGAAAGTTGTTAAAAAATTTTTAACTTAAAGGGCCACTATAGGGGATGACCCATCACCCTTCATGCGCTCAGTGCACAAGATTTGGGTTTTGAAAGGAGGATCCTCGTTGAATAAGCTATATTACGGGTTTGTGCATTATTGCATGTCTCCCATTCTTACAATGAGCACTATAGACATTCCCTAGACAATTTATATATTTATCGATCGAAGTGATCGACTCGAAAGCACAACCGGAAATTTCTAACACTCAATAGATGTCTATAGATTTACCTGTTTAGGCCGAAATGGCATAGTACAAAATATGGACTGGACTGGACTGGACTGGTCTGGACTGGACCGGTCCATATTTTGTTTCTCTGGACTCAAAATTGGACTCAAAATTGGACTCAGCTAAAATTTCAATAAAGCGTGTTTCAAACTTGATGTTGTTGTCATGTAATCGTAAATAAACTTAAACCCGGGCAGAAAAATTCGCCTTGACAATGCTTT